TGCTAGCAGGCTGGCCAAGAAAGCCCCAGGCAGGTGAGTGCTTGGCAGAAACATCCCACATTCCAGCCTCATGAGGTTATTTTGAGGATGAGTGTGGCAGGAGGCATGGAAATGATCTTCCTCAGAGCAGAGGCGCTCTGGCACGTGAACTGTCTTGTGTGCGTTCCCAGACCTCGGCTGGCCTGGCCCAAGCCTGACCAGGGCATACTCCCCGGAATGGGATTCACGCTGCCAGCCAGGCACAATCCTCTGGGCTGGCTGAGGCTGTTTTCCTTGTCACTCAGGGCTTACCTGCCAAGCTTGGCACCGGCTGATTCAAGAGCGAGCTCGGAGAAAGGGAAAGATCCCAGCCCCAGACCTCATCAATTCCCTGCCATCTAATAACTCACAGCTTCTGCAGACGAACACACACACACATTCATTACCAAGTCTAATTAGGCTGCAGACAAGTGGCATTAATCATTTCTGACTATACCTGGAATTCAAGCCCCCATACTCCATAATCATAAAATTTCATGCTCTGATGAATGGGGGCTGGAATTGGCCCACATTTAATCCCTTCCCTTCCATCTTCTGAGAAGATGGGAAGGGAAAAAAGGAGAACTAGGGATGCTGGACTGGAGGGTGCAGAGTACCACCACTGCCGGATGCTGGACTGGAGGGTGCAGAGTACCACGGAGGGTGCAGAGTACCACCACTGCCGGATGCTGGACTGGAGGGTAAAGGGTACCACCACTGCCCTTTCTCTATTCTTTTAACACACACTCCAAAAAGGCCTTCCCTAAGAAGACTTTAATTAAAGCCAGGAGAGAAAACTGGGTGTTTCCTTGTCATCTTTAACAACAAAAACATCAATTTTAGTGCTTAATTTTCCCAGCTTCCCCAACAAAATATGGGTCTAAGCGAAGGAAAACACAAGCTACACACTCCAGCGCTACCGAGTGCTGTGGGCAAACAGCCCCCAAGTGCCCAGAGTAAACACAGGGACCACCAGCGTAACAAAGGACACTTGCCAAGATGCTTTCTATGAAGACCCTTGTCTGTCACAGTGGGGTGGGGACGGGAGAGTGGCCAAAGTCAGGGTCCTAGTAGTCTTCTTGCAAAGAGCCCCTAATAGAGTCAGTGAGCGGCCACCTGGGTGGCTCCAATCCCACAGAGGACCTAGTTAAACCCAGCCATCAGTACAGCAACCGGAACTAGAGGAATCATAAGCCCCCCTGGAGACATCAGCAGCTCTCACGAATAAAGTCGCAGAGCCCCTCCCTAGGAATCTGGCAGCAAGTATGAGCTTCTCACACTGTAATCAAAGTCTACCACTGGAGGGGGAGGTTAGGGGACTGAGCCCCAGGGAGGCCCCCTTTTCAAGCCTATCATTCCAATCACTTCATGCTCGTGACTCTGAATAACCGCCCCTTCAGGGGGACTCCTTCCTGGAGCCAACCTAGGGCACCCACAGATCAACAGCTCCCACCTGAAGTCTCTCCTCCCTGGCTGAGAATTAGACTTGATTTCTCCAACGGCCAGACCATTCTCTGGTCCGGGACGGTTCACACACCCACTCAAAGGAGACAAATGGCAGGCGGCCATCTTTACTTGCCTTCTACACAAGAAAGGGCAAGAAGCAGCTGGAGAAATTCCCGGGTTATTTGCTGCTGACTGTTCTATGGGAATGCTGGAGGTAGCGTCCAAACATTACCACCCCACCCAAAAGCAAAGCACTGGGGTCCAGTGACCTCTCACCTCTGCCACCGTCCTCTGTGAGTATCTGCACCAAGCCTGTTGGGTTTCCTTCTCTATCTAATGAATCTGATTTTGTGTGTGCTTGTGTTACACTTTTTTTGTGGGTGTATTTGGAAGCCAGGGGTCAACACGGAGTCTCTTCCCCGACTGCTCACCATTTTATTTTTGAGGCAGGGTCTCTCATTGATCCTGGAGTGTATCAATACAGCCGGACTGGCGAGTCAGCAAGCTGCCTCCCCAGTTCTGGCCTACAGGTGAGCACTATAGGGCTAGGCTTTTTACGTGAGTGCTGGGGATCTGAACTCACGTCCGTATATATCGCTGCATTTTATCATCTGTGCATTCTTTCCAGCCTGCTGATGTGATCCTGAGAGTTAGCATTAGCTCTGAACTTTCCTGTTGACAAATCCAGTGTTAATCAGCGTTGCTACAGATCCTGAGGTGGGACTAAGCTTAAGCCAGGCAAGGCAATCCTCTATTAAAAGCCCATTTGCCAACCAGGCTTCCACCCAGCATCACCTCCCTGAACAGACACTTGTCAGTCACAGCCCCACTGCCCATAGACAAGCATCCATTTCCAACCACCATTTACAGAAGCCAGGCATGACACTCTGCGGATCTCAAGTGCTACTCAGAAAGAGACCTCTAGGGCATGCACACACGAGTTTTAGCCACGGGACTGTGGGTTTAATCACAGCTGACTTCCCCCTGAGATGCTAGGCAGGGATGCCATTTCTAGATGGCACTTCATACCTGAACTTCCAAGACATACTATCCACTCCCCCCTTTCCACTCAACAACCCAGCAAAGCTGGAAAACTGTGCTCAAGGCTTATGAGGTGTAGTGAGCCCCAGCTAGCCATTAAAGCTCTTAAAATGGGAGGAGATAATAGTAACATTTATATCTAATTAGATGCTCATTGTGCATCCTGCCAACCACTTTATAATCAACTTACATGTATATGATGAATCCATTGAATTCTCACATTAACACAATGCGGAAGATAAGATCATTGCTCACACTTTTAAGAGACAAATGAAGGCAACACAGATCCTGGGGTCACAGAGAGACTAAGTGGCAGTTCGGATTCAAAGCCAGGACTTTGGTTCCAGTTTGAGGGGTGCGTGCGTGCGTGCGTGCGTGCGTGCGTGTGCGTAGACTAGACTGGTTGGCCAGCAGGGCCCAGGAATCTGTCTCCACCTCCTGCCCAGCACCGAGATGACAAGCATGTGCTATCAAGCCTGCCTTTTTATTTTCACGTGGGTTCTGGGGATCAAGTTCAGGTCCTCATGCTTTGCCAGCTCCCCCAGCTCTGGGATTACCTTGTAGAAGTTCCTTTTCTGACCTGTAAAATTAAGCAAACCAACCCTCTCAAGGAAACAGACCCCAGCTCGGCACCAGATGCCTGGCGGGTCCGTCCTGCACACCAAAAATTTCTCAACTTGCTCCTGGTCAGCTGAACACTCGCAGTTAGTTAAATATTAAAAAACAACAAACAGAGAATCCTTTCTGTGGCTTCTGGACTCGGGTTCTGCTGCCTCTCCAGTGGTCAGACATCTCTGGCTGGCACAAAACCAACCACACAGGGGCCACAGGAGCCCAAGAAAGCAAAAGGGCCTCAACAATTCACAGGTCAGAGGCCTTGTCTATGGTCTCCCTTTCCCAACTGCTGGAAACTATTTAGGGACGGAGCAAGAGAAATACACAATTCTAATGTGGTATGAGGATGCTCATTTAGTCATGAACTGCACAGATACCCACACAGAAACCCGCCAGCACATCATTATTGCTAGCCAGAAGAATACCACAAACTCGGCGTAGAACGGACAGTCGCTCAAAGTCTAAATGCAAGCAAGAATTACAACCTAAGTGCACACAAGAATTACAACGAGCATGTTTTTCACAGACAATGCAGCTTCTGGAATGTGAGCATCAGTAAATCCCTTGCAGTGAAGACATTGCCTGTTTCCCTGTATACAGGGTTAGTGGGATCTGCGAGGCACCCAGGAACATGGAGGGAGAAAACACTGGAAGCCTGTCCGAAGGTAGTGCACTGGAGTCTTCTGCAGGTCAGAAGCATTTACAAGGGACAATGGCCGGTCCACACATGACAGAGGCACAGGACTCCACACACTCAGCTCTCTCCTGAACAGGCACCCGAATGGGGCATGCTGATGGTGGGAAGAACAGCGCCCATTTCCCTTTTCACTCAGTCCTGGCAGTGGCTGAGAAGATGCCACTGTGGACTACAGTATGAGGAGAGCTAACTGCTGCTGTCCAGCGATGCAGTCTGAGGGAAGCACAGGCTGCTGTGGTAGGAGAAGGGCCTTTACCAAAACACATGACAACCGTAATCTATGTCCACAGCCGATTGCTGGAGACTGTCATGGTGCTGTGTGCTTCACGGGTTTAAAGCAGCTCAACACATGGCTATGAGCATCCTCTGGCAACACGGGTTGGTGAGGAGGGCACATAGGAAAGGAATACACACATTCTCACCATTGGAGAGAGGTAATAATCAGCCCTAAAAAGAGTGCAGATTCGCTCAGAAACTCTCAACCCTGGCGCCCGGTGTTTCAGTCAGGACTGAGAGAAGCCTGGCCAGCAGGCATCTGGGGATGCCTAAGCAGGGAGCTTAGTCGTTTAGAGCTAGAAGATCGATGCAGGGGCCCAGGAGAAGGAAGAGGCAGGACTCAGCCAAACCCTGAAGCAGGGGCCAAGGAGCCAGGTATGGAAAGCAGAAGGGGCTGCGGGCGCAGGTGACCTTGGCATCTTCCAACCTCACAGCCTGTTTGTACTCAAAGCCTTACCAGGCTTCCAGTGCCAATAGCTTCCCTAGGAGGAAGAGCCTGCGCTTTTGCCGGAGGGGACCAAGAAGCCATTTCCCCCATTAACTCTAATAAGCAAGGGTCAAACACACACTTCGCTTTCAATATCACTACCCAACTCTAAAAATGCACAACTAAAGGGCGTATGGAAGACAGCCGAATGACCTTGTTGCGAGCCATCAATCCTAACCTGCAAACAAGCTCGTCTGCATGCATGGGGAAAAGGCTGGAACCCATCTGAAGGTGCGTAACCGCACCGCATAGCCACATCTGGTTAGCGGGCAGCCACGAAAAGATACCTGGCAGTGGGCAGCAGCTGTCTCCAAAGGTTACCTGCCTAAAGTTCGGGCTGGCCACAAAAGGCAATGGCCTCCTCTCCCCAGGCTCACAGCCCTTCACCCCGCGCACCTCCCCTGCCCTGCCCTCACTCACTAGCGCAGCGCAGCGCCTGCCGCAGCACCTCTCGTCCGCACAGGTCACACCAGCCCGGGCCGCCTAACAGCGCCAGTTCGGCGAAACGGTGCCCCTCGCCTCTCTCGGCCAGGACGCGGGGATCCTGCGGCTGCTCGAAGATGCTCCGCACGTCGCGGGGTCGGTGCGACCCAGGCCGCCGCCGCAGTCTCTGCTGCAGACCGGGCCGGACAGGGCGAGCGGGTCGGCAGTCCCGAGGCATGGGCTCGGGGTCCCCCCGGGCAGCCCTCCGGCCGCCGCGCCCCTCTGACGCCCCGGACGCGGAGACCAGGGCCGCGGGGATGCAGCGGCGTGGCCGGGCGGGCGGCGGCGGCGGCGCCTCGGTGCCACCCAGGCTCTGCAGATACCGCGGCGGCTCGGGGTCTAGGAGAAGCGGGTAGGGACGCTGTCCGATGGCCGGGGACGCCATGGCCAAGGCCCGCTGGCGGCCGCAGCTCCCGAGCTTGGCCGACAGAAGGGGCGGCTCCAGCCGAGCGCGCCTTTAAAGGGCCCGCACCCCGCGGGCGGGGCGGGGCGGGGCCCTCGGAGAGGCCGGAAGGGCAACACGCGTGACTGCGGGCCCCAGCCGTGTGGATTTAGGGGCGACCCCGCGGCTGGGGCAGGGGAGATCCGAGCATCCGAGAGGCTTTGCGAGGCGCGGGGGGCGCCGGCTTTTGGGTCCCCGCCTCTAGCTCTGCCTGGTCCCCTCCGGGCGTCTCCCACGCCCACACCCCGGTAGGGCCGGGAGCAGGTGGGAGGGGAGGGCTTTGGAACCCGGGTGGGGCCCTGGGCGCGGGAGCTAGCCCGCCGCTGTCAGCCGCCCCCGGAGCCCCGCGTGGGTCAGTAAGGCGCACTGCGGACGCTCCAAGCTGGCCGTGGGAAACTGGCTAGATTGGCTCTCCCTTCGCATCCCTGCGACATAGGCTGCCCCCTCCCCCCCACACACACCAAGACAGGGGTTAGGGTGATTGGTGATCCTGGATGATCCTTGGTGATGGGTGATCGTGAGAACTCTCTGTGCCCCATGGGAGGGCAGGAGCTTTCCTCCTAAATTAAACCTCCTCTTAGCTGCCGGTGTAATCGCTGCGGAAACGCCAGTCCCCTAAACATATCTGTTTTATTCCTGGTATGGAGGTTCACCTGAGTGGGGGTTGGGGAGCGGGGTGGAGAAGTCCACTTTCCACCAGCACCAAGGGCACCATAGGCTCCTGTCTGGCTTAAGGTTCTGCCGCCACCATCTTGAAAGTCCTAATTCTTGAACAAACGACCAGGCATTATTCTTTTTTGCACTGAGTCTTGAAAATTAAGTAGTGGTAATGACTAGCAGGTCTGTCCACAGCCCCATCTCAAAGGGGAGAGAGAACAGGTGGGGGTGCAGGCTTCTTGGGTTTTTGAACCTGTGTCCTGTCGTAGGCTAGCAATGGTCCCGGGCCCTCTACTACAGTCTGATTTTGTAGCTGCAGGAGCCATTGCTCTTTCCATTTCAGGTCGTTCTGTCTTAGGGCTCACACTTTCCCCCTTAAATCACAGGTTTGATTTGATTAATTTAGCGGCAGTCACCAGCAAGTAACTTTGGGAATAAAATCAACGCACCATATCCAAAAAGTCTGCGTTTTGAGTTTCAACAAAACACTGATAGAAATATTCGGGGGGAAAAAACCGTGTCTGTACTGAACGTGTACACAGTTTTCCTTGTTATTACTCATTAAATAATACTGGATAGCAATGATTCATATACACTTAGACGATACCGGATGTTATAAGTAATATAGACATGGCTGAAAGCGCACAGGTTCTCTGTGCGCACTAAGCTACTTTATCAAAGGGACGAGTATCCTCAGGTTGGAGTACGGGGGCAATGGTGTGTGTATGCAGTGAGTGGGGATTCTGAAATCAGACCTGGAATTGTCTATAAATTCGTCTACACCTTAATCCTCAGGGTTCTTTCCAGGCCAGATATGGATCTCCCCCTAGTGTCTGGTTGGGGAATCCTCACTTTCGCTTTCCTCCCAAGAAGGTAATTTTCAGGCAATTCCTAAAAGTCCAGTGGCCAGGGAATTCCCAGCCTTCCTTGCTCCACGATGCCTCCCCCGCTCCCCGCAGTGGTGGTGGTAATAGTGTCCTCTTCCTTCCAAGTTGGTAGCAGCTGGCAAGTTCCTGTTCTCCGGGCCTCACTCTATTCACTGGTTCCTGGGTAGTGGAAAGAATGACTGGGGTATTACTAAGTGGGAGAACGATAATGGGGGCCAGTGGGACACGGTGGTCCCTACCCCACTCCTGCACCCTTCCTCTCTCTACATCTTGGTGCTTCAAACTCTGGAGGCTAACCAATCTGAGAGGGCTTGTTAAACCACAGTTTGCTGGCTGCCCCCCGAGTTCCTGTGTCGGTAGGTCTGGGCTAGGATATGAGACTTTTGTGTTTCTAGCAAGTTCCCACATAGTGTTGGTGCTGATGGTCCACTCAGAACTACTGCCCTAGGGCCTCGGCAGCAGTGAGGAAGTGAGGGCCTCTGTTCCATACCCAGGATCTGTGGGGTTGAGTTGGTTGTCACCGAGAGAACCCAGCAGGGGTATTCCTTGGTGCTTTCTTTGAATGTGAGAAAGGGAAGTACAGCCTGCCTTTATGGCCTCTTGTTCCTCCTCTCCAGTGTTTCTGCACACAGCTCTCGGGGTTCTTGTAGAAACCCGCATTGAATGTAAATATTGCTTGATTCCACCCTGTGTCGTCCAGCCATCTCCACAAGGTTTGAAACTTATGCCTCTCGGGGTGCCATGTTCTGGATGAGATCCGGGACAGAGACCCATCTTGAGTTCGGGGTGACAGTTTGGTGTGTAAATGACACAATTCTGGTAACGGATACAGCAGTAGAAGGCCGGTTTTGAAACACTATTTATGAATAGTGCCAGCGACCATCATCTCTGTCCTCCCCACGCCCAGGCCCTCCAAGTGCCATTTAGGGCTGACCTTGATTCCCTGGCTGGGAAAGCTCCTGTGTGGGCATTAGTGTTGCCTGTGAGCAACTGAGGCTGGTTCGGACAGTTAGGTATGCAGACTTCCAGCTAGGACAGTCAGGTGTGCAGACTTCCAGCTGGGACAGTCAGGTGTGCAGACTTCTCAGCTGGGATAGTCAGGTGTGCAGACTTCTCAGCTGGGACAGTCGGGTGTACAGACTTCTCAGCTGGGACAGTCGGGTGTGCAGACTTCTCAGCTGGGACAGTCGGGTGTGCAGACTTCTCAGCTGGGACAGTCGGGTGTGCAGACTTCCAGCTGGGACAATCAGGTGTGGAGACTTCTCAGCTGGGACAGTCAGGTGTGCAGACTTCCAGCTGGGACAGTCAGGTGTGCAGACTTCTCAGCTGGGACAGTCAGGTGTGCAGACTTCTCAGCTGGGACAGTCGGGTGTGCAGACTTCCAGCTAGGACAATCAGGTGTGCAGACTTCTCAGCTGGGACAGTCAGGTGTGCAGACTTCTCAGCTGGGACAGTCAGGTGTGCAGACTTCCAGCTGGGACAGTCAGGTGTGCAGCTTTCCAGCTGTTGGGCTGCACAGGAGACACTCTGGTTTTGTTTTCCTGTGGCTCTGATTTGATGGAGTAGTAGTGACTGCTTCCAGAGCTGATGGGGAAATGGTATGGAGCCAGATGAACTGGAGATAGTATAACTTCATGCAACCCACCCAAAACTTTATCAGGTTTATCTTAAGATTCATCTCCCTGTGACAAAACATTGAGATCAGGGTAGGGTGGTGGCTGTCCCCCAACCTCAGTAGGTGTGGGATTCATCTCCCCGGTCTTTCCCAATCTGGTCCCTCCCTGCCCTAAAAGAGCATCTCCTTCCACAACTCTCTCTCTCCCCTCTCCCTCTCCCCCTCTCCCTCCCTCTTTCCCTTTCCTCCTCCTCCTCCTCCTCCTTCTTCTCCTCCTCCCCTCCTCCTTCTCCAGGGAAGAAGTTGAAAAGCAGCAGCATTTTTTTATTTTGTCCTTGGTCACGATGCTGCAAGGTTTCACCACATCTGCTGAAACATCTACTGGAATGTTTTTTTTCCTTAGCAGATCATCTTGGCTCAGAGCTGGTCACTTTTCCCAGCTGTGACTCATTCCAACAGAGAGAACATGCTGCTTTTCATTTTTGACCAAGGGGAAGGATTGTGGTGAATTTGAGTGTGGTCAGTATGTGAGGCCACTTCAGAGGTGGTCCCAAAACATGTTGTTTCCCCTACTGAGTTATTTCAAGACTATCTCTCAATCCCCACCCCCCAACCCCCTAGCAGGAAAGAAAGGGGGAAGGGCAGACATGGCCTGGTTTTCTGAAGGGGACACTGGTTTTATCTGGCTTTGAGGCATTTGAAGTTGCCCCAAATCTCTGAAGATTTTAGGGAACTTTGAGGATATTGGCAGTTGTACATAAGATTACTGTGTCAGTCAGGATGAGTTAAATTTTGTTGCAGTAACAAATAAGCCCCATATTTCACTGCATTTAAACACTAGAGACTTCTTTCTCACCCATACTACATGTCCTATGCAGGGTGGCAGGGTATTTGCATAAGAGTCACTTAGGGACTCAGGTAGATCCCAGACACCATATCTAGCATGGCCAGTCACTGTGCCTTGATGATCTTCACTGGCGTTTAAAAGTCTTGGTCACTTCCATTCACAAGTCACAGACCATCCTATACTAGGAGAGCCAGTAGCAGAAGTTCACTGTGAGCTCAGAGTTGGAGCAGAGCTGGGAGTAGCTGGCAGTCATCACTGATACCCACTGCAGTCCTCAAGGACGCACAGCAGTAATCAATTTCTTCAACCATGTACTCCCCTAAGCTCCACTATGTATTGGGTGTTTGTCCAGTAGTCTGACAGTGAGAAACACATATTCATCAAGCTTACATTTTAGTGGGAGAGGCACACAATAAACCAACGTTGGTGTAGTATGTATATCAGGTCTTTAGTGCTTTGAAAACAAACACAGCATTTTTAGGAGACAGAAGGTGAGGAGGTTTTTCCCAACCATAAAATTATTTTCATTGTGTCTGGTAGTGGTGACAGACACCTTTAATCCCAGTATTGGGGAGGCAGAGGCAGGTGGATCTCTGAATTCTGAAAATCGAGGCCAGCCTGGTCTACAGAGCAAGTTCCAGGATAGCCAGAGCTACCCAGAGAAACCCTGTCTTGACAAACGAAAAAAAAAATTTTCTGTTGCTACTTCATAACTATAATTTTGCTACTGTTATGAACTGTAATATAAATGTTTGTGTTTTCTGATAGTCTTTGGGGGTTTCAACCCACAGGTTGAGAACCACTGGGTTAGACAGAAAGGACCTTTTCTAGATTCACTTAAACCTGATGAAATGGAGAAAAACCTGTGTCTGTGAACAACAATGTTCCAGGCTAAGGGGGCAGCAGACACAATGGCCCCCAAACATTCATCCCAAACTCAGTGAATACAAATTTGTTCAAACGTTCCCAGGCCCTACCAGCATGATGTCTGACCATTGAGATATATATTCTGTTTTTGGTTTTTTTTGAGACACTTTTTTTTTTGTGTAGCCTTGGCTGTCCTGGAACTCACTCTGTAGGCCAGGCTGGCCTCAAACTCATAGAGATCCACCTGCCTCTACTTTCTGAGTGCTGGGATTAAAGTTGTGCGCCACCACTGCCCGGCCGTTGGTCTATATGAGATTTTGATTAATATGACTCATGGGCCACAGGAAGCAGTGGTGGGTAAAATTGTGAGCTCCCTCTACAACATTTGAAGGAAATGCCTATGGCCTCCCTCTTCCTGCCTTCTTAGCTACACAGTATCCACAAAGAAGAGGGTCTTGCTTGCCACTTTCAGTGGGAGTGGGTGACACACACCTCGCGTTGCTAGAGAATGATGGATCTGTGAAGGCCTCTTGTAAAATGTGAAATGCCCGGTGTTCCTGTTTTTCAGATTAGAAACCTGAGGCGCAGGATCATGTGACTGGTACAGACAGAGGTCCTAGTCTGGATTCCAGAGCACTCAAATCCACATTTTGGCCTTTGCGTTTCCTGCTGGGGTGGGAAGGGGCAGTGAGGAAAACGCTGAGCTGACTGTAGCTGCAGTGTGAAGAGTCAGAATCCTCATCCAGTTTTCTCTCCCTTTTGACATCGCTCAGCTTCCTTGGTCAGGTCCAATTGCCGGGTCTTGCATCCCGGGGTCATCCCGGGGTCATCCCACCATCCCTCCATCTGTGTCTCCACTGTCTTCCTAATGGGAGTTGCAGGTAACCTTGGGACTCGCCTTCCTCCCTTGGGTCTTGCTGGTCTTTCTGACCCCCTTCTCTATGCAGGGCAGATAGGGGGTGCTGGTGTCCAGTGGAAAGGGCTCAGTTGTAGGCTCGCGACCAATGTCTGGCCCAAGACGTGTTTTCCTTTAAGCCATGGCCCCTGTGCCCAGAGAGGTGGAAATGAAGAGCTGGTGCTCTAAGGAGAATGGGAGGCACCCCAACACCTCTGGGGCTGGGGGGAACAGGAGAGGACTCGGCAGCTTGAGTACATCCTCCAGGGTGCTGGGCACTATAGTGAATTTGCTGTATCCATATGCTTCTGACTGGCCAGGGTTGGGGGCCGGACAAACACCACGTCCATTCTCAGGCATGGCTTTAAAAATGCTTTGCTGACTTTGTGTGTGAGCCGAGCTCAGAGGACAGCTTGCAGGGGTGCGCCGTGGGTTCTGTCCTTCCACTAAACACGTCGCCAAACGCTTGTTCTCGCGAGGGCGTTTTCTCTGTCCTTGGCAGTACTTGGGGACAAAAGGGTGTGTGTAGGGGGTGCTCCTGGGAAGTGTCATCGTTAGACTGGGACACCAGTTCCATGGCACCTCCATCTGCACGTCAGCCATGCAGCTTTTTCCACCCCGCGCCACTGCCAAGCTTGGGATAAGGCTGGCTGCTGTGCACACGCACGCTTTCCCCCTGCACTGGAAACACTCAGATAGTCCGGATTTGTCAGCAGCCTTCATCCCTCAGCCAAAGGGGAGGCCGCAAGCCACAAGCACTTAGAGTCCAGGCTTAGGCCAGCTCTTGGGCCTGGCACAGTGGCAGCGAGCCTCAGCCTGGGGTTAGGACAGTTAACAAGCACAGAGGGACGTGGATGACATCATGGGCTGTCCCTACCCCAGCCAGCCCCACTCCACCCACTGCTGTTTCCTTCTTCTGTCTGTTTCTGCTTCCTTCAATGTTTCTCCCTTTCTCTCTCCTGCCCTGCCACTCCCGAGCCTCCTCATCTCTCCCCCTTCCTTTTCTCTCTTCTTTCCTCCCCTCACTCCCATCTCTTCGGCCTCCTCCCTCCCTCCCTCCCTCCCTCTGGTATGGAAAACCAAGGCTTTAAGTGGCAGTTATGCTGAGAGGTCAGCCTAGGAATATAAAGTGCCTTTGGGTCCCCCGGGCCCAGACCATAACCTCTCCCACTAGGGTTGCTCACCCTGGTAGTTTGAGTGATTATTGCCCCCATATGCTCCTATGTTTACTGTGAAGGATTGGGAGGTGTGGCCTAGTTAGAGAAGGTGTGGCCTTGTTAGAGAGGGTGTGGCCTAGTTAGAGGAGGCGTGGCCTAGTTAGAGGAGGTGTGGCCTTGTTGGAGAAGGTGTGGCCTAGTTAGAGGAGGTGTGGCCTAGTTAGAGAAGGTGTGGCCTAGTTGGAGGAGGCGTGGCCTAGTTAGGAGGTGTGGCCTTGTTAGAGCAAGTGTGTCACTGGGGGTGGGCTGGGAGGTCTCAAAAGCCCATGCCATCCTCAGCCCCCATCCCACCTGTGGATCAGGATGTAAAGCTCTCACGACTGCTCCATCCAGGGCTAAGCTAGCCGTCATGCTCCCCGCCATGATGATAATGGACTAACTCTCTGAAACCGGAAACCAGCCCCCAAATTAAATGCTTTCCTTTAGGAGTAGCCGTGGTCAGGGTGTCTCTTCACAGCCCGTTGACATAGTTTCAGTCCGAGCTAAGGCTGTACAGACTCCATCTCCAGACAAACAACAAAACGCTGAACTTGAAAACAGGAAGGAAATTGTTGAAGTATTTCAGAAGGGCTTTGCAGGCAGCTAAGTGCAGCGTCCATTCAGCATCAGTGCTGACGAGAGGAGCCGTGAGAAAAAGCCAAAGGCAGACGCGGAAGAAGGGCGGCCAGTCCATCCTGCCTTGGACTGGCTCTCCTACACTCAGCTGCCCTGGAGGAGCAGGGTGAGGTGTCCAGTCCAGGGGCCATTCCCAGGTCATCATAAACTCTGCCTCACCAAGGAAGCACACCAGCAATGCAGATTCCTGGGCCACACCCCTCCCCACTACCACTTGGATTCAGATGCTGGGTGGGGCCCGGATACCAGTCTCGAAGAGCAAACTGTGGATTCTAAAGACCTGCTACACAGCCCTACAGCACCAAGGCATAAAAAAGCTCTAGACACAACTCCCCCCCCCACCCCCAGCTGCCTGAACTCTGACCTGAAGAACTGGGACTGCCCTGCACTCTCCCAATTAGAACCATAGCTTGAGCAAGTCCATTCTCAGAGGATGCCCAGATACATCTAAATGGCATAGGGCCTCTTTCCAGATGTCTGCAAGGATCGGAGCCCCTCACTCAACCTGAGACTGTGACTGCTGCACCTCTGCTGCCTGTCACAGGGACCTCAGAGCCACTGAGGTAGGACTTGAGGGAGAACAGAGAACATGGTGCACTTTCTGAAGACTTTAGTCTATTTCTGCGCATGTGCGGTCATGTAGCTGGGGGAGTGGCCAGGAATTCTATCAGTTTCTACCATGACTTTTCACCCTCCACACTGGCACTGAAGAATGGTATCTTTTAATACCAGTTGGACTTGACTTAAAAACCTGTCTGGTTCCTTAAAACAAAGCCCATGTCCCAGTCCTGACCTTTGGGGCTGGCTCCTCCTTCTCCAAACTTCCTACTTCAGCCGACTGCTTAGGAACGCAGAAATACACAGCTGTGCTTCTGCTGGGCACATTCCAAGCCTCTCACCTGCTCACTAAGATTCTACTTTGGGGTCCCCTGCTCCCAAGGGACACACTCCCAGCCTGCCCTAGCTACCCTGCCCTGTGAGGAGGGTAACTCCTGCTACCCCTGAGCTGTGCATTCCAATCACACTTACTGAGAGACAATGAAATTCTGTCATATGCCTGGCCTCCTCCAGAGCCTAGCTCCTCACTGCCAGTGAGAGCATCCTCACCGCTCTGGTAGCTCCAGTACCCGGCAAGAGCCTGGCACCCTCGCTCTCCACCTGATGAACTGCAGGGATGCTTTTCATTTTAAGGAATTGATGTAGGGAACAGAGGGGGGACGTTCGGGGGTCTTCAGACACCTGAAGCTCTTACAGGTACCTCTCTGGTCATGGGTTGTGGCCACTTACTCTCTTCTGAAATAGAACTAGAACCCACATCAGCAGCCTGGCCATCATAGTCAACTGAAACCTTTAAGGATGTGTTCTCAGCTTGGGGGCATGCTCAGATCAGACTCTGGGTTGGTCCCTCCCAAACATCTGCATTTGGCCCTGAGGGATCCCCTGGCTCTTTCACTGCACTCCACCAAACATGTGGGTTCTGAGCTGCCGGGGAAAACCCACTGTGGTCCCTGTTGGGACACTGGTGAGCAGAAGCTGGCTTGAATTCACCCCGGAGAGCATGCTAGTAGTGGCTTGCTGCGGGGGCCATCAGGGCAGCATCTACCCATCAAGGCCACAGAACTTGAGTCCACAGGCTTAAGGCTCAGAGAGCATCCACGAAGAACAGTACTGATCCAAGCAGGTAGGCTCTTCCTATGGACATCATGTCTAGGACTCTGCCTCCCCCACTTCTGGCCCTGCTGGGTCACTAGGGACAGCACCCTCCATGGCTGGGAATCTCTCATGAAGACAGGATCACCTGGGGCCAATCACTGTGCTGTCTTCATGCTTCGAAGCACACAGTGGGACTTCCTATGCACCTGCCTCTCCTTACCCTGCTCGCTAGAGGGAAGTGGGAGTAGGGAAATTAAATTTGCAAGCAGTTTGCACACAATGGAGTGTTTTACCCAGGTGCCCCTCTAGCTTCTAGGCTTAAGTAAAGGACAGCCCTACAGTGGTCCTCAAACATTTTAGACACAGCGTAGATTGCGAACAGTGATAAGGATTGGGAAAATAGCAGGTGCTTAGATGGTAGGCACCTGAGATGGGAGTTAAAAAAAAAAAAAGCCAAACTTTCTCCCCCAGGTCAACTCCTTATGTGGCCCCTAAATGACAGGGCAGGAAATGGAGATCTCTTAGGGAGAGGCCATCTTCCCTGAGTTCGTCCCTAAAGTCAGAACCCACTGGAGGAAAGGCAGGGACCGGGAAATGAGCATTCTGTTCCATTTCCCACTGCTGCTCCTGAGAGGTCCCCACCCAGACCTCAGGGCTTTCCCACCCCGTCTGGTTCTGATATGATAGCTGCGGGGCGGGGGGGCGGGGGGGGGCAACAGAAGAGGTGGTGCATTTATTCCATTTCCGCAGGTGTGGGCCTGCTGTCTCCTTAGGACTCGGGGTTCCCACATCTGTCCAGATGGTATGATACTGCCCAGCTGTTTCTCAGAACCAAGGGGTGCCTCAGGGAGGGAAGGCAAAAGGAAGGTCCCCCAAAGCACGAGCAGTTGGCCTCTGCTGCCCACCTTCTCAAACACAGGTTCATCCAGACACAGCACAAAGGGGCAGTTTATTGGGTGCCTGTGGCCAGGGATGGGGACACTCAGGAAATAGTAAGCTGTGTTCAATGGGAGCCTTGCCGAGTAAGTCCTCTGCTCTAGCACCCTGGAGAAGCCCCGGGAGAGCCTGCTGGTCCCTGGGAAGTGCAGAGTAGTAAGATGGCTCAGCTCTTCTTCCCAAGGCCCTCCTGAGTTCAGACAGACCTCCAGGCCTGGCTGAGGAGGAACAGTCTTGGCGTCTGGATGAGGCAGTGGTAGCTGCATGCTGTCCTGCGGGTGCTGTCCAGGATGGCTAGGAGTCCCCGTCCCAGCTGCTTCCCAAGAGGACAGGCAGCCAGAGTAATGCTGGTTTGTTGGCCAGTGGCCAAGAAGGAGGTAGGGTGGTGAGCCGGGACCAGAGCTTGCCCTGAATTTGGTCTCACGGTGCAGGGGTACAGTATGAGTGATTCTAATGCTTCCGAGTGCCTTGTGCACCCCATGGAGCTCAGACATCTGCTGCTGGTGGAACTCTATGCAACCTGTAAGAAAAAGCACAGGTCAGCTTGGCCCACCTGTTGAAGAAGCCTGCAGATGGTACCCGAGGGCCATCAATGTTCAGGAGCACTCAGCCATCAGGTCCTCCGCTCTGCCCTTGTAGTATCCTTGTCCCCAGAGACTACCTTCTGGTTTTCATCTATGCAGGTTGGAATCACCTGGAAAGCTTAAAAGGCCCCTAGCCCAGGCCTCACTCAGGGTCTCTGGAGCAATCCCCAGGCCCCTGCACTTTTAGAAGCACCATTGTTTCGGTGTGAAGACACTCTGGGAGGCCGGAAAGGGGTTCAGATTGGTTCACTGGGCTCTTTGGTTGCAGTTCTGAATGAGGAAGTGCAAATTCACTAAAACACAGTTCTGAAATATTTGTAAATAGACCATAAATCACCTCAAGAAAGATTTATGTCGGCACTAAAGATTAGAACTTCCTGCTCAAGAGGATGGAAACTGTGGAGGGGTAGAGTCTCCTCCAGCTGGAACAGAACTGGGAGCGGATGCCTCCCCCGTCCGGGAACCCTCCAAAACTCTGAGGTCAAACCACAGGCTCTGCTTCCAGTTGCCCTACCCCCTGACCCCAATTCTGGTGTCTCACAGTAGCACGATGTGGAGGTCTGAATGAGAATGGCCCCCAGGAGCTCATATGTTTGAATGCTTGGTCCCTAGTGGGTGGAACTATTTGAGGATTAGGAGGTGTGGCTTTGTTGGGGGAGGTGTGTCACTGGGGGTGGGCTTTGAGGTTTCAAAGGCCCACACCAGGCTGGGTGTTAGTGGCGCATGTCTTTAATCCCAGCACTCGGGAGGCAGAGGCAGGCAGATCTCGGTGAGTTTGAGGCCAGCTAAGCCTACACAGCAAGCAAGTTCTGGGACAGCCAGGACTATACAGAGAGACCCTGTCTCAAACAAACAAACAAACAAACAAACAAACAAACAAACAAGCAACATGCTTTATAAAGCCAGACTGCTGCACAGCAGAAGGTCTGCTCTGTAAACGTGCTCCTGAGTTATCTGAGCAGTTGACAGTCCTGGTGTGTATGTCCACCCCTACACTTGCTTTTGTGACTTTTCCTGGTACATGGAATCCCAAAGCCCCAAGCACCGCTGCTGGTCCCCACCCATCCAGGAGGGGGTGCTATCTAGAGATGTGCCAGTGTCTCCAGGCAGCCTGGGCACTTGTGGAGAGCAGGTGGGAAGGATGGAGCCTATGGGGCTGGAGACATAGGCTTTGGGCAAAAATGTCAGATTGTCTGTGCTGTGGTTTCAGAGTGAGGCATATGGTGGCGTCCACTCCAAGGACACCTGGAAGGCTCCTTAGGCACGCAAGGAAGCCTTAGGCATATTGCTCATATTCAGTGCAGAGCCTGACCCAGACACCAGCCTGCTTGCTTCCAAGCCCCACTCTGATGCACTGAGGCTGGTACAAAGCCTATACGTAAAACCTATGCCTCCTCAAGATGGCACCCCACTTGTGGATGAGGCCTTACACTCCAGTGTGGTTGTTCAGAGAATTAACAAGTGCCTTGGATTCTGCATGGGGGACACAGGGACTCTGCACTGCCCCCCCCCCCAACCTTGGCAGCAGGGAGGACACCGCCTTCCCCAGACATGGGAGATGCTCACCGTTCGATGAGGCGGTTGTTGTCCTGGAGATCAAAGGCCAACAGCTTCATGTCATTACAAAGCTCCTGCATGCTGTCCCAGGGAGGAGAAAGGGGTGGCTGAGGCCCAGGTCACTTGGCCCAGAGCCCACTTGCAGAGGCCATGGAGCAGCCTCTTGGCCTGGCCTGACATGAGATGAAGCAACGTGGTGTTAACCTCAGCACCCTCCTTCCCCCAACTCTCCAGCACTTACTGGAAGACCAGGTCCTTTGGATCAGGGCTGGGATGAGGAGCCATGGGATGTGGTGAGATCTGAGCCCCCGGTGCTCTGTCCAGAAGGAGCTGATCAAGGATCTGAAGGGAAGCCGTGCATTAGTCAGGAAGGACCTATCAGCTCACGGATGGCTGGGTAGGGGATGTGCTGAGGAAGGGTAACACATCTGCCCTCACACTGTCTCCCTAGAGCCCCAGGAACGATCCGGTCTTTTCAACATGCCGTTCCTTCCCATCCTGGGGCTGTCTCTCTGGTGTCACTGCTTCCCCTCATCTGTCCTGAACTAAATGATTCAGTCTGCCCAGTTCCCCTCTGGCTCTAACCTAAACCTCTCATGACACAGTCTGAGCCACAATTTGGGAGAGAGGCCATTCCTAGCCACTCTCTGTGGTTGCCCGCATTGCATGCTGGGAGCCACGTGGGCTGTGTCCTAGAAGGGCCTGCTTTGTACTGTTTGTGGCCAGCTAGATAGATGCTTTGGCAGAGAGTGACTCAGAAGACCAAGGAGAGCTCACATAACCTCTCAGGAGCAGCCTTGGGACCTCCACGCTGCACAAAACCGGAGTAACATGTCCTAGGAGTCGGAGCCCTTGCTTACGGGATTTTCAGTCTGAAATCTCTAGGAATGTTCCTATCTCAGGGCACATTTGTAGGTCAGAGACCTCCAACCTTCATGAGCATCCCTGAGTTGGTCAAGAGTCCAACTCGGTCCACTGCTCTGTCCACTGCTCTGTCCACTGGCAGGAAGTGATCCAAAAATGTCCCTTCCCCTCTGCAGCCCCCTAGAACCCCCAAAGCGCCCACACCTTGCTCAGGCTCTCTTGCGTTTCCTGGGCTTCTGTGTTACAGGCAGCCACAGAGCGACCAATGAGGTGCAGGTGGTTCTGGGCCTTCTGTACCTGCCTTAAGAGAGACAGAGGAGATTAGAGCAGGCCATGGCTCGCCACTGCTGGGACACTCCAGCTGGTGCCAGCTCACCGGGGGGTCCTAAGCATTGAGCTTCGTCTATGACTCTGTCCTTCGGGGTGTCACTCATCTCTTACCCGCCTCTATGCTGCACACAGCTGCTCCTGGGAACTGAGAGAGTCCCAAGAGAACCACCAGGGCAGGGATCAGTAACAACACCCCCGTGGGTGAGGCTGGGTCACTCAAGCGGTTAGGGCAAGCATAGAGGCAGGCAGGTGAGGCATGAGAGACAGAGGACAGCCCAGGCTAGCACACTTATGTGAGGAATGACAGCCCACACTAGAGCATTTATGTGAGGAATGTCCATGCTTCCATCTCCATAACAAAGTAAGGGCAAGACTTGGGAATTCTCATCTCTAATCAGAGGTCATGCAGGGACATTTCCCCATGGCACAGAGGAAATCAAGTCCAAGGTCTATTAAACCAAAAGTTGGTTTTCAGTTCTGAATACATGTTAGAGTCATCAGGGATAGCTTTTAAACTAGTATCTAAGACCTGCCTAGGCCCCTCACATCAGTGTGTTGGGGGTGCCAGGCGGTGAATCCTAATGGGAGGGTTAGAGGAACTCAGCCACACAGCACACAGACAACTGTCCTCTCTTCTCAGGGGCCCGGGAAAGTGCTGCAGGAGACCACGGGTCCTTGAAAAAGGAGTCTCAAACTCCAGAACAGTGTGAAGGAGGACATGTTAGTGGGCAGCGCCTGGCCCTGCTTCCCTGCCCTTTTGAAGTCTGTTCCCCCTCCTCCCTAGGGAGCTGGTATTCTCCCTAGACAGAAGAGCCCTATCACACCAGACAGGGACGGCAGGTAAAACCCAGATTTTAGGGGTACCTCTACCCATGTTCTAGTCCCCAGTCTGCTGTTTATTAGCTGTGTGACATTAGGAAGAGACCAGTTCTTGGAGCCTCGGTCCCGTCGTCTGAAAGGAGGAGGTGGCATTTGCTGTGTAAACACCGGGGAACCAAGGAAGCACCGTTGCAGCGATCACCCAGCAGACTGCCTGGCCCACTCAGTTTTTCCCTCCTCAGGGACCTCCTTTCCTACTCAGGCCCGCAGACCCCGGGGTCCTCTGAAGTCTGGAAGGGCCGGGCTAGCCCAGGCTGCATGAGCTCAGAGGAAGGGCCGGGCTGTTTACCTGATCCTCTTGCCATGTGTGACCAGCGACACCTGATACTTCTGCACACACTCCTCCTGGAACACCTGCAGCAGCCTCTTGGCTAAGTGGCTAAAATTCACCCTGGAAGGACAGAGAATCCACGCTCTAGAAGGGAGCAGCCGGAGCCACCTGCACGGCAGACGTAGCCCTTCCACCACTACCCGTCACACACGCCAGCCCCTCAGCCCGCCACAGGGCACCTCTCAGGAAGCGAGGATGGCCACACACTCAGATCGTGAAGGCCCAGAGTCCAGCAAAGCCACGTGTTCCAATGAGGAAGCAGGGGAGGCCAATATGGTGGTCTGTGAATGCATACACTCTCAACTTGATCCCCGGGAGGAGGAAGGATGCACAGCTACGAAAAGCTTGTGAGTGTGTGTGTGTGTGTGTGTGTGTGTGTGTGTGTGTATGCGTGCATGCATGCATGCCTGCATATGTGTGTGTGTGCGTGTGTACGTGCGTGCGTGTGTGTGTGTGTGTGCATGTGTATGCGTGCATGCATGCATGCATGTGTGTGCGTGCGTATGTGCGTGTGCGTGTGTGTGTGTGTGTATGCGTGCATGCATGCATGCCTGCATATCTGTGTTAGTTAGAGTTAGAGGTGGTATAGCTCTGGGGAGAAAAAGAAAAATCCCCAAATAGCCATCAGAGCAGGGAGGCCTGGCGCATGATGTGGGTGTCCAGGAAACGGTATCGATGAGAAGCCAGGCATGCCCAGGCCAAGCTCCAAAGCATCGAGTGGGAAGAAGTTGGCCACTGAGAATAATTCAAGAGAAAATCCTACAAGCAAGCTTGTTGGTGATGGGAGGAAAGCCAGTTACATCACGGTTGTCTGTGAGAAGTCCCAGACTCAGCTGTTCAGTGTCCCACCCCTGACCCTATATAACCTACTCGGATCGTTATCCCCACCCCCACCCCACGCCCCCCTCACACCCCCCCCCCCCCCCCCCCCCCCCCCCCGCTGCCATGGCCAAGGGTCAAAGCACTTGAGTATTTCCCACCTGGAGTGAAGACTCACTCTACCCCAGTGACCTCCACCCTCCTGCCCACCTGCCTGCCAGGGAACAGGTCACTCACTTATCCAGCTTGTGGATCTGCTCCTCGTTGTAGCTGAGTCCTGAAGGAAACAGACGGGGATGATGTCACCACTCAACTAGTCAGCAAAGCAAGTTAAAAAGATGAAGACAGCCCAGGGTGGGGCTATTTTATGGGATCTCAGGCCCAGGGGAGCCAGGAGGGGATGAGGGAGTGGGACATCAAGTGACTATGACAACGTTATTAATAGTGACTGCGCGGCTATGATTTAGGGACCAAGGAGCTGAGGAGAAATGCTATGTATGGGGCTCCAGAGGGAGGCAAACCTGCTGTGTGTGTGTGTGTGTGTGTGTGTGTGTGTGTGTGTGTGTGTGTGTGTGTGTGTACGCGCACATCGGGAGCTGGGTGGGAATGCTGCAGGTGGGAATGCTGGATGAAATGGTCCTCATGGGATGCGGCCATGGCCCTTCAGCCACACACCCTCTCCAGCTGGCAGCTGGTTGGCTCCATCCCTGGAGCTACTCACAGGAAGGCCACCACCTTCTAACTCTCCCTCTCTGCCCGGCAACTAAATTTCAGAAGGAGCAATTTTGGGTAGAAGTATCCTTGCCTGGACCTAGGCTACCACCCCAAGATCGTAAAGCTCATGCACTGAGGCGACACTGCCCCCCTGCTGGGCTTTGAGGGAATGGGTCTCCAGAGCAGTGGTAGCCCCAAGATGCTGGTTTGCCCTTTCACCTTCCCATCCCATCACCCCAATAGGAGGATCCCCTTCCTGGGCCTGCCTTGTGAAGGCCAGGAGACTTGAACACACCCCAGCTCCCCCCTCCTTCTAGCAGGCAGCTGTGTACAAGTGACTTGGCTCTGGAGGCTGGTTGCGTGTCCATCATGGGCACACATGGATGCCTATGAGGATCACGGGAGAGTGCCCTGACCTTCCAGAATGGCATCGTGCAACACTCCAGGTGCCGGTGGTTGTTCCTGTTTTTAATAAAGTACTCTGAAAGAGCAGTCAATATGGAAACTCTCAAGGCTGTAAATGGTATGGTTAAAAAAAAGTTGGACCAGCCGGGCAGTGGTGGCACACGCCTTTAATCCCAGCACTCGGGAGGCAGAGCCAGGCAGATCTCTGTGAGTTCAAAGCCAACCTGGTCTACAGAGCAAGATCCAGGACAGGCACCAAAACTACACAGAGAAACCCTGTCTCAAAAAACAAACAAACAAAAAAGCTGGACCTAGAACAATTGAGCTAATTAGCACTTCTTTGCCTCAGTTTCCCAAACTATCAAACAAGGAAAGTTGAGATGCATAGAGGATTGTTGTTGTTTGTTTGTTTTGAGACAGGGTCTCTCTATGTAGCTCTGGCTGGCCTCGAACTCACACCAGGTCTGGAACTCACAGATATCTACCCCTCTCAGCCTCTTGAGTGCTGGGGTCAAAGGCAGGCTCCACCACACGCGCCAGTGCCTAGAGCACTGAATAACTCAAAGACGAATGGCGTCCTTAGGCTGGCGCCCACCGTCAAGGCAATGCTTTAAAGCTTTGGTGGCAGGATTATGGAGTTCCAGACTTGGAGGTAGCCAACCTTCCTGGCTCTCCTGAAACCACCGCAGTGGCCGGCTGGGTACAGGACCTTGACTGAGCCTCAGCTCCCCCTGCTCCCGGGGACAGGGGGGCTTGTCTTCCCCATCCCCTCTGAGGCCAGACTCCAGAGGAAACTAAAGGCCCCAAAGGAGAGAGGTCATGTTCCATAGATCCCCAAGTCCTCAATGGTGACCATCAGATTCAGGTGGCTATGGAGCACCTGACATGTATCCATGGTGACCAAAGGCCTGGATTTTTAATTGAATGCATTCAATTAATGTAAAATTTAAAACTGAAGCAGGGTGAAATTTTTTTCCCCACTAAGTACAGCTTTATAATTTTGTTAAGACTTACCACGTTTACTGAACACTTGTCTTCTAGACAGAGGTATAAAGTATAAAATACACATGGGATTTTGAAAATTTAGCATGAAAAGGAGCACAGAGTATCTTTTTAGTGGTTTTGTTTATACCGAGACTATGCTGAAATGACATTATGATACATTGAACACAAAATATATTAAATTAATCTCGCCTTTTTTTTTTTTTTTTGATTTGGCTGTGAGAAACTTAAATTCCACATATGGCTAGATATTATGTTTCTCCTAACAGTGCTTTGTAGACTATCTTGGGGCCAGAAGAGCATTAGGCAACGAGGCAGATATGGAAATGTTCGGAGCATAGTGTAGGGATGGAGAGTGAGCTTTGGCATGTTAGCTCCCCAGCTAACTGGAGCGTTTATTCCCAGGCTCCCCCAACTCCATCCCCATCCCTGCCCAGGTTCAAGCCTCAGCCTATCGACTCTACCCTCATCCAACTCTGACAAGCAGGTTTCCATTCCCTGGCCAGAAGGGCTTTTGTAAGAAATCTCCTAGTCCAGGAACTCTAATGGGGATTTCTTTTGGTCCCCATTCTTAGACAATCTGGGTCTTTTGGTGGTCCAAAGACCCAGTGGAGGGACTGGGGAGATGGTCTAGTGAGCGAAATGCTACTGTACAGTGTAGAAACTAGAGTTCAGATCATGAGCACCCATGGAAATGCTGGGCAGGCACGGTGGCCACCTGTGACCCCAGTGCTAGGCAGGTGGAGACAGGCAACACCCGGAGCAAGCTGGCTAGCTACATTAACCAAATTGGTGAGCTCTGGGTTCAAGTAAGAGACTCTGCCTCAAAATATAAAGTGCAGAGCAATTGAAGAAGAAACCTAGCAACTATCTCTGGCCTCCAGAACAGGTAAACACACATACATTTGTGCATACACAAGACACATGCATGCATACACAAGACACATGCATGCACGCGATGAGCTCTCGAGCGCGTGTGCACGCACGTGTGTGCACACACACACATACACACCCCCCCCCCCCAAACCAAACCAAATGAAAGACACAGTAGATAGGAAAACACTTCTTAGAGTGCCCTGTCAAGGTAAGGGGTCCAGACCCATTTCCACATTATCCATGCTCCCGCTCACTCTATCCTGCATCCATGACACCCAAGCTTCTCTCGCGACGGTAGACATGGTTATAATGTCTCTCAGTAGCCTACAGGCAACATGCAGGCGGGGACTCTCCTGCCTGAGGCCAGCTGCTCCCAGTAGTATACACTAGTGAGCCTCCAACCATGCTGGGTTGACAGAAGGGAGAAGGGAAGGAGGGTTCCTAGGGGTTGGCTCTCTCCGACGCTCACCTGGCCTCATCCTAGATTTCTTGAACTGTTTGTAGATGAAGTGCATCTTGTCCAAACAGCACTGAATCTTCTGGATACTGTGGGCAGAAAGCGGGAAGACTCAAACGTCACAGTGGTGGGAAGAGGAGGGAGCTGTCTCCCGGCCACAGAGCAGGGTGGGTGAGATCCGGGAGTGGGGGAACCCGGCCGCCTGTCTCTCAAGCTCTCCTTCTCTATTCTAGACCTCTCTCTCTCTCTCTCTCTCTCTCTCTCTCTCTCTCTCTCTCTCTCTCTCTCTCTCTCCCCCCTCCCTCCCTCCCTCCCTTCCTCTGTCTCTCTCTCTGTCTCTCTCTCTCTGTCTCTCTGTCTCTCTCTCTGTCTCTCTCTCTCTCTCCCTACCTCCCTCCAAGCAGGTGAAACAGAGAGTCTGGACTGGGTAAAAGGGTCTATATTTTTATATAGCTGCCCCATAGAAGGAACTTAATGGGTCAACAATTCTACCTAAGCAGTAATGAACCCATGGTCCCCCTGGAGCCAGAGGGTGGGGTGGGAGGCGGCCTCTCAAGGGCCTTGTCAGCCTGGGGTTTAAAGTCAATCACTGCTTCTTCCCCTTGCCTTTCACACTGGATACAGCAGCTTCCTTTAGGGGACTGGGGTGTCCTTCCTTACCCTCAGGCCTATTTTGGCTTCACTTCCTCCCCAGAGGTTTCTAGGGGACCACCACCCCAGGCTTGGGTAAGGTGCAAGCTTATTGCTAGGGTTCAGGTAGCCTGAGAGGATGAGATTGGCTGAGATGTGTCTAGAGCACTGTTTCACATTTGTGAGCCCGGGATTGCCTTGTGATTCCAGCGAGGCACCCCAGTGCACACGGAGGGTTTGTGGAGTACCCTAGCAGTGTGTGTTTCGGGCACCTAATCCAATGCACTCATAATATCTACTAGGAGAGCTGGGCATGGTGGCACACACCTTTAATCTCAAGTACTCATGAAGCAGAGGTAGGTGGATCTCTATAAGTCTCCATAGTGAGTTCTAGGCCAGCCAGAGTTACACAGTGAGACCTTGTCTCAGAAAATTAAAAATTAAAAAAAAATCACCATAGATGAGACAGAGTACACACGGCTTTATTCATTTTAGACTACGTTCTGTGAGGGAACAGCTAAGGAAACCCTGTCATTTTCAAAGCTGTTTGAATTTGGGGACATTAGATCTGTAGAGACCTCAGCTGCCGTGGTCACAGTGGAGCAAGGTTCTGCCCTCGGCAGACGTGGGCGGGCATTTTTAGTTTTGTGAAAAACAGTAATAAGGTTCTTTACAAGCTGTAATTCAGGAGCTGGAGAGATCAATCAGTGGTGTAGAGCACCTGCTCTCGCAGAGGACCTGGATTCGATTCCCAGTACCCAAAGGGTGGTTCACAGCCATCTAGAGCTCCAGTTCCGGGTGGTCTGATGCCCCCTGCTGGCCTCGGGTGGCACTGCACATATGTGGTGCACAGACATAAATGCACGCAAAACACTCGCACACACAAAATAATAAAATAAAATAAACTTGTCTGTTTTTTGAGACAGGATTTCTCTGAAGCCCTGGATGTCCTGGAACTCACTCTATAGACCAGGCTGGCTTTGTACTCACAGAGATCCACCTGCCTCTGCCTCCCAAGTGCTGGGATTAAAGGCATGCAGCAACACTGTCTGGCTCCCCCAACCCCTGAGAGTTTTTAAGTCTATAAGGCTTGTCTGTCTGTCTGTCTATCTCTGTCTCTGTCTCTTTAACTTACTTACTTACTTACTTACTTACTTACTACTTACTTACTATGTGGTTCTGGGAGTTAAACCTGGAGCCTAGCACATGCTAGGCAACTGCTCTACCACCATGCTACAGGCCAGGCAAAATAAAATTTAAAACACTGCTGTAGGTCGCTGTCTGCTGTAAGTTTTGGAGGTAGCTGTATCTGCCTTGAAGGCCACCTGTCATTTACTGATTATGACTTTGGGAAGGAAGCTCACAGAGTGATCCTTCCCATTCATAACAGAAATCAGTAGCACTGGTGTTTGGCAGACTCAGAGATGCTCTCTGTGAAAGTGGACACAGCCAGAGAGGGAGCTGAGAGCTCCTGCCGGGCCCCTAAACTGCTGTGACTCCCTCCTTGGGATTCATGCTCTCCGTTAAGGCAGGACCCAGGTTCTCACTCCTGAGGCTGCTCTCAGGGAGGGCCTGGCTCTTCCTTGGATTCCCCCTCCCACACCCTAGTACCTTGCCCCAGAAGAGAGCAGTCAGGCTGACTCCGAGAAGGGTTCTCAGCCTCTGGGGCCACCTGCAGCCCCAGCCTCATCACACAGACAAAGGAAATCCCACCCACCTTCTGTTGTCCTCATGGATCTGGTTCCGGTTCTTCAAAAGCTCTCCGCCCAGGCAGCTCAGGCTCATTTGGGTTTCTGTGACATTGTGGGAACATCTAGAGAGGACCTCTGAGAACTGTGGGGCCAAAAGAGAGACTCCTGTGGGGTCCTTAACTCAGGGCTGTGCGGAGCAATCTGCAGGACCATCCCTACCCCTACCCCGCCCCTTATTCCTATACAGCTCTGCCCCTGGCTCACTCACAGTCTGCAGCCTGGACCTCAGCTCTGTGGCCTCCTTTAGTTCCTGGAAGTCAGGCATCTCAGCCCTGCTGCTGAGCCTGGAGGGGAGTTAGGAAAAGGCTATGTTGGGGGCTCAGGAGGCAGATGAAGAGGCCGAGAGCTCTGAACCCATACACTGGGCACAGCTCCTTTGCCTTTAGAGTTTGAGACAGAAGAACCAACTTGACATGGTTGTAATATTGTTGAGCATTGCAAAGAATAAAAGTTGAAGTAGATTAAAACTCCTAATTCAAACGTACAAGCCTACAATACAAGGTAGCTATTAGTAAACCCCTTGCCAGAAAGTTCTATAACTAAATAGAATGAAGTTCTTCCCAGTGGAAACTGTTTCTTGACAACCAATAGCACATTAATGGGAGGGTACTAGCCCACAGTTGTCCAGGACTTGGAACATTAGCATCCCATTGCCCCAGTGAAGTGATTGACACTGAACTCAAAGAATGATTGAAAAGGTGGACAGTTGCAAGGTGACAAAGTCATACCATCCTGGTTCTTTTGCAGGAAAAATACACCTACACAGTAGAGGAATCACATGACCACTACCTGTGGTGTGTACACAGGCAGTACCCCCGCCTGGTCTATGGCGTGTTCTAACACAAACTGTTTAACTTGACTCCAACAGTCCACGGAACCCCTAACTTACCAAAGATCCCGGGGGGGGGGGGTAGAGAAACCAAATGTCAGCAAGAGAAAGTCCTACGAGCCTGAGGGTGGGCAGTGAATTGGAGGTCTCTGTCCTATGAGCCAGAGGGTGGGGCAGTGAATGGGGGCCTCCGTCCTACGAGCCTGAGGGTGGGCAATGAATGGGGGGGGGTCTCCGTCCTGTGAGCCTGGGGGTGGGCAGTGAATTGGAGGTCTCTGTCCTACGAGCCTGAGGGTGGGCAGTGAATGGGGGGGGGTCCTCCGTCCTGTGAGCCTGAGGGTGGGGCAGTGAATTGGGGGTCTCCGCTAAACCAGCGAGGGTGGGATGAGAACTTACATAAACTCAAGGAACAAAGCTACCACACAGACAATGTGGTCCTGGACTGTAGAAGGAGACTGCAGGGCAAGTATGCTAGAACACTTCCCTTCCTGATGGGTCCAGAGGGGATGCGAATGTACTGATGGAGAGGGCCCACCAGCTGAGAAGAGCAGCATGCTGGCGACGTTTCTACTCACAGAGAATGGTGGAGAAAAGGACACAGAGGGGGCAGTGTGGTGACTCCTGTCTGCCTGGGAGGTGCTTCTGCACGTCCTGACTTTCTCCTACCAGAATATATATATATATGTATATATATACATATATATATGTATATATATACATATATATATATATATTTAAAAAGACTTTTTCTCTTTATTTTAATTGTTTCATACAATATATTTTGATCATATTTTCCCCTCCCCCAACTCAGATCCTCCTTATATCCCTACCCATTCAGCTGTATGTTCTTTTTCTCTCTTAAAAAAAAAAACACAGAGACAAAAATTAAAAACCCAATAAGACAAACGTCAAAACAAAGGGAAACATAGTCCTGCCTCCTCCCCTCAAAAATAACAACCATGGAGTTCACTTCGTGTTGGCCAACTACTCCTGGCCATGGAGTCCGCTGTGGAGTGGTTGTTATACCCAGTGAGATGCCACCGGAGAACACTGATTTTCCCTTTGCAGGCAGGGTTCAACTGCAAATAGCTTTTTGCTTAGGGGTGGGACCTGGTGTCCACTTCCCTCTCTCAGACATTAGCATATTCTCTCTCTATCTCTCTCCTTTTTTTTTTTTTTTTTTTTTTGTAATAGGGTTTCTCTATGTGGTCCTGGCTGTCCTGGATCTCACTCTGTAGACCAGGCTGGCCTTAAACTCATAGAGATCCTCCTGCCTCTGTCTCCTGAGTGCTGGGATTAAAGACATATGCTATCACGGCCAGCCAGAATCGTCTTTACATGATAACAATCAAGAGAGAATCCTGCATCTTTTTGCACGGGAATGGGCCACGGAAGGACGGAAGAGGTGAGCAGAGCATCTCGGGAGTCCACTGAGGCTCCACGTGGGCGGGGACACTGTATCCTTTACCCACTAGAGAGCTCCAGGGACCCACGGTGTTGAGCACACAGCATATCCTGTGTTGATGTTACTTATTGAGGGAGTGAATTTATATAATTGAGGTTTGGGGAGTGTGGAAACCTCAGGACTGCTGATGTCCTGATAGCCAGCTCTTCCTCCAGCCAGAGCCCTTCAGGACAGAGAGTAGGAAGGCTGCCTTGCTGAGAAAGCACACCGAAGAAAGGATGGGCAGGCGGGAAGGATGTAACTCTGCTACCAGCAACAAAAGAGACATTTCACTTGTTAAAATCCACCCCATTCCACTGTAGAGGGAGCTGGTGGCCACAGCCCTCAGAGGAATCTACAGCTCTGAGGGGGTCCAGGAAGAATGGGATTGCAAAACACTGGACTGGGAGACTTCAGATATTGGCAGAGCCCAGGCAGGCAAAGGTCCTGATGGCCCTCAGTCCCCTGCAAGCCAGGAAAGAGATCACATCTGGTCTCTGGCTCTATGCGGACCCCTCGGCTCTCCAGCCTCCTCCACACACCTGACTCTCCTGGCCTCAGAGCCTTGGAGCCAGAATGGAAAATCCATCTAGCTGACACTTGCCTCCTACAACCTGTCAGTCCAGGGCAAGGGGCAGACAGAAGGCCCACACCTTCCTCCACACATCTCTGCCCAGTCTGAGAACCCATAAACGATCACCGTGGTCAGGTTTTTTTGGTACCAACCTCTCTCTAAATGGACCCTCCAGGACGCCATGCCTCCCCCCCCCCCTCCCTGGCTTCACCCCAGGACATTCGCCTCACAGCAACCCTTCCATCCCCACCAACTTAGGCTCTCTGGGCTTCAAACCATGACGCTTTGGTTCCCCATCCCTAAAGGCCCCTTCCCCAGGCTCATGTGCTAAGGAAGGACAGACTGCACCTGGTCAACCCGGGCCCTTCTGTGGACAGATGCCACACCCACCCTTCGATCCCATCTCTGTGCCCTGCAGGGGACTAGCCAGAGGATGTCCAACAGGAACGATCCGGATGGCTTCCACCCTCTGTCACCATCCAGAGGGACTCAGTCACAACGGTCGCCAGTCCTATCATCTGGAAACACTCTTCCTCCTCTTTATCCCCTCTCCCGTCACCTCATCACCTCACCATCAGTGTCTGCCAGCCCCGGGCTCATACAGAGACCAGCCCACCCTGGGAAACTCCATGCACTTCCAATGGAAAGGCTCAGGTTATTGGGGGGGGCGTGGAGAAGGGGTCAGGAATGTTGTCACCGCTTGATGGGAAGGGCTTCCCTGGGCTGTAGAACTCCCATCTCTCACCACCCCCACTCTCTGCCCTTCAGGATTCAGGCTGTGTTTACTCCACAGCACTCTGGCCAGTGGATCTCCCCTTGCTCTTTCTCTCCACCCTCCATGGGCTTAGCTTCCTCCTTCCCAGGCTCTTCCTTTCCACCCCAGAAGGCAAGGACAAGCGAAAGACCCAGAAATAAGAGGAAATAATAAAAGGAAATAAGAGGAAAGCTATGGAGGCTGAGACAGCCTGGCTTTCCATCACTGGTCACGGGCAGGGACAGCATCTGGGAACGAGTCCTTCCTTGGAGTCCTCTCTGGGGCTTGGCACAGAATGAGTGTTTCAAATCATTCAAAGTCCTGGTGAATCAAGTCTCTATCTGGGTGAGGGGGGCTGCTCTTCCTGGGGCATGAGAGGGGGTACTACGCTTTTGAGGGTTGGAGGCTGCCCTTCCCGAGGTGAGGCATTGTCCTAGAGCCCAGAGAGGCAGTGCCCACGTGGATTTCTCCCTGCAGGAGGCAGGGCTAAGCTGAGGATGGGTACCATGTGGGAAGATAGGGTATGAAGCATGGGGTGAAGAGTGCTCATGTTGTAGGGGGTAGGAACTCTGGTTGGGGGAAGGCCGATACATCGCAGGGGTGAGGAGCAGAGAGGAGAGCTGAGGGGCCCCAGCTGGCCTAGCTGGAACACCTACCTTTCGATGCCCAGGCTGCTGCTGAGGAAGAGGAGGGCTGTCCGCGTGACCTCCAGTGTCTGCTGGCACGTGTTCTGAAGCATCTCCCTGTGTGAGGGAAGCCCTAGTCAGAGCCACCCTGACCGGGGTTGGGGGGTGGAGGGAGGAGGGTGGGGGAGGGGGCGGGGGGGGCACTGTGCATGTAGGCATGGCCTTAGAGAGGGACAGGAGAGGCCTGGACAGGTATGCTATGCTCCCCTCCAGCCCTCCACAGTACTCACAGGATCCAGTGTAACCCTCGAAGCATCAACGCCTGCCCATCCAGCAGGACCCGCGCCAGCCACAGGGCCTGGAAACCAGCAGCCAGCACCCCCTGAAACATACAGATGGGCTGGGCGGGCCTTCCCCGTGTGTCAAACCCCCTTCTGCGTCCTGGGGGCGCCCCTCACCTTAGCTGTGCTGTAATCTGCCTGTAGGTCGACCTTGGGGACGAACTTGGGGACGTCCAGAGCAGCTGCAGACAAAGACCCTGTCTGAGGGGCCTGCGTCTATGGACTGGGTCAATACTGAGGCCATCTTTCCTTGTTCCCAGCTCACAGGCACCCCTCACTGGCCATCTCCCACCTAAAGCTTCCCAACTCTCCCGGCGCCCCTTGGCTAGCAAACCTTGATCCAGTGGCTCTTCTAAGTCTCGGTTCTTTACTGCCACCTTGTGGTCAGGTTTGAGAACTACACCCTAAAGCTCCAAGCCCTGCCTCTCCAGCCCGCAGACTTGCAAGGTTAAAGCCCCTTCCCTTACCTCCGAGGAGGACTAAGCATATTCCAAATGAGAAGGAATATTCCTTCTAGAAAGTAAGGAAAGGACAAAGCTCTGGGCCTCGGCCCACCTGCCCTTCTCTCCAGCAGCCCAAACTACCCAAGGCATCCCCACCAGTCACAGAGACTGTCGAGGACATACGGGCTCCAAATGCCCCGTCTCTGTTGGAGGATCTGGAGAAAGCCAGGAAAGTCTAGTCACCAGCTGAAGTCACATGGCAACTCAGAGGTGTGCGTAGAATTAAAACCAAATTCGCATCTACCGTGCGGGCCAGAGAAACATTTACTAAGAAAACAAGCCATGTCCTGGGTTGTAAACGCAAATGTTCTGGAGGAGAGCGTCTCAAGTATAATAAAAGATCCAGCCTGAACGGCCCTACTCACGGTCCCTGAAGGCCAGCCCCTTGGGTGTGTCGCTGGCCACGCTGAACAGAATCAGAGGGCTGCCGGCAGCGGTGGGGGCCATGTGCTGTGCTGAGAGGCTTGGCTCCAGGACACAAGGGTGACCCTCAAAGAGGTACTCCTGGTGTTTGGGGGGCACGTTGGTCTGCTCATACACAGCCTCCAAAAAGATGGCAATCCTAGACCCATGAGAGGAGGAGGCATCAGCACGCACCCTGGGGAGGACTCAGCTTTTGGGGGGTAGGGTCCATGGGGGTGGCTTTTTCATCAAAGATGGGGAGGCAAAGGGCAGAGTTCATGTACAATGGGAAGAGGACTCAGGGGTTCCAATGTCTAGCCTCCGCCTTTGTGTCCAATCCTGCTGTACCCTCCTTAAAATTCTCCTGATCTCATGCGGTGACCCGGGTGTTGGGGCACACGCCTGTCATCCCAGCTCTTGGAAGGCTAAGGTAGGAGGATAGAGTCTGAGGTCAGCTGGGCTACACAGCAAGAGCCTGTCTCCAACAGCAAAGACAAAGACTTTAGTGAGCGAAGGGGTTCTGTGAAAAATAAATCATAAACCCAGGAAAGAGAGCGCCCCACCTCTGAGGCGGTTTAGTCCAGGCTGGCACTGTAAAGAATATGGAATCTAGAACACAAACAAGGAAGTCCGTTTGACTTGAACTTGGTGGAAACAGTACTTTTTCCCAATGTGTTTTGGGAGACGCTCCCTTGGACCCGCACCACTGCGCGGACGGGGGAGGCTCTTGTTCCCTCTCTCTGCTGTTCCCACTCACGTGTTGTGGGCGTGGATGTAGACGTGATGCAAGACCGCCTGGGGCAGGGAGAAGACGTGGATGACGATTCGCTGCAGGATGTCACTGGTCTCTGCAAAGAACTGATCAAAGCCCCAGCACTTAGCCTGCTCTACCTCCAGGATGTTGGCCAGGATGGGCACCAGTTGGCTCTGCAGCCCCCTACACACACACACAAGACATGAAGATTGTCAGAGCTGGGACCCAAGCATCCAAACGGAACCTCCCAGGCTATAGAAGGAAAGCGGAGGGCCCCAGGGCTCTGCTGATATAGCCTGGAAGTCTTGACTCAACACAGAAGCGATCCCTAGCTTAGATTCCGTAGAGAGCCCTCTCACTTACATGGACAGTCTGCAGGTGATGGGCAGGCTATAGCTCCACTCCAGCGGCCCATTTTCCTGCCTCTGAGTCCCTGAAATGGCCCCGGCTGGCTTCTCTGTGGTGATTCTGTGCCTATAGTGGAGCAGATTTAGGCCACTAGAACCTCCCCTCCCCACCACCCATCCATCCATCATTCTTTCCCTCTCATTCACCATACTTTAAGAAACAATAAACTCTGAACAGAGCACAGTCCATGTTACCCAGCCACTGGGAGGTAGGCTGGAAAATGAATTTGGGGCATCCTAGCTCTACCTGTGCGATCACCTCTGCCCAGCCAAGCTCCTTGCTTCCGTCAGAGTCCTTCTCACTGTCACTATGGCTATACCCAGGCCACCCACCTCCAGGTCTGTGCCACGCTGAGCTAGCTCAGTGCCCACTTTCTCCTCACTTTTCTAACTGCTCCCCCTAATCTATCCTTCCCTGACAGCCCATTCCATTCCAACTTCCCCCCTTGTCCCTAAACCTAATATTGGTTCCCCACAGCTTGCCCCAGGACCAAGGGTGCAAGCACCAACCTTCCCGATGACACATTGAGAAGAGGAAAACTCTGAGAGGTCTTCCATCTATTCCCAGATGGAGAAGGGAAGAGAAGCTGACCCTTGACCAGCCCTAAGGAAGCCAACCAAGAACGGTTTCACATCCCTGAACATAGGCTGAATGCTTAACGTAGACCGCAGCACTTCTGACCTCCAAGACCATCATGCTCTGCCTCTCTGTACCTCTCAGACCGTTAGCTACCATCAGTGCCATCGGAAGCACTTCTTACGGACTACCCTGCAACCCCAAAGCCCTCTCCTCTCAACTGCCCACTACCTACAGCCAATGTAGAATTCTGCGGTTCTTCCTCAATATTTATTTGTAAGAGCTCATGGTGCTAGTTCCAGCAGATGTTTTCCCAACTGCCCTCCAGCTAGAACCTTGGGAACTTGTCCCCGAGACTTGGGTCCTCTTTTCCCACATGGTATCAGTAACAACAGCTCAGCAGATCCTTGTATTGCAGGGCCCCTTATTTCAGTGGTTTGACACGACATCTCTTTTGCTCTGGGCCGTCCATGCTGGCAGCCCCTGCTTTCAGCTCCTCCTATGGGTCACTGAGAGACACTAGGAAGCCCTGGACCTGGGTACCAGCTCCACCGTCACCCCTGCGGGCTCGGTAACCTTGTAAGCTTCCTTGGCCCGGGGGAACACTGAATTAACACAAAGGTCCGTGAGTGTTCTCTACCACGCCACGGGTGTAAGGCTGTGCTTCTGGCTTGGTTAGCAGTGGCTCTAGAGTCAAGGCAGGGACAGGGGGTAAGAGACACAGCAGGACCCCGTGGGGGAAGGGCCAGGTGTCGGCCAGGAAGAAGTCCAGGGTCTGTCCCCTTCGTTCCCTGCCCCATCGCCCACCGTACATGATCTCCTTGTTGCGCCGGGGCCCACCAAAGGGGATGAAGGGCAGACTACCAGTGGCTGCATGGTACAGGGTCACCCCAATACTCCAGAGATCCACAGTCACCCCGAACGCCTTTTGCTGGGGTTTGCGAAGCACCGCCCGCTCATACATGTCAGGGTGCTATGGGAGAAAGGTAGAGAGTAGCCTTGGAGGGCCGCCAGTGTGGGCACTTCCTAGGGGACTCTTAGGGCGGCACACGGCAAGGGGCTATCAGCGGAGGGTCTCCACTGTGTCACTTACCAGGTATTCCTCTGTACCGTAGACAGAAACGAACTTCTCATCGTCGTCCAGCTTCCGAGCAGCCCCAAAGTCGGACAGTTTATAGATGCTCTGCCCCTCCTCCCCCACCAGACGCATGATGTTCCCAGGCTTGATGTCGCGGTGGACGATGCCGTTCTCCCGAAGGTGGTTCATGCCAGCCACTGGGGACAGACAGAGCACTGCTAGCTTGGCTCCAGCCAGGGACCGATCAGTCCAATGTCTGAGGTTTGTCCTGATGAAGAGTCTGTCCTTGGATCCCAACAGATAGGGAGTTGCCACAGGGAACTCAGGGGCACAGGAAACACTGGAGAACAGGGAAGCCCACAGGGCCAGGAAAGGGCGTTCCAAGCCAGAGAGATGGATCACTGGTTAAGAGCACTCCCTGAGCCGGGTGCTGGCGCACACCTTTAGTGCCAGCACTGGGGAGGCAGAGCCAGGCGGATCTCTGTGAGTTTGAGGCCAGCCTGGTCTACAGAGCAAGATCCAGGACAGGCACCAAAACTACACAGAGAAACCCTGTCTTGAAAAACAAAAAAGAAAAAAAAAAAAGAGCACTGGCTGTTCTTTCAAGAGATCCTGGTTCAATTCCCAGCACCCACGGGTCAGCTCACAACTGGAACTCCAGGCACCCAGTCATGCACCCGGCATGTGCAGGCAAAACACCCATACCCAGAAAGTAAAAATAATTTAATAAAAATCATTTAATACATTTAAGGGGGCTGGAGGGGAGGTTTGGGTAAGCGCTTGCCACTCTTCCTGAGGACCAGAGTTCAGTTCCCAGCACCCATGGTGGTTCACAACCATCTGTAACCCCAGGTCGAGGTGGGTCTGAAACCCTAGTCTGACCTTCAAGGGTACACCAGGCATGCACATAGCGCACAAGCATTCCTCTAGGGAAAACACTCATACACATTAAATTACCCTTTTTTTTTTTTTAATAAGCAAAAGGAAGGGGTCCCAAAGACATCACAATATTGACCCATTTGGGTTTTGTAGGGATCCCAGGGCACACCTTTTTCATCTTATTATTTATTTGTGGTAAAATATACCTAACAAAATTTATCATTTAAAATTTTGTTTTTCAATATATTTCACTATGTAGCCCAGGCTGCCCTGGAATTCCTGATCAGCCTTCCTCAGCCTCCCCAGTGTGGGGGCATAATCAACCCTTCAACTGAACTGCTTTTAAGCACACAGCTCGGTGGCTTTAAGCGCATTAATATTATCACGCAAACATCACCAACAGTCCCCTGCAGAACCTTCTCCTCCTCCCGAATGAAGTTCTACACCTATTAAACAGCACGCCCCACGCTGTAGGTGAAGTGTGGTTTTTGCCTTTGCGTGGCGAGCTCATTCCTCAGCACACTGCCTTGTGAGTTGGAATTCCCTCCGCTGTTCAGTGAGGCACCTAATCCCGTCAGGCTGTCTCACCTGTTGACTATTGGGAATAATGTTACCTTCAAGACCAGCCAACACACTTTTTAGAATTTTCTTCCTACAGCTTTGAGCTGGATCCATCACGTGGGTCCTTCTGGCCCACCCCTCCGCCTCAGGCCCGCTGGGATGCCTGCTTCAGAGTATGACACTCATCCTGGACTTTGTAGAGGGCCTAGGCCTGGGAACGGGGCATGGCTCACCCACACAGCGCAGTACCACCAGGAACTCCTCTTCAGGAAGCCCAAATGTGTTCTCAGGGTCCTCCAGCACACTCAGCAGGCTCCCGCTGGAGCAGTACTCCATCACTATCACCTTCTGCCGGCTGCCTCCCTGTGCGCGGGACAGAAGGAAGCTTGGGGAGGAGGGTACTTCCGACTTCTGCCTGTCGGGGTTGCTTACCTAGAGCCCACAGCCCTCCTTCCCGGGGCGCAGCTTCTTGCCGCCTTCTTACTGTGCCTCAAACCCATCTCAGACACAGGAACCTAAGGTTACCTTTCCCGAGAAACCCCCTCTGATTAGGCACCGAGTCCCCCTTTCCTTTCCTAATGATGTCTCTGTGTGGTCCCACACCAGGGGTTCCTTACCATCCCCTTCCCCAACCCCTCCCCCCAATCGCTGGACCGCAAAGGTCAAGATCAAGAGCATCCTTGGCTGACCAAGCAGAGGACCCACCGTTTCCTCCACAGCGAACAGCTTGACGACATTCTGGTGATCCAGCTTCCGCAGCACCTCAAACTCCCTCACTTGCACCTCGAGGGGCCGCCGGTAGCTGGCTGAGTTGAAGACCTTCACAGCAACCACCTCCCCAGATTTCTGGCGTGTGGGCACAGGGTTGGCAATCAACATGGGGACCACACTGGCCCAGGGAGCCGCCACCTTCGCCTTTCGCCCCTTCCCCAACCCAGGCCCCAAACGAGAGAGGCAGGGGCTGGGTGGGCTCGCATCTGCTTCCCCTTCCCCTACCCAGGGGGGCTGGAGCAGCACTTGGAGGTGACACACCTGATGTCCCACAGCGGATGGCTTGTGTCATCGCTCCTTTTGCCTAGGCAGTCTACCCTGCCTCCAGTTCCTGAGCACGGAGCGCATTCTGACACAGCTCTGTAGCTGCTGTAGGAAAAACCCAGACAGGCCCAACCTCCCAGCTCAGCTGGGAGCCCAGCTATTCCTAGAACCCACTGGCTGTCACCTCCCTCCTGCCTTGTCCTCTAGTCCCAACATGTCTCTGACAGAGGCACCATTCCAAGGAATTTTCCAGGATGCCATACGTCGGCCCAAACCTATGGAGTCCTTTCTCATCAGAGGAGAGAGAACAGAGTCCTGGGACCCTTGTCCAGCTACGTAGCATCCCAATGCCCAATGGAGGGCTAGTGCTGGGGCGTGAAGGAGTCTGGAGTTGCCATTACCTTGTTTCGGGCCTTGTACACACTGGCAGTGGCCCCCTGTCCCAGCAGGTCGTCCGTGTGCCATAGGTAATTAGCTGTGCTCTGCATCTCCCAGGCTTGACTCTCTTCCACCTGGGCAAACAGACAACCATGTGGGCCTGGTCTGCAACAGATACTGGTAGTCAGCCATCAGCTCCCAAGACCGCCCCACAAGGGCTCAGTGTGGCCACGGCACAGGCACGGGACCTGGGGAAATGGTGGTACAGGAAGACTAAGTAAGTTCTCCCCAAAGGAACACAAGACAGCAGGAGGGTCCCCAAGCTTGCATCTCTTATACCCATGGGGACTTCTAGCTGTGCTGTGCCCCCCCCCCCCGCCCCCCCCCCGGTCCCTTCCAGCACCCTTCAGAGGTAGGCCAGTCTAGGGGGACTTCCTCTATCACCTCTTTCGGGCACTGGGGACTCAGAGTTTTGGTATCCAGGCCTGGGATTGTCCCAGGAAGCAGACACAGTGCGGGAGGAAGAGCCCTGGGTCAGCCAGGGTCAGACAGAGACAGTCAGATCACCACAAATCTCCAGGATTGCAACATGAGCCTGGAGCTCCCCTCCCCCATCTCTGCTTGCGTGGCCCCTAACTTCCTACTGTTGGGAGCTAACAGTTGCTCACCAGGCAGCCAGGCCTCGCCCAGTGCTTTTCCAGAAGGAAAAGGGCTGAAGGGGAGATAACCAAGAAGAGAGGATGGGAGGGCTAAAGGGAGGGGAGGGGATGGAGGGGAGTGTGGGAGGATGGGAGACTGTGGCACACCAGGGCTCAAGAGCTCTGGGGAAGATCTGAAACTGCCCACAACTCTGCTTCCCATCTTTACTTGTATCCTCTTCCCTCCAAAAGCCGGTTCCTCTAAAGCAACTGGTTCCAGAAAGTGTAGCCTCCGAAGTGACACTCACCACCTGTCTGTAAAATAGGGCCCGAGTCCTGGGATGCCTGGGGGCAGGAGCGCAAGAAGGGCCTCGCCCCTTCAAGGTTTTGAAATAAAGTTGTTTTGGGCAGGGCCTCTTCCTGCTCCAGCATCTCACTGGGTTTCAAACCAAAGATGGCTCCATTTTTGAGCCCATTCTCTCAGTATTTTTTTTTTTTTTAAGACAGAGTAACCAGCTCAGGTACCTCCAGTGGTATTGAGGATGGTCTTGAACTTCTGCATCTACCTCCGAAATGCTTGAATTACAGTTGTGCACCACCATTCCCTGTCAACTAGGTGCCGGGGATTGAACCCACCATGGCTTCGTGCATGCTAGGCAAGCGCTCTACAGCTAGCAGTCTAATTTAAAGGTGCAAACCCTGGAGAACACGGGCTTTTGAGCCAGAAGCCACTTGAAGAGATCAGCAGTCACGCCCTAGTTTCAGACCGCACACTCAAGTCTGCATTACGCAAAAGTAAGATTGCCGGTGAGACCTTCTGAAGGCAATGTGAGTGAGTTGTCCACGTTTCTTTGTATGGCTGAAGAGTCAGCCCGACTCGAGGCTCAGGCAGGGTACACTGAAGTGGAGGTCAAGGTCCTAGCCTTGGGAGCTGAGGGTCCCAGACTGTATCACCTTCATGACTCTACCTAGGCTGGTCCTCAACCAAACCCTGGTGTTAGGGCAAAACACAGCTGAAGTCAGGTAGACGGGTGTTGAGATGCACAGAGCAGAATCCCAGATGGGCCGCACCGTCCTGGGTTCTGTCCAGAAGCTCTGACTATGGCACCTCTGGATCACCTCTGCATTCTTGTCTCCCACCAGGCCCTTTTCTATACAGAACGTGCAGTAGCCTTCAGTGAGTCAACACCAGCCTGCTCCCATCCTCCTCGGGGGCTCTTCTGTGGCAGATGTACTTACTTACCTGCACTCCAAGTGGCCCAGAATCGGGCAGACTCTTCCTGGCAAGTGTATGTTATGTTTTCTGGCTGGGGCAAGTTCAGGAGCCGAGCTACACCGGAAAGAGAATGGTGGGCGGGTGAGAGGCCCCCTCGGTGCTGTTTGATTCTGAGCCCCATCAAAGTCCACCAGTCTCAGCCCTTTAACCCTTTCCCGTCCTCGTCGTCACCTTCCCTACAGGACTGGGGGTTTTCCAGCCTCTTTCCAGAGGCTCTGGGAGCCTCTCATGGCTATTTTGGGCCTCAGGGAAAAGATCCCAAGCAGAGGAGGGTAGAGGCACCCGAAGCTGAGGCCCAGCTTTGCATCAGCATGTTGGGAAGCAGAGCCCAAGAGGGGAACCTTGCTGGCCAATGGTGGTTCTCCTTAGGGCCATAATCCTCCTTGCCCTTTGCCCCGGCCTCCCAACAGTCCTTTCTGAGAGTGGTTCCCCCACCCCCACCCCCACAGAGGGAGTGCAGGACACTACTAGGCTCCCAGCAGTCCCAAGAAAGACGGGGGAAGGGGGCATTGAGCTGAGAGTTTTCTTGAAACTGCCCCACTTGGCTCCCCATGCCACCCTCCTCCACAGCCGCTGCACACTCACCCCATCTCCCAGCTCAGATGCAGGGGAATGCAGACTCGTGGGACTGGGTGGCATCCCCAGGGATTTCAGGCCTTGAAGTCAATCGTGGGCAGTGACTAGTACATCCTGGTAGCCATGGACCCCCAGGATCCACACAGAGGCCAAGGTAGTGGTGACGGCCCTGGGCCTGAGGCTTCTTTCCTGCCCCTCTGATAGCCCTGGGATGCCCAGAACCGTAGAGCCCAGGCTCTTAGTTCTAGCATACTTCCTGATTCTCTTCTCTCTCTCTCTCCCCCCACCTCTTTCCCTCCCTTCCTCTCTCTCTCTTAAAGAGACAGGCAGCTCAGCCGCTGCCACACACACCTCCACCCACACCAGGAAAGGGAAAGAAGAAGATGCCGTAAGTTGTCAAGTGGGAGCCATAGGACCATTGTCCGAGTTGCAGAGAAGCCAGGAACTGAGGCCTGGGCTTCTGGGACAGGCCGCTGAGTGTTGGGCTGACATGCATCTCTGGCAGGGCAATTCACAGCTCAGCTTAAAGTCAACTAAAGAGGTTGAACAAGTTAACCAAGTTGAAAACTGCCTAGAAAGGCCCAGGACCTGAGCTTGGCCTCTCCCAGAAGCCGGACAGGATTTGTCTTAGAGCCTGCAAGAACACGCACACACCCAGGTCATAGCCTCTGCTTTGACTGACCTTACACAGAGCAGAAACCTGCCCCCACCCCCTCCCTCCCTGGCAGCTTTCTGCCGACAGCCTGAAGGTGGGCTGTAGCTTGTACGGATGGATGGCAGGGGGTGTAGTATCTGGTAAACTTGGGGGGATGGGGAAGTGTTTTTCAGACCACACGTGATGGCACCAAGTCTTACACACCTTTAGTAATTTGCTCACAGTGTGCCACGTTCTCAGGCATAACCCAGTGCCCCAAACATCTTGGGAAGCTGGAGGGGGTATGTGCTGCTCTGGTCAGCTCTGAGCGGACAGTTGGCTAAGTGGTTAAAACCAGGAAATTCCATGCTTCTTTAGAATGTTGGTGGGACTTTCCCCTGGCCACACCTGGTGATTTCCTCTGCCAGCCCCACCCCACCACCAGGAGGAGAGCAAGAACAGGCCCAGAGCTTGTTGCCTTGGCTGACAGATTCACCTGATGATAAGACAGCCAGAGGCCCTGCGGTGCCTTCTCCCAGTAGGGCCAAGAGGGACATCCCTGAGAGTTCCACACTCCAGCCTGCGTGTTACAGGTTACCGCCTCGCAAGAACATGGGGGGATTACCATCACTGATCACCCAGGGCTTGGAGAGGACAGAAGCATGTGCTTTCTCTAGCAAATCACTTAACTGCTGCTCAAGACCCACCTTCTCTAAGGTCTCCCGCCCTCTACAGCAAGGTGACTCCGTTCAACATGGCTGCTCCCTCTGTCTGGAGCAGTGGTTCTCAGTCTTCCTCAAGCTGTGACCCTTTAATACAGTTCTTCATGTTGTGGTGACCCCCCCTCAACCATAAAATTATTTCTGTTGCTACTTCATAACTGTAATTTTGCTACTGTTATGAATCGTAATGTAAATATCTGACATGCAGGATAGCTGGTATGTGACCCCCCCAAAGGGGTCATGACCCACAGATTGAGAACCACTGGTCTAGACAGTCATCTGAGTGACTTTCATAATCAGAGTACTCCTCCCGCCCACCAGGGATACTGTTTTTGCCCACTGAGGTTTACAGGATCACCTGCTCTACCCTGAAGGCTGCTCATTTTCCTCCATGAACCGACACTCTTATCTTCCTTTCGCTGGCCAGCCTAATTAATCTCTTGTCCCCAGGGACTTTCTAACACAAGAATCAAGTCTAGCATCTCCTGTGAAACAGGCACTGTGTGCTCAGGACAGAAAAGGAGAGACACAGGTATCTTATCCCAGAGCTGTGAGGTGCTGGACAACGTGGTAGTGAACGCAAGGAGATTCACATTCAGCAAACAGTGGTTTTGTGGCCCTCGCCAGGGCAGCAGCAGGAGGGGCTTTGCAGACTTGCTGGCGGCTCTGAGAGAGGCAGAGAAGGGGAACCAGTTCAAGATAGGAAGCAGGGGCAGAGGCGCTGAAATATGAAAAGAGCATGCATTTTTCAGGGCTTTGTACCCGGGACGCTAGGAAGAACCAACAAGGGGGAACGGTGCTGGAAACAGATGGTACTTTACAGTAGATTCCGGGAGGAAACCTCTTCGGTGTGGACAAACTGTAGGACTGTCCTGCTTGTGCCCCAGCTACATGGGAAGTTCAGAAGCCTGGAGAGAAGAGGATGTCCATAAGGGGCCTTGCCACATCTTCCCAGGCCCAAAGAATCATAGAAATAGTGGCAATCCAAAGGCATGTGGTGTATGTGGTGTGTTGGGCTGGCAACTCTGGGGGGAAAAACTCATGTCTGCTACTGATAGAAGCTGGTGTGGTGGAAAGGGGTGCTACATCATCATTAAGGCCACCTCCTAAACAGGACTTGTCATTTTCTCATAGGATTGGTATAAAATGAAGAGATGACATGCTTGGTGCCCAGTGGGTTTGGAACAGATATTATTTTGGGCATAGTGACATATATCTGTGTTTCAGCTTCCAGCGAGGCTGGGGCAGGCAGTTCACTTGAGTCTAGGAATTCAGAATCAGCCTGAACAGGGCAATAGAGCTAGAGCTATTAAAAAAAAAAAAATCAGGGAGCTGGGGGTGTAAATCAGTACAGTACTGCTCAGCATGCATGAGGCTGAGGTTTCATACCCAATAGTAGCTGCTGCACCCGCCCCCTCCCCACATACTACCCCCCCCACCATTGTTTTCCAGTACCTTTCAAGTAAGAAAGGTCTCAAACAACGAAAGTGAGAAAGGATCAGGGCAGAGTGGTATATGTGTGGGCTTGTTTATAGGGCTGCGTCCTGGCTGTGCTTAGTCACAGGGACTAAATGACAAAACCTCGGAGCCCATAGCTAGTCGACACCTTCGTAAGTCAACTCAGCCCAGAAGCTTTGGTGCAGGAGGGACAAACAGGATGCCAGAACTGCTACTCTGACTCTTCCCAAGCAGTGGGAAAGGGGCTGTGGGTGCACTGTCCAGGTCGCCAAGGGATCTGGTCCTTGTGCAATTATCTGTCACAGTTCCTAGTCTGGAAACGTGTTTCTTTCCTCTCATACTCAGCTTCAGACCCTGCCTTCAACTCAGCTGAACTAAAGAAGCAATTGACAGTGAACTCATTCCTCCACAGCCGTGCCTGTCCACGCCTACCACAGCATCTTCTGTCCTCCATGCCTGTCCACGCTTACCACAGCATCTCCTGTCCTCCATGCCTGTCCACACCTACCACAGGATCTCCTGTCCTCCATGCCTGTCCACGCCTACCACAGCATCTTCTGTCCTCCATGCCTGTCCACGCCTACCACAGCGTCTTCTGTCCTCCATGCCTGTCCACGCCTACCACAGGGTCTCCTGTCCTCCATGTCTGTCCACGCCTACCACAGGATCTCCTGTCCTCCATGCCTGTCCATGCCTACCACAGCATCTTCTGTCCTCCATGCCTGTCCACGCCTACCACAGGCTCTCCTGTCCTCCATGCCTGTCCACGCCTACCACAGGCTCTCCTGTCCTCCATGCCTGTCCACGCCTACCACAGGCTCTCCTGTCCTCCATGCCTGTCCACGCCTACCACAGGGTCTCCTGTCCTCCATGCCTGTCCATGCCTACCACAGGATCTCCTGTCCTCCATGTCTGTCCACGCCTACCACAGGATCTCCTGTCTTCCATGCCTGTCCACGCCTACCACAGCGTCTTCTGTCCTCCATGATTGCTCATGCCTACCACAGGATCTCCTGTCCTCCCGAGAGACAGGACCACGTGTCCTTCTGTGAACACCACCCCCTCCACTTGGGCTATGCGACATCACTGTCCCTCCAGACTCCCTCCTGTCTTTCTCTGGGTCTGCCCACAGAGCAAATGTGCCTCAGCTCTGTCTATTTTCAAAACAAACCCTGGTCTTTGACTCACCTGGATGCTCCTATTCTCTGAGCTTCTGGGTCTTTCCTTCTTTGCTGCCTAGCCCATTCCATCGAGATTCATTTCCCATTTACTGTGAAAATGCTTTTCTTTCCTTTTATTTTCTGTTTTCTTTTTTTTTTTTTTTTTGGTTTTTCGAGACAGGGTTTCTCTGTGTAGCTTTGTGCCTTTCCTGGAACTCACTTGGTAGTCCAGGCTGGCCTCAAACTCACAGAGATCCGCCTGGCTCTGCCTCCCGAGTGCTGGGATTAAAGGCGTGCGCCACCACCGCCCGGCCTGTTTTCTTTTTTGAGACAGGATCTCTCTATGTACCAAGAAGTCCCATCCGCAGCCCCCTAGCCCTTTTTTTTTCCTTTTGAGACAGGGTACCTCTATATAGTCCTGGCTGTCCTGGAACTTGGTAAGTAGACCAAGATAGCCATGAACTCACAGAATCTTCCTGTCTCTGACTCTCAAGTGCTTGGACTAAGGGCATGCTCCACCATGCCTAACAAAAATGCCTACTTTTTGACATCAGCTTTATCTTATCCCAAGGCACTGGCCATTTAACAGGTGATCCCTCCCTTTGTCAAGCAATCCCTTTCCCTGGTTTCTGGAATATGTGCCCATCTGCAACCTAGGTGCTGGGCCTACTCGAACCCCCCCACCCCCCTCAGCTTCTCCTTCATGAGATTTCATTTTTTCCACCTACACTTCACATCAGGAATCTGTTTGCATACATCCTACTGGATTTTGGGTAGGAAATCCCCCAACTTGACTCACCCATCTTCCTACTTCTATATCTCTTGGTCTGCCTAAGCAGAAATCTTAACTTTCTGTGCTCAATTTCACACCACAATGGCCTCCTCCCTCTTTTAAAAATAGAGTCTTTATTGCCAAAGCTGGCCTCAAGCTGTGATCTTCTTGCCTCAGCTAGTGAGTATCTGGGACTCCTGGCACATGTCACCAAACAGCTCCATAATGGCCTTCCTGTCCAACCCAGCATCTTGTTTCATTTTCGTACTTGCTTATTTTGCTTTTTTTTTGTGGTGAGTAGGAAACAAGCTCTACTGCCTGCTTTTCCTGCTCAATACAGGGCTTGAATAGACAGATTAAAATTGGTTGATTAACTAATTGATTCTTTGCCATATGTAATATCAGGGTTAGCTTCTGAGTCAAAGGAAACTTCCTGGCAGCTGTGGCAGCTCAGGCTTGGAAATCCCAGCACGCAGGAGGCTAAAGTAGAGGATGTGAACACATCATGAAAGCCTTCCTCACCTAACTTCCTACAACAATGGGATCTATAAGCATTTACATGAGATAATCTGAAGTCCATGCTCACCTGGTCTCTTGGTTTGGTTTCCACTCGGTTGAAATGCATTTGTATATTGACGGTTCACTGTGTCCATCAACATCCCATCAGAATACATAGGGAAGAGGACCCCAAAGCATGACCTTCGCTGTAGGATTCTCTAAAAGTTTCTTTGGTGCTTTGCCCACAGCCTAAGAGCTCCTCCATCTCAGCAACTCAGTGGTTCCAGGGAATCCCTCCTCACATACAGCTGCCAGGGGTGAGAGCCCATACCACAGGGTGGCAGAACTGTTTCAGTTTTGACTTACTCTGGGCAACAATGCTGCATGAGCATCATTAACAACAGGAGATGAGACAGGCTGGTAGGGCAAGAAGCTGAATACCAGATACATACAAGATAAAAATGACAAACCATGGAGGAAGGTGTCCATTCCAGGGCTGGGGTAGGATCCCCTGTATTACTACTGAGCACAGGTGATGCCAATAAACAGACTTGATTTATCCTCAGGGATGTCTGGTATTATGTTAAGCTCCCTAAAAACAAATGTTGGCCCCAGGTTTTGAAGAATTTATTCTAATTTGTTACCTCCCTTGGTATTTTTTTTTTTTTCGAGACAGGGTTTCTCTGTGTAGCTTTGCGCCTTTCCTGGATCTCGCTCTGTAGACCAGGCTGGCCTCAAACTCACAGAGATCTGCCTGCCTCTGCCTCCCGAGTGCTGGGATTAAAGGCGCACGCCACCACCGCCCGGCGTCCCTTGGTATTTTGCTGCTTTTGATAATCAGGTATCTGTGCCTTACAAATGTCTGCACTGCACAAGACCTGTGCAAACGCAAGACCCAATCCCAGCATGGAGAAGGGGGCTGGGCATGAAGCCTCACTCTTAGCAGAGGAGCTGGTGGCAACTGTTAGCAGCCGGGAAAGAGAGGGTCCATTTTCTCTAACAGTGTAGCCCCAGATAAGCCCAAGAATATTTGGGCAGCACACATAAGCCTTGGTGGAGGGGGCAAAGCTGGGTGGGTAGGGAAGGGGGCATGACTCTGGGAAGAACTGGGAGAGGATGAATATGACCAAAACATGCTTTACGAAATTCTCAAAAAAATCAGGTATGTATGTGCATATGTATGTATGTACACTTGTTTTTACTTGGTGTTAGGAAAGCAACTCAGTGTGAGAAGTTAAATAGCCCCCCCCCCCCCCAAAGCAGGAGTTGTGAGCAGAATGGGACTGAGTGCTAAGCTGGGCTGCTCAAGTAACCATCAAGTAGATAAAAAAAGGACAATTGTGCTATTTTAAAAATTAGACATCTTAAAACAATAATTATGATGCTGGGCATGGTGATGCACACCTTTTGTCTCAGTATCTGGGAGGCAGAGGCAGGTGGATCTACAGGAGTTTGTGACCAGCCTGGTCTACAAAGCAAGTTCTAGGACAGCCAGGTCTACATAGAGAAACCCTGTTTCGGGGTGGGGGGGATTTTTCTCAAGGGCATGGTGGTGCATGTTTTTAATCCCAGCACTCAAGAGGCAGAGGCAGGTAGATCTCTGTGAATTTGAGGCCAGTTTGGTCTACACAGTGAGTTCTGAGATGGCCAGGGCTAGAAGGAGAGACCCTGTCTCAAACAAGCAAACAATGTATATATAAGTATATGTAAATGTATACCCACAGACACACATGAATTCTGCAGACTCAGTTCTTCCTTATTTAGAAGTGAAGCCTCTAGGGGACTAGTTTTGGAGATTTTAGTCCATGACTGTTTGGCCTTATTGCTTTGGGCTTCATGGCAGATACATGTGGTAGAGTAATGAGTAAGTTTCTATGGTCTCCACCCTCAAGGTCACTTTCTGCTAAAACACAAGGCATCTCTCAGGGAGAGGAGGCATCCCTGTGTCTTCCACTCCCACCAGTGTAGTGGGTAGCTGCTCCAGCTTTGACCTGGAAGTACCACCCCTAATGAGGCTTCCGGTAACTGCCATGCCTACCTATAACTTGCCCCTGGGGTGGGTGGGAGATGGGAGCCCTTAATATGATCCAGATGTGCTGGCTCTCTTGGTTCCTTGTGATCCTGGATGCTGGATAGTAGAGCGAGCAGAGTTCTCCAGAGAACACCGCTGGACTGCACTCTACCTCTTCTGGATCCTGTAACCAACCTCTTTACTGGCTGTAAGTTACCCCCAAATAAACCTTCTTTTAACTACGTGGAGTTGCCTTAATAAATACCCCAGTACACCAGCAACAAGGCATGTTGGTCAGAACTTCTTCCAGATACAGGAGATGGCCAAGGGCAGGCTGACTCAGGGGTCTAGCTGTGAAAGACAAAGGACCATTGGCAGGGGCTGGAGTGATGGTTCAGCAGTTAAGAGCACTGGCTGTTCTTGCAGAGGACCAGGGTTCAGTTCTCAGCAGCCACACGGTGGCTCACAACTGTCTGTAACTTCAGTTCCAAAGGATAGTATGCCCTCTTCTGACCTCTGTGGTACTGCATGCATTGTACAGATAAACACGAAGGAAAAACACCTAGAACACACTAAGCAAAAATGATAAATCTTAAAATACAGACCCACCTGGCCACCCTTAGTCGTAGCTGGCAAAATTTCCAACCAGCTTTATAGGTTTCAGTCTTTCAAGTGGGAAATCTGACCATGAAGACAGAAATGAAGCAGTCCTCATTAAAAACAAAAGGTAGATTCTGTTAAGGAAAGTTCTTATGACCACAGACTGGTAAACAGTATGCTAGAAGACTTCCTACAAAACTTCTGAAGTTCCACACATGGGCCAAACGGAACCAATGGATAGAGGGACAGAGAAGGTCCAAGGCCACCTTGTTCCTCCTATCGCTAGGCTTGACTCAGATGAATCAGAACTTTCAGGGAGAGGGGAAAGGGAGATGGCTTGCAGCAGTGAAACCTAAAAATGTGTTTTATTTTGAAGTTGTGCTTTGGATTCTCCCCAATCCAACATCGGCTGAGTGAGTCTTAGGTTCACACAAAGCATCTTCAAGCATACATACAATATTCCAGTTATCAACACCGTTTTAAAGAACATACCATTTTACACAAATGTGACATAAAAATCAGACGCCACAACATTGCAGTTCCCTGGAAGATCTAAGTTCTCTTCTGAACGGAAGTCCATGCACACCAGCCCTTCCAGTGGTCTGTTCATCCTGATGCTGGAGGGATTTCTCATCTCCTTGGGGACAAACAAGGGTGGCCTGAGGAGGCTGGCTGAGACCAGCATTTCCAGTTTATAAGCTGCTGGTGGCAAACTCCTCTACGTTCCAAACTGGGATGCTGGTAGCCCCACACCACTTTTCTTCCCCAAAGACTGAGTCCACACCAGGGAAAGGATCCATGCCACGAGGGGCAGAGCAGGGCTCTTGGAAGCATCATGCTGGTTTCGGGCAAGCCTATCTGAGGGAGGCTAGTTGCCCAGGGCCTGGGGTGGCTGGCTCCTTTTGGCTTTTGGGTGTAAAATCACAGTGTGCAACCTCAATTCCAGTTGAAGTGAGCTCTGCCGAGGAGGACTCTCCTCCTATTGGTTCCTACTCCTTTTAACAGGACCATCTCAGAGGCGTCAGAAGCACCAGAGATAAGGAAGACAGCGAGGCTCCCAGAGCTGGGGTTAGTAGGGAACCACTTGTACACCGTCCAGTTCGTTATGCAAGTCAGCAGATGGACATCGACCAAGGGGATGACAAACACAAATAATGTACAGGGCTAAAAGAGAAGGCAAGAACAGAGAACAGACCCAAAGTGTGGTCTTCAAGAAGCTTCGTTTTTACCTTCTTAGAGGGTAGTGTCCTGGAGAGAGGAAAAAGGGCAGGTTGGAAACTTCTATCACTTAGATTAAGAGGAATGTAAGGACGGGGGATCATTTCAGCAAGGAAAGAGATCCTTGAGTCTGAAAGCCCCCCCTTGGCTCAGGAGCAGTACAAGCCCAGGTCAAGATGACAGGTCAGGAAAAAGAGCAGAAAGAAACCAGGCGGCCCGAGGACCAGGGTTGTCCCCTGCATGACTCACTCACTTCTCTAGTCTCCCTGGTGCCGCAAGGTACTCTTCTCTTCAGAGACTCCTTCCAGCTCCCCATTCCCTTCACACACAGAGAAACAGCCGCCACTTTCTAAAGATCCAACCATTGGTCCAAAAGGACCTCTTCTAGCCCGAAGCTAAGAACATTCAGATTTTCCAACCTGAATGGCAACCCACTGTCTCTCTTGAACTACAGAAAAGCAATCAAGTTAAATAAAAGCACAGCTTTCAAACCAGAGGCCAGAGAGGAGGAATGAGCCTGAGCTTCACGGAGCTGCTGAAACGCGTGAGCCTGAACCACGACTTCCGAGCTCTGGCGCTCTTGGGTAGCAGGATGGAGAGGAGTGGGTGTTCAAGCCCCAGGCTTGCAGGCTGGCTAGAGAATTCCCTGGAAGCACATCTGAAGCAGGCCAAGGGCAGGCCCCAATATGAAAGCATTCAATTCTTTACTTTTAAAGATTCTTCTGCCTTTGGGAAAATAATTTTGAGTTTATAGGGGTCAAAGTTTCCTTAGTTGACCTTGTTTGGATAAACAAAAAAATGGTCTCCAAAGGCAGGGTCTCTAGAACTGAACGAGTGCTTTCCGAGCCCCTGCCCACCTCCAGAGAGAGTCTTATAAAAAACTAAGCCAAGGGGTAAACCTGAAATAGTTTTAATCTGGGGACAATTTTTGGATTATCAGAGAGCAACTTAAATTTTTTTAAATAGAATAGTGAACTTTAAAAATGTTAAATGCCGCCGGGCGGTGGTGGCGCACGCCTTTAATCCCAGCACTCGGGAGGCAGAGCCAGGCGGATCTCTGTGAGTTCGAGGCCAGCCTGGGCTACCAAGTGAGTCCCAGGAAAGGCGCAAAGCTACACAGAGAAACCCTGTCTCGAAAAAAAAAAAAAAATGTTAAATGCCAAAAAAGTTGGAAGGAAGAAGGACCCATTCCCTACCCCTTTCAAACCTGCCATAAACATAATAAAACTTTAAGACTTTTTACTCTAAAAGGAACTAGCTATAAAACTGTCTTATATTGGAAAATGTCTTAAATGGAAAATGATGTGTCAGAGACAAAGACAGGAACTGAAGAAAAGTCTCTATGTTCAGAAAAACTTTAAAAGCTTAATAAGATTGAGATGTACTTCTACGGGATGGAGCGGAGCAAATGCAAACAGCAGTGACCAACTCACAGCAAGAGGAAGAAGACAATCCCCACCCCCACATCAGAGCACAGGACCGTCCCACTCTGCTCAATTTCTAGGACAGAGAGATTTCGAAGGCCAGGTTTCTCTGATCCAAACAGAACGAAGTTTGTGATGAGAACAGAGACTCCTGGTGGCTTCTGTGTGAACTGCCCCAACAACTAAGAGTGGTCCCTGACCAGAAGAGGCTACACCAGAGAGCAGAAAAACCTGTGTGTGCATGAGTGCGCATGCGCACGAATATATATATTTATAGAAAATGAAAACTGGGCTATATATGATTTTTTAAATTAGTACTCAAAACAAGATGCCACTGAGAGCTAGGTGGCCGCAGCCAACCGTCTGCTCAAGGTATCCTCTATGGTATGAAGGGACAGAGACATAGGCCCATGTTCCCATGTCTTGCCTTGGCAGATACCATAGCAACCCGACCATGGAAAACTTGTCTCTGGCTAACCTAAGAACAATATGTACTGTAGCTGGCTGGATTACAACAGAGGGGAGCGAAGAGTGGAGGGAAGGGCCAGGAAGGGAAAAGCAGTAACAAGGGCTTCATTCTCAAGGTCTGGATAACGGGAAGGCTAACTCCTGTAAGAACAACTTAGAATCTATTTTCAACTGAAGTCTCCAAGCTAGTTAAATAGGAAGATTTTAATAACCATCAGTCTCCTTGTCTAACACAATTAAGTTATACCCCCTAGACAGTACAAGACTTGTCGGTGGCCTGTGGGGAAGCTGATGAATTGACACCAGGGCTAGTGGCATTTGTTTTGGGGAAGACAGTTGGCTTGGGCCGTGTGGCGGGTGGTTTGAGCGGGGGCAGCCATCTTGACAGATTTGACGGGCCGGAAGGCGCAGGCCATGTCCCCAGCAGTACTGGCGCTGCGCTGGAAGGCAGGCTCAGGGTCCTTGAGGAGCTGGGTGTGCAGGGGGCTGGAGGGCTCCGATGTGGGGGCTACCACTGGGGAGGTCTTGAGGGGCTCCAAGGTGTCCAGAACCACATCAGGGGTGTGCTTAACACTGCTCTGCCGCTCCAGCTCTCGAAGCTCATTCAAGGCAGAGTTCATTGTTGCTTCAATATCCTGCAAAACAGGAAAAAGGAAGAAGTAAGTCAAACCAAGACAGACATCCCCAAGGATCCTATTTCAACCAAATAGGCCAAGCCATGAAACCAATTATAAAATGCATTATTTTACTTGGCCAAAGTCCTTGAACACATGAATGTCCAGAATGTGGAGAAAGGGGACAGAGATTTTCATCATCAGGAATTTAGAAAGAGTAATTAATGACTTCTGGATGTGACAAGGCTGTTGCACACATCAACTCATACCACTTGTGTTACCCGCACACGATCAAGCCAGCCAAAATTTCAGCAGAAACTGGGGAGGGGCCCCTGAGGCTGCACCCCTATCGGAGGAGCGCTGGCAGTTGATGGTTGCTGAGAGAGGAAGAGTCACTCACTTTTGGGGATGGGGCTCCTGGGAGGTAGACCATGCCGCAGCGGGTGGTCCTAGACCTATGCATCTATGGAAAGTATTAAACTTGCCATAAATACATAGATACAGAAATATATATTGGACTCGGGAGTACTAAAAAAAACAATAACAAAAGAAAGACATGAGGTTGGGAGGGAAGTGAAGTGGGAGGCATTAGGAGGAGCTGGAGGTGGTAGTGGATGACATGATCAAAATACATTGCATAAATGTATTAAATTTAACAACTAAGAAAAAATATTATTAAAAAAAGGGTAGCTGAATATTTTCAACTTGAGTCCTCGGTTTTAATGACAGGTGCTGAAACATTTCTGGATGAAATGACAGATAATTAAACGGAAGAGAGGTCATGAGTACACGGGGATTCACTATGTAATTCTCTGTGTATGTTTGAAAGTGTACACAATGAACACATTTTACAAAGTGGTGGAGATCAAGTAAGGGCTTTCTTTTCTTTACTTCAAGGCCAATGGTGAATGGGGTTATTCCTTTCTCCACAAGAGCTAAGGAATGTTCAAGAACCAAGTCCTTGAAGATTTATCAGGACAATGCTCCAATTTCCCAACTCACCCAAGAGTGCAACTTGGAACCATTTCCTTCTACCCAGCACCATGAAAGGGAAGCCAAGAGTGGCCAAAAGGGGGAGCCAAAGCCCATATAGGTAAGTAAGTTAGCACCTACAAATCAGTAGATACTGAAGATTTTAGAAAAAATGGCAGCCCAAGTCCAGGGGCTCAAGGCAGAACCAAAGACCCCTTGTATGCAAGCATCCAGTAAGAGTGCCCAGCTTCCATACCCTCCTGCAAACTTGCGCTTAAGATGGTGTTCCAAAGTCACACCACAGGACTCCTCTTTGGGATCAAGAATACTTTCAAAGATTCTAAGACTCAAATAAGTCCCAGGCTCCCAACTCAGGGCTACCTGTCGGATTGCATGATCGAAGTTTGTTATGAATGATAGTGATCCATTTTCACCCATCACTATGGCATTTATTCCTTTCTTCCTCCCTCTGCAATGTCAGGGATGGAACCCAGGAGCCTAAGCATGCTAGGCAAGCATTTTGAGCTTGCATCACTGAGATACACCTGTGGGCTTCTCAAATCTTTTAGAATGCTCAGGAAAAACTCTTATCTCCTAGCTCTGTCCTGTGATGCGGCTAGTATGTTCACAGTTTCTAACATTTGGTTAATGGCTGGCCAAAAGAGGACCAAGGAGGATTCCCATGGTGCAAGGCAGATCGCTGTCAGGAGCTTAAACAGGGTAGGAGGTGAATGAAGCAAGACACCACAGGCCCAGGGCTCAACACTGGGCCTACCAGGTACACCTCCTTCAGTAGAGCACCGAGCACCAAGGAAACCAACAGAGGCCATACAGAGCTCCTATTGCCCTCTCCTGATCACCCCAGAAGATGAGGTGAGGAAGAGGACAAAAACAAGCCCTTAGTTCCTACCTGTTCTAACGAACATTATATAGCTGGGAGAGACGTCTGAGAGAACTGCTCGGAGTGGCCCCAGTAGTTGGATGTTTAGAGGTCGAGTTGGGTTTCTAATATTTCATGGAAAACAGAGTCATCAATGTGGTGCAGATGAAAAGGAAGCTCCTGCAATCTGGGAGCTCATCTGCACTGTTACCTTCTGGTACTCGAGCTTCAAGCAACAAGAATACTTTGGGGTCTTTAGGACAAAATCAGATGGTGGGCTAAGCATCTACCTACAAGCATTAGAGATCAGCTTTATGAGATGGGGTGACAGGGATAGGCAGAGAAATATACAATGTGACCTGAACTATATTTGAGTCTTCGCTTCACTGAAGTCTACTATTGTGTTTCTATCATCTGTCTGTCTGTCTATGTATCTCTCTCTCTCTCTCTCTCTCTCTCTCTCTCTCTCTCTCTCTCTCTCTCTCTCTCTCTCTCTCTCCTTACCTATCTACCTATATATCTACCTATCTATCCATCTAATTTTTCATGTGTGTGTTCTATGTGCAGAGGCCAGAGGAAGATGTCAGGTATCCTCCTCTATTGCTCTCTACCTTATCGTTTTTTGGGGCAGAGACTCTCACTGAATTTGAAGCTTGTTGTTTTGGCTAGGCTGGCTGGCTGGTCAGCAGGTTCTAGAAATCTGCCTGCCCTTAATCCCCAACACTGGGGCTACAGGCATACATGACCATGCCTTTGATGTGGGTGCTGCGAATTTGAGTTCAGTTCATCTTGCTTGCACAGGAAGTGTTCTTATCTATTGAGCCATCTCTCTAGACCCTACCTTAGGTCTTAACTCATGAAACTTGGACTAATAATAGACTTTTATCAAAATATTCTTAACTGCTGGCTTTAAAAGTAAACAGTCTTGTAAACAATCAGAATACGAATAAGAAGGTAGAATGCTATTAATTCTACTTTCAGGCTGCTGGGGAGACAGGGATAGGCGGATTGCTCAGTAAGCTGTCTTGGCAGGTTCACATGTATGATACTTGCTGCACTCTCTACAGAACGTACAGAGCATTGGTCTGTTTGAAGTTTTGTTGATTAGCCGGGGCTGCTCTGAGCGGAACTGATAAGTGTAGCTTACTACTGATTGTCCAGGGTCCCTCAGTTACCTGTGCAATGACTTCAGGGTCCATGGGCCGATGGTTATTGAAGCTTTTTGACCTTCCTGCAGTGGTGGTCTTCCGGATCTGTGGACTGTCCAGCCGGTTCTTCAGGGACGAGTGGCGGCTGATTGAGTTGAGGCTCCCATGGCCACTGATGGAACACTTATCTGGCCCTTCCTTGGGGAGATTCTGGCTCATGATGGGCTGAGAGGATGGACGGCAGCTAGCCCCCACCCCCTGGGAGGAGGAGTCAGTCAGAGAACTGCCCAGCCCATGGCTGTCACTCCGAAATGCTTTTCTGATGCTCCCAGATTCTGGACGCTTCCTTTGCCTTCAACAAACAGAAACGGCATCTGATCAGGAAGCCCTGGGTCCAAGGGAGCTAGGATTGTGACAGAGGGGTGGAGGCTGGCACTTTGGACAGCTAAAGAAAGTCACACAGAATACCCTACCTCTTCAGTTTTTCTTTCTCTTGTTTTCTCTATGGATCTGTTCCCTCCAACCCCCAACCTGGGCAGAGGCGAAATGGATACTTACTTGGTAGTTGTGAGCTTTGAGTTCTAAACATGCAAGATGCTGTCAGAAAAAAGAATTGCCTGTTCAAGGGAACGTTTCTAATGGGAGAAAGATTCGTGAAGAGACCCACTCCACTGCCTGCCTGCACAGAAACCCAAGCCCCAGGTGAGAACGCCTCACCATCACCAAGGAGGGGAGAACGGCTGGCAACAGGAGCCAACTTTTCCAAATTTCAGTTTGCTCAGCTATACCGCAGCAAGCCCATCACCATCCGGGCCCTGGCAAGAGGCTACTTGTAGTTCATAGCCATGGAAGAGATTTTTCAAGGAACTGCAGTGGCACAGAGCGCTCACTGTGTGCCTGATCTCAGGGTAGAAAGGGCATCTACACAACTCCTCCGGCACCCAGCACTGGGCCCATTTATTTCATACCACAGAAGGCTCTCAAATGACATGAGAGAGTGGGATCCTAGCCCTATGGGTACTGCATGCTGCTGAATAATTTTATTTTTTTTTGAACCAGATTTTAAAGGACCTCACCTACGATGCCACTGAGCTGCTAGTTCAGAGAGCAGCTGTGAGGCTCTGACTTTGAGTCGATTGAGGAGGATGAGCTGAGCTGGGGACTGGGATGGTAATAGCAGGACTGCAGACGGGGGTGGGGGGTGAGGGGGTGGGGGGTGGGGGGTGGGGGGGTGGGGGGTGGGGGGGTGGGGGGTGGCATCTCTGAAGCAGAGCTAATGCCTTAAGTCAGTCCTGTGCTGCTCACAGCTGAGGGCTGCTTGATCTTTCTGGGTCCAGCAGGGTGTGGCCCGGCAGCCATGAACGTGGCTGCTCGAGCCTTGTGAGGCAGCCATTCTCAATCAGACAAAGGATGCTCTAAAGGTCCTGCTGAAACGAGCCCTCCTTTGTCAAGTTTTCCACGACACTAGTACCTCCAACTACAGACTGAAGAGATTCCTCCCTCCCATGTTCCTTCAGGGCTTCCATACAACTGCTTTTCAGTTACCTTCCATATGGTCCTTTGCCTCGCCAGATTGTGAGCTCTGAAAAGCTAGCATTGGTGCTTGGCACAAAGCAGATGGTTAATATAGGATGTGGAATGAAACTGAAACACCACACCCTAAGAACTCTGCTGATTTCCTTTTTCCATTCAAGGATGGCTGACTCACAGATCAGAACTGCTGAGAAGGCAGACTTAGGAGACTGTGGGAGCATCATCCCAGGCTCTATCTGGGGCATAGAGATGAGGAAGACAGAGATGCCGATTACAAGGAGCTCAGCCTGGAGGAGGAACCAGGAGTAGCACCGAGTACCAACAACTCAAGCCATTTTGGTGCAGAATGAGGGCACTGTTTTCAGCCTCAAGGAACTCAGGGTGTAAGGAAGGCTTACCCAAATAGGTAATGTTTAGACCGAGTCTTGGAAGCTGAGGAGGAGTTAATCAGATGAGAGGGCCCAGGAGGAGAGAGTTCTCCAAGGCAATCAGGAAACTCAAGTTTCCCGGGAACACTGTTCTGGAGGTAGTTGGGAAGGCAGAAAGGCAGACTCACTCCTAGGGGCCAGGCATACTGGGGGCTGTCACTCATGCACTGATTGGCTGGTGCCTGGGAAAGTGTGAGTAAACCGTGCTGACATGGTTTGGTTTTGGTCTGTCCCCAGGAAATTCATTTTAAGAATCTTAATACCACCAAGCAGGGAGTTCAAGGGAACGACCTTGACTTCCTACCCGATGTTTACCTTTTGGCTATGTCAGCTTTTGTTCTCTGTAATTCCTTTGTATAAATGGCATCAAAGATATGTTGACTTAAAATTTAATACCCAGGGATGAAGCTGTAACTCAGCAGTAGAGTGCTCCACTTGTATATGTGCCGTGTTCAGTTCTATCCCCAACACCATAAAAAACAAGAATAAAAGTGCCTAAATAAATATCTAACTTCACTTCCACCGTCGTCTTGGTTTCTGGCTTAATAAGCTCATGGCTTTGTGATTGTAGAATCATAATTAACACAGACTTGTAAATAAAAAAAAAAGTGATTAGCTGGCAGCTACTTTTTCTTAGCTTGCCCTCCTAGCAGACTGGAGGGAAGAGTATAAAATCCTCCGCTTGTTTACCGGTCTGAATTAAATTATGACTACACTGAGTGAGTGAGCTGAATAAACTAGATGAACTTGAGTGTGAAAGAGATAGGAAAGATCCGTGTCCCCCAACCCCTCTATTGCCTGGTTGGAAAAAAGCCAAGAGATCTGGCAACCTCATGCAGTTTACAAACAATAAGCATCTTTTATTCTCCTTCCAGTCTCAGTGTCCAGAGGCTACGGTTAACAGGGTTTCAAAGTGCGAATCGGTTCAGCCCTCCGGAGTCAGAAGGAATACACACTGTACGTCATCTCCAATCCACGTTCACCACGAGTGCCCCGGGGCTTGTCATCCTCCTGGCACTGGGCCACAGTTCAGGGTCTGGCGGAAAGAGGTCTGTAGGACTTGGTGTCTGGCCCCTTGAGATGAGATTAGTTCTCCAATAGCCTGAGTGCCTCCTGGGGAGGCAGCAGCTCATGGGCGGGCGAACGAGGACTCCCTCTAGATAGCCAGCAGGTGTGGATGGAGTTAGAACCTCAGAACACTGCTAATGGCCACAATGAAAGCTGGGGTCAGAATAAGCCTGCTGGACAGGAGTGGGCATCTGCAAAGGGACTGCTAGGGAAGGGTAATACACAGTGCTAAAGCAACAAGGAAAAAATGAAAAGTGATTTCTGCCAGTGTGACAGGGAGCACATGGTCACAGGATGGTTTAGGAGCTCAGCACAAAGCTTCCCTTGGGCTCAGTGCTCTTCTCTTTTCCATGGCCATGAATGTGGGAGAGGGAGAACCAGACACATGACGTCTAAGTTAGCCCACCTGGTGGACAGTAGCCTGGTGGAAGACATACGAAACTCTGAATCTTCAGACAGACAAGGGTCAAAGAAGACATCGAATACTATTTGACTAAGAACTGGAAAAGTGAAGGCACTGATGAGAAATAGCACAAAACCGAGGAGCTGCATAAGGTGACCAAAGCTCTGATGAAGGCTTGGCTAAGACTGCCGGGAAGTCTGGGCAGACAGACACTGCGGACCACAGAGTACCACAGGATGGTAACAGACAGTTGGAGGCTGGGGTCTACCCGCAGACCCACATACGCCTGCTCAGCCCTGCCATCCATGCGGCAGCAAACAACACACGGGGACTGTTAGGTGGGGAGCTGGAGCCCTGCGGACAGCACAGGAGCAGGGGGTTAGGCCAGGGGTGAGGTGAGTGAGTGAGTGAGTCACTTAGGGGAGCAGAAAATGAAAAGCAGCGCTTACTTGTTGATGTTTGCAAGATAAATATCAGCTACATGACCCCCACTGGGACAGCTGGCCCCCGTTCTGGCTGTCACCTTTTCTTCAGGTGGCTCAGACATGACCTCAATCTCAGACTTGGGGCTGGACCTCTCCACGACACCGTCCTCGCTGGGGCAGAAGGGACAGGCAGGCAGGGAGAAGGGAAAACACAAAAAGCAGTGTTAAATCAGCAAGATGGCCCCCCTGGACATACACACGACCCCACACAGCCTGGAGGCAGCGGTAACCCCTGGTGGGGCTAATTCTGTGAACAGAGGCAAGGAAACCTGAGGGCCTCTGGAGGGTCATGTAAATAAAAATAAATAATCTGCTGAGTTCTATTTGATCCTCAGCTCCTCAGGAAAGCTTGGCTAGGGGACACCTGGATTCAAGGCATCTGCCTTTGACCCCATGCTGCTTTCATGGGGTGGCCATGATGGGACCACCTCCTGGAGAAGGAGGTGGAAGTCCAGGCTGTGGTTTATCTGTGGTCCTGAGCACTGCTGGTAAGGACAGGCAGCTCTGTAGTGACTCTGGAGGGAGATGCCAGTGTTGAGGCAGGGCGTGGACACATGGCCACTGTCGTAGCACATCTAGCCTCGCTCAGGGCGTCCAAGATGGTCCCAGGTCTCTCCACTGCTCTCCTGGCCCCTCTGGCTACTGATGACAAAGAAAGCCCCTTTCCTCCCATAATTCATCTTCTCTCGATCCCGTAGTGAAGTCATAATGCTAAATTTGGGAGGGTCCTGTCCACGCACAGATCGCCACCAGGTTTTCGATGTTATCAACACAGAGAGGATTTCCCCGAAGAAGGAGCCCAGGACAGGATGGGAGGGTGCAGACTCATTCAGGATATCAACCTTTAAAAAATAACAGTAAGGGAGGGACTAAAAACAGTGATAATGCTGTATCCTAGAGAAGTGTGAGGGCAGAGTTAGGGCGAAGGGACAGAGAGGCAGGTTTGGGTAGGCTACAAGGATCACTACTTCCTGCCTAGGAAATATTCTCAAAGGGTGGGAACCAACAGACAGCCTATCCAAAGAGAAGTCTAGAGCCAGCTCTGGCTTTCCTTGTTCTCTGACATCCTTTTCCCTCCTCGCCTTACTTTTCTTCTTTTACAACGCTTCTTAAGCCAGATTTCTCCTAAAAAGGAACCTGTCAATTTTCATTTGCAGGTAGGAAGTACTATCAACGGCTCAGCAGGCCGGGGTGTAGACAGTTGTCTAAAAAGAGAAGTCTGGTGGCTCATGCCTGTAATCTTAGCATGGGGGAGGCTAAGGCAGGAGGACTGCTATGAGTTATACAGTGAGCTCAGGGCAGCCTAAGTTACAGAGTGAGACTGTATTAGTTAGTCTTATGTCAACTTGACACAAGCTAGAGTCATCTGGAAGGAGGGACTCTCAACTGAGACAATGCCTCCATAAGACCCTACTGGAGGGCATTTTCTTAATTAGTGACTGGTGGGTGAGCACCCAGCTCACTATGGGTGGCGCTATCCCTGGGATGTTGGCCTTGCATTGTGTAAGGAAGGCTGAGCAAGCCACGAGGAACAAGCCAGTAAGCAGCACCTCTCCATGGCCTCTGCATCAGCTTCTGCCTCCAGGTCCCTGCCCTGACTGATTTTCTGTCCTGACTTCTTTAGTGATGGAAGTGTGAGCCAAATAAACCCCTTTCCCCCCAAGTTGCTTTGGTCATAGAGTTTCATCACAGCAACAGTAACTCTAACTACGACAGTGACCCTATCTCAAAAACCGAAATGCACATACAGAGAACAGAGAAGGCTGGGTGCCTTTAATCGCAGCACTTGGGAGGCAGAGGCAGGTGGATCTCTGTGAGTTTGAGGTCAGCTTGGTCTACAGAGTGAGTTCTAGGATAGCCAGCTCTACACAGAGAAACCCTGTCTCAAAAACAAAACAAAAACCAACCCCCCCAAAACAAAACAAACAAATAAATACCCCCCCCCCCAAAAAAAAACCAGAGAAGCAAAAATGTTTTCTCAACCTGACCTTTCCAGAAAGGAAATATGCATGGTCAAATTAAAAAGTACATACTATCATTCATTAGGCATAAATATAAATACTGGCTGGCACATTTCTAAAACAAATTGATTAAGTGGGGATTTAAAGGGAGAAGAGAAAGTGGGGAGACTGAGTTGCAGGGGTAGGGTGTTCTCCATGGTCCTAAAACCTTAGGACCCTTTTGGGAATTAGTCTCCCTCATGCTCCTACTGTTCCAGAATTGAAGTCTCACGCCCACAGTGCAGCCGACACCACCCTCAAAGGTGCCAGGGTCCCACTTACGTGTCCTGGACTACGATGTACTGATGGGGGATGAGTCCGTCTATACCATTGTGCCGGCCTTCCCACCAGTCCTCAGAAGCTCGCTGGTAAAGCAGCAGGGATGCTCCCTTCTTGAAGGACAGCTCCCGGGCTGTCCGTCCTACGTAGTCAAACTTGGCAATGGCCTCAATGGGCTCACATTCTGGGAAAGGCAGAGAAGAACAAATCACATGTTTCTATCAGGAAACTGGATGAAAAGCCTACTGAGCGGGACTTACAGTGGTGGAAGGATAGGCCAGTGTGAAACACAAGCCACACAGGATCTGTAAAGATCTAACAGCTGGCACTCTCTCCCCGTCTCTGCTGCCTGTCTAACCCTCTCTTCTGCTGGGGTAACACATGGAGACACTGCTTCCCTGATAACTTCTCTGTTGACTCCACAGCTCCTTGTGCTGATTCCATCTATCCAACTTGCCATTCTGTATTTTTTATTTCTTTTAGGTAGTACCGTGAATTGAGCTCAGGCTTCGTAGGTGGATGTTCGAAGACAAGTGCTGTACCACTGAACTCTATATCCAGCCCATCATACTGCATTTTTCAGCGGTATTTCTCTTCTGATCATATAGTAAATCTATCAGCCATCTACCCTTTGAATCATACCATATTTTAAGTAATTTATTTGTGTTATTCATTCATCCCAGTAGAATGTAAAACATGGAAAGTGGTTTACAATAAATATATGGAAAATGCATATGAAAATAATTTAAAAATTGAAGGGTCTTGGAAGTGCAATGTGCTTTTACTTCTGTGTGGGCTTTCCTTTCCTCATCTATAAAATGAAACGACAGGAATATGAAGTTGTTAGGAGGAGTCAATTACAATCTGTGAAGAGCTTAGAACAGTGCCCCAGCACTGTGGGGTCTGGACAGTTGGTCATCGCTGTCCTCACTTATCTGTTCTAGGCCGCAGGAGAGACTGGACAGTAAGTAGAGGGCTCTCCAAGACACAGAACCATTAATCATGAATACCACTGCAGAGAGGAAGGCTGATTAAAATAAGCCTGTGCCCACAGAGCTCTGGGCGGAAAGTCAGCCCTACACGGGCTGGCTGGAGACTGCACTGCAGAACCAGTGTCTTAGCGGTCCGGTCTCGGTTCTCTTTCGTCTCAGGTACATCACTTGACTTGATGACCTCTTATTCTCAGTTGTCCCATCTACCTCACTAGAGATAAAGCCTCTGACAGCACGAGAACAAGGCAGCTCCGAATACTGAATTCTCCAGTAATACCAACTTCTCTCCTAAAGATCATACTGATCCCTCTAACACCAGGATCTGAACAAGAAGTCCCATCTCTCCCTTCAAAAGCCGTCTCCAGACTGCAGGATTTCTAGCAAGGCGGGGGGCAGGCAAAGCTCTGCAGACTGTGCCATTTCATTCTTCTGCCCATAAAATTCTGAGGCCCCCTGTCAACCGCTGAGACTTCCAGAGACCAAGTGATCCAGAAATGGAGGTGTGGAACGGCTGGAAGCAGGGAAAAGTGCTGGCTGGACAGACTCTAATAAATCATGGGCACTCTAGAGGGGTTCGAGGATGACAGCTGAGCATTCCACCCCTGGATGCACACTCACAGGCTGTTCAGCACACACAAATCTGTACTTTGGAAGGGTCAATTTTTCCAGTTGGCAGGCATGCAAGCGTGTGGTTTCTGTGTCCTCATTCCCACTCCCCTCACTTGGCTTCTGCTGCGTTCTTGGCACCTAGCATCTCTATTCCCCAGGCTTGATGTTTTTTAAATGAGCTTTCCTTTGCTTTGGTTTCCAGTAACCTGGCAGCATTAGGGGCTTCTATCTACTGGACTCAGGCTAGATAGGGAGCTAAGAGGTGGGGCAGGGAAGCTGAAGGACTACACAAGGTCTAGTTATTCACCTCTGGTTTGATCTCTTATGTGAGAAATGTCCCTCCAAGGAAAGGAGAGACAAGAAACCCCTTTCTTCTCTGGACAGCAGAGTTCACTGAATGCACAACACACATAATCGTTTCTGCTCTACTAATAGCATACCGTCATCACTCGTGTGGTGCTCTGTTGTCACATCCTGGGCGCAGTCTTCAGCAGAGGTAGTCTCTCCATGAGTGCTGTCACTGCCACAGAAGAGTCACAACTGGGACATCAGTATTTGCTCCTAAAGTTCTCTTCTTCCCCTTGACACAGCTTCCTTGGAACAACTGTGGGCTTGCTACACTCTAAGCACACAGCCACTAAGGCATCAAAGCATCAGTCCTCACACTGCAGGGAGCCCTGGAGGGCCTGCTAAAAATCATACATTATCCCACTCTGAGCTTTTCTGAGTCACAAGATCTGTCTAGGGTTGGAGAATCTGCATTTCATTCTGGTCCCACAGGATCTGGTGCTGTTGGTCTGGGCTTTCCACTTTGAAATCTGCACCATGGTAAAAGAATGATACTTTTTGAGGTTCCATGTAGTCCTAAAATCCCACGCGTCTCCCCTCCTACGCCTCTGGCCCTGACAACATGCCCAACCCTATCAACACCCGAGCTCCAAGGTCCCAGCAGCAGTCCTAGGCAACCAGAATCCAGTTTGGAGACTAGTAAGTGGGTAGTCAGAAATGTACTTTCCCACATCTGTGGAGAGCAGCCTGGTGCCTCTTCTCCCTGATGGTCCTGATCACTTGGCCACTCTCCAGGATTTGGGGGCTTATCTTTTCACTGCCTTAGCTCACTGTGATAGTATCTCTCTTTCTTCCTAAATAAGAGAGGTCAGGATCAAGGTCACTGACAATTGCTCCTTGGTGCCTCTGGCCCAAGGCCTGGGACAGTGGCACAATGATTACCTGTGTGGTATATTCCAATAAATATCACATACACAACACATGGGGTAAGGGCTGAGGAAACACCTGGGAGAAAACTAGAAGAAAAAGCTTTCACGTGTGTGTCCTGTAAACCATACTCCTTGGTCTCTGTCCCTGGGTAAGGACTGGGGATCAGGGAGCTGGGAGCACTCTGCCCCTTTATTGGTCCAGAACCTGCAGTGATTTGATATTTAAGAAGCTAAGGCCAACTTTACAGGTAAAGGCAAGAACTAAAGACACCATTGCACAGCTCTTAACTCTCATGCAAAGGGGAGTCATGTGCAAGAGAATATATCCTTGGAGCTCACCTAATGGGCCAGCAGCCCCGGTCACCACCAGCCACCTGTCAGTGACAGAAGCTCAGATGCAGACCTAGGCTCACAAGTCCAGGAGAAAGTAGATCCAAGGAAGCCACTGCCTTAGGAAGTTCAGAGAGGCACAAATATTGTTTTCTACACTCCTTGGGCAGCGGTTCTGAGGGGGTCATGGAGGATCATGGACTGACTGGCTGCTAATTAAGTAAACACATGCCTTGTCCTCTCCTACTGAGGTTGATAGCAATGGGGCTGGAAGGATTGGTTCCAGATGTTAAATCTAGACGGAATCTGATTTGGTCTGGCTATGTCTTCAGCTTCTATTGAAAAACCATTTAGGAAAGCAGGGAGGAGGTATGGGACACCAGGGGTTAGTGAAAATTGGCACTGTAAAGTGGTATTACAGTTTATGTGTGGGGTACTAGATGGAGCCTTATCCTAGAAGCTAAGTGATCAGGGTTGACTCCCAATTACTGGGGTGGGCTGAAACACTGCACTGGCCTCTCTGGGTTGCAAGGAGTTTGTCTGTAAAAGGGAAGTAGTATTCCATTTTTTGGAAATGATTCATTTGTCTAAAAGAGGTAGTCTATCACAAATGTACCCAGAAGTTCCTTTTAGAATTCTGTGCTCAGGCTAGGCCATGAAAAACCTTGTCTACATAATCTCATACTTTCCTGGGGTTGGGGAGAACTGTGCCTAACTACCCCAGATAAGTTTACACCTTTTTCTTGTCACACATTTCTGAAATCATTCTGTTGTGCCATCTTACAAACTCAGGCAGGAGATTCTGCCTCATTCAGACTCTTTCTCCTAAGAACAGGATTCCCTGGGGCTCAGCTCTGTTTCCACCACAGTACACAGTTTAGGCACTGCTGCCCAATGAACAGCAGGTCTAAACACCACTTTGTAAACTCTCCTTTCCTGGATGTTGTCATTATTTTTCAGGATGGTCCCTAGTTATACAATACTCATGAAAAAGAAAAAATAAAAGGGTTTGGTGAAGTAACACTTATTCTGTAGGTGGGTCTAAGATGGGAGAACAGCCAGCTCCTGCCACCTGCAGAACCTGTAAGTGGAGGTGGGAGGACCTGGCTGCTTCCCTTTGGGTTTTGCTTGACCATCTGGCCCCTATACAGTTATTATCAGGCATTCCCTCCCCTCCTCCCCTCCCTGGCCCCTACCAGTAATCCTCCATGCTTCCTCCTCTGCTGTAGATGGGGCCCTCCAGCTCCCTGGGATTTGGGAAGATGTTCTCATGTTGGATGATGATGGTTTTAATCAGTTCATTCACGTGGGCTTGACAGGACACCTGGTCATGGCCCTCTGGCACTGACATCAGTGAGGGCCCGAAGCAGATGGCAAGGTTGTAGGGGTCCATCATGTTCTCTTCACTGAACTGTGATAAGCTGGAGGGAAAGGGAAGGGGGCAAATTGGAAAGCTCTCACATGAATGCCCAGAAAACACAAACACAAGAGACATCGCCAGAAGGAAAGTCAGAAGTCCACAAACTGCCACCTGCCTTTCTGGGCACCAGAGGCCTTCTGGGAAGTCAGGTGGGGAGAAGAGAGTGACTACTGATGGTTATTCAGGAGCCAAGGAAAGATGTAAGACCTGCTTGCAGGTCTGACCCCTTTCTCCAGTTCCCCAATCAAATTCTTATGAGTCTCATTTTTACCCCTACCTTTGACCTTACGCATCAGAGCCACCCTGCTCTGAGAACATCCCATCTAACTCTGTAGAACTGGATATGGTTCCCACAGACAACTCACTCAACAACCGAGCAGATGGGGACCTCAGCTTGCTCTGGGAAACAGTCACATCATATGCTTTCATGCATGCATACAAAAGAATCAAATTATTGGGCATTTTCTATTCCAAATACTATACTTTTAGAAACATAGTCAGCTGATTAACTTTTTTATTCCACCAGGACAGTGAATTCTTTTTAGAACAGCTAAGGCAACTGTTTAACGTTTTCATAATATCCTCTTGTATTAGTACATCCAGGAATTAATCATGCGTTCTGTTTGTATTCTGCTTGGGGTTCCCTTGGATGTAGGCTAATTTCATTACTGTTTATTTGTTTAGAGATTCTTCCTATTCTCAGTCAGCAGCTGCTCTAGTCACACCCCAGCCTTGGCCAAGGACCCAAGCACTCAACCATCACTATGCTTGCTGAGTCCCCATGGGTCTGTGCCTGTGGTGGTTTGAATAAGAATGGCCCAAAGGCTCACATATTTGAATGTTTAGTCATCAGGGAGTGGCACTACTTGGGAGGGATTAGGAGGTGTGGCCTTGTTGGAGGAAGTGTGTCACTGGGGATGGGCTTTCAAGTTTCAAAAGCCCAAGCCAGGTCCAGTGTCTCTCTCTTCCTGCTGCCTGTGGATCCAGATGTAGAACTCTCAGCTACCTCTACCATGTCTACCTGCATGCCACCACTTTCCCCATCACAATGATGACAATGGACTAAACCTCTGAAACTGTAAGCCATAATTAAGTGCTTTCCTTTATTAGAATTGCTGTGGTCAAACACTGTCTGTCCTAGCACAGAAGGCGGGGCTGACTTTGGGCACATCCTCTACTAAGCTTGAAGGGCTATGGACATTGCTGAGGAGCCTGGCCTTCCTATGGTCATCAGCAGTAGCTTCTTGGTGTCCAATTCTGACAGATGCCGGAAAGAGACTTGAGCCTTTGGAAACCACTGCCATTCTGGATTGGGTGAAGTTTATTTCTAGTGTGCCCCACATCCAGACTCATGTTACAAAGCTGTTTTTCCACTAACAAATGGCTTTCTCCTCTGCTGGAGCATCTAACACGCATCTTATGATCCTTCTATAATCACTGTAGGACATCAGAAATGGCATGGCATGGTGTGAACAATTGCCATGGAAAATAGCAGCTGCGAAGCACTATTATTCCACAATATCAAAACTAAATGCAGGAGAGGCCAGTGGGGAGGGGTATCATCTCAGCGGCTAGATGGAGATGACTTGGTTTTGCTTAAGGCAGGAATTCATTACATACTTCATTCTGGCCTCAAACTCACTGTCTTCCTGCCTCAGCTTTCCAAATGCTGGTATCACAGTCCTGTACCGCCATATCCAGCTCACAGGAATTATTAGAGAATTAATTTTAAAATCCTTCTCTGGTCCCAGAGTTAAAAGAAAACAGAGGTTTAGAAAAGACTGGGGAAATATATAAGTCTGTTTTATCATCAGATTAAAACTGGAGAGAAACAGGAGAGATTATTACTTTGATAACCTCAGCAGAAATGACCCACACATGAGATGCCATATGATGCTGTAGTGAGCCAGGTCCTGGTATCTCGGAGACAGAAAGCTCAGTAAAGCCATGTTTCTTTAATGTGATCTGATAGAGTTTTAGTAACAAGAAGAAACCAGAGTTTCTGGGAAGTGTGATAGTCTAAGGGAAACATTCTGTTCCCAAGAAACCTGGGTAAAAATTCTGTAACAGATGAAGGATGTGAAGTATCTTGTCCCCACCCCTGAAAAGACTGTCCTATTCATAAGAGGCTACAGGGATGAAGATCTGGAAGAGGACATATCTTTGTGAACTGTAGTCCATTTAGTAGTCTTAAGAATTTATGTCCATTTCTGATTCCCATTAAAAACCAAACCAAATGAAAACAGAACCAAAAAAGGATCAAGAACCTTGTGATTGCTTATCTTGGTTGTCAACGTTGACTTGCCTGGGAAGAAGGAACCTCAGCTGAAGAACTGCTCCCATCAGATGGGCTTGTGAGCAAAATCAGAATTTTCCTGATTGCTATTGATGCAGGGGGTGGGGGTGCTCAGTCCACCGTACTATAGGCAGGTAAGCCTGGACTGTGTAAAGAAGTGTAGCTGTACATGGGAGCAAGTCAGTAACCACCATTCCTCCAGAAAATAACTGACAATAACAATAAGTGTTGGTGAAGATGTTGGGAAAGAGGAATCCTTATATAAGCCTGGCAGCAATGTAAACTGGTGCAGCTGCTATGGAAATCAGAATGCAGGTGCCATAAATGCTAAATAGAACTACCACATGACTCAGCCAAAACACTCAGGTATATTCCTAAAGGATTCTAAGTCAACATACCACAGATAGAGTTACATTCCCATGTCTACTGTTGCACTATTCACAGTAGCCAAGGTATCAACTAGCCCAGCAATAGTCTATCAACAGATGAATGGATAAAGAAAATGTGGTACCTATAAACATGGTTATTTTATTCAGGTATAAAAAAGAATGAAATTATAACATTGGCAGGAAAATGGAGAGGACCAAAGATCATTGCATAAAGTAAAATAAGGCTGACTCACAAACATAAATATCATACTTTGTTTTCATATGTGGGGTGTGTGTGTGTGTGTGTGTGTGTGTGTGTGTGTGTGTGTGTGTGTGTGTGATGTGAAAACAAAGAAGGGACTAGGAGAGAACAGAAGGACTAAAGGGAGGGGAAGGGAGAAGAGGAAGGGTCATGGACTATAGGTAACATGAAAGCGCAAGTAGGCACTGTTTGGAAGAAGAAGTGGGGGGCATGGGTGGCAAATAAGAACAAAGCAAAATGGAATATATGTATAAAAAGATCATAATGAAACCCATCACTTTGTATTCTAAATAAAAATAATAATAAATAGAAGTATATAATTCAGTGGCATTTTGCATATTCACAATGTTGTGTAACCATTACCTCTAAGTTGCACAACATTTTCATCATCCCTGAAAGAAACCTGGTATTCACTAACCAGTTACTTTCCAACCTTCCTCTCAGTCCCTGCTACCAGGAACCTACTCTCTATTTCTACGGATTTGCCTGTTCTGGAGATTTCATATACATGGAATCTTACAATATTTAGTTTTCATTGCCTCAACACAGTGTTTTCAAGGTTCATCCGTATGGCAGCATGTGTCGATACTCCATTCCTTTTTATGGCTAAACAACATCCTACTGCATGAACATTTTGTGAGCTCAGAGGCAGAACGTCCCCCAGCTGCACATCATTCAGATGCGATCCACAGCCCTACCTAATGCCACCTCTTGTTCCCAACAATGTGAGGCTGCACTGGAGTCCACTAAGCTGCACCTCAAGTGCTAGCCTACAGATACTATCAGTTTGCCTCCTTGAGATTCAGTATGTGTACAAGAACAAACTTCAGCCAGGATTCAAGTGTGCATCCCCAAGGTGTGGGTCCAGGGAAAGTCGTCTCCATGAGGAACCACCTGGCAACTCCTGATGCAATTGTTGGCAGCTGCACACTTTATCAGCTGTCATCTTCCCATGGAGACTTCACAAACTGTGTCCTGTATGCTACTCTTTTCAGAAACACTGAGTATAAATGCTTCACCTTTTCCATATAACACCCTGTTGATCAGTACAATACTTTAAAAATTATATATACACAATATTTTTAAAACTATATACATACCAACAAATTAATAATTTCAATGCTTTTTTCCCTAATAATGGCCATTGTCTCTTATACTGCATCATGCTTACTCTATTTTTTCCCTCCCCTGAAAGTCCAGGAAAGACAAGTTAATCTATGTCTTCCCTGTTTCTACCAGCTGGCCTATTTGGCTGCCTCTGTCATGCTCCTAGTTCACGGGGGACATACAAGGCTCAGGTTAAGGGTAGGTGTATGGCTGATGTGAACAAGCAGTGACTTGGGCCCTAAGCGGACTGACTAACCATAGAGCAGTGAGAAGTGTTTCCAGGCTATGAATGAGCACACATAACTGATGAGTTCTGAGGAGTTCATCTCAAGGACAGATGGGGTGCTGAGTTAGGACTCTGTCAGAGTTAACTTTGGGGAGATGCAGACTACAGAGCCAGGACTCTCTGTAGTTCTGTGTTGGGATAGGTGATGATGTGGGCTTCCCAATCAAGTCTTAGGCAGGGGCCGCTAATCCCAGATATCTCTAAGGCTGGGCCGATCATGAATGTCTAAATAGGATGAAGCTTGTGAAATGGACTCTAAAGCTGTAGTCATTTTAAACAAAGACTAACTATGTATGACGACTTCAATATTCACAAGGTATGTGCTAAAACTAAAACATTCTGGCCCTCTGGTTTACCTTTTGTTTCCCCGTTTTGATGGATTCAGGAATGCACAGAACTATTTCTTGGCTATATGGAAACCTAGAACCAGCATGATGATAGATGAGAACATGGAGAAGGCCGGGAACCACGGTGGGCTCTGCCTGTCTCACCCAGTGCTCAAAGCATATCCTAAGCTGACCCTTTCTGTCACCTTCTGACCAACCAACACCTCAGCTGGACTATGCCATGGCCTCTCTTAGACCTTCTCAGGAACTTCTCCACAAAGTAACTGGCAGGCTTGAAAATGAATACCTAAATGCCAAGATCATATCATTTTTCTCTTTAAAGGCTTTGAAGTCATTTCCCAGATTCAAATTTGCTATTTATTACTGAGACTCTCAAGTCTTCTATGTCCTTACAGCCCTCCTTTCTCACCACCGTTCCGGCTACGCTTACACTTGGTCTTCTCAGACAGGCCTTTGTGGCGAGCACATCTCTAGGCCAGCTCTTGTTCTTTCATCTTTTGTCCACTACGACCTCTGAACTCTCTCCCCATCTTTACTCTTTTCTTCTTACAACTATTCCACCCCATGGATCTACTACTATCGTCTGTTTCTTTCCTTGGACCATGATCTAATGATAAAAGGCTTTTCTTTTTTCATTTAACATTGTATTTTTAATAGCCTAGCACTGCAGTTGGCATATGGCAGATGCTCAGTGTCTGTTAGGATGGATGATTAGACATAGATCCATATGAAAGTCCTGGGTAGTCAAAGTCCAGTTTTTCACTGTGAAGGCTACTCACTGACTGAGGAAGGCAAAGAGGTATCTCATGATAATCAGAGTGGGTTTGGGCAGGACCAGGAGGACTTTCCGGATATGCACAGCTCTCTCTTGCAGGTTGTCCATTGCTGAAAGAAGAAAGGCATGTGTTACCCTGCAGCATGACTGCAGTCCTGGAGAGGAACAGTCAGAATCTTCTTTTCACAAGCAGTGTAACTCACGGAGCAAGCAGAGCCAGCCCACAGACAGCCCTGGCACAGTGACATGAGGTTTATCTTGGATGCTCTGTGCAATGAGGCTGCTACAAGAGACCACATGCTGGGACCCACAGCCTGACTGATACAGGAATCAGGGTATATGCTCCATAGGCACAGACTAGTTTGATATGTTCCCCACTCTAATTGAAACAGCAACAGGCATAGAGCTGACCTTAATCCTGTCATGACTACTGAATGCTCAGCCTTGAAGGGTTCCACACATGAGAAGGGACAGAGGCTGTGTGAGTCCTTCCTTGACCCCTGTATACACAGTTACCTCTTCCTCCTCTGCATAAGTTTGGCTTCCACTTCCCTTATCTAAAGTAGAGATGAACAGAGCCTGACTACAGAGAGTCGAGAGCAGGACCCTGGATAAGTAGTAAAATCTGTCAAGAAGACTAGAGAAGATTCCTGACTTTAATGCTGTGGTCACGTTGGTACAGATTTGGCCATCTGCCTGTGGCCTCTGTCATGAACAGCCTCTGACTTCCACAGTGTGCCAAGATGGACTTGATCTGGCTGTCTTATATGAATAAGAAATAGCAAATACTGGATTGGGAGCAAGAATAAGAAGAACTGGGGAGCTGAGGATTCTGGTGTGTCTTGGCGATTCCAGTCCCATGTAAGAGACTTCACTTAGGTCCAGTCTTGGAAAAGACATGAGGATATGACCTAAGTAATGCATGTATGTAACTGTTCACATTAACTCCTTTCCATTAGACTCTCACAAATACATGGGCAACAAAGAAAGCTAGTATCCCAAATGCCCCGGGCTTTTCTCAGAACAACCAAGAGAAGAACAAGTAAGTATTCAGACCAAATGCTGGGCCCAACTGAAAATTCAGGAGGCACGAGGGCCTTGTTCAACCTGGGAAAAACCTTTCCTGTATTTACTGTCTTCACCTTCTGGGGCCATCATATAGACAGGGTCTATGTAGTGCTATCTTTATGTCAACTTGATACCAGCTAGAGTCCTCTGGGAAGAGCGACCTCAACTAAGAAAATGCCCCCACCAGATTAGCCTGTGGGTAAGTTTGTGGTGTGTTTTCTTGATTGATGTGGGAGCACCCAGCTCACTGTGGGCGCTGGTGGTCTCAGGTGCTATTAGAAAGCAGGCTGAGCAAAGCACGGGGAACAAGCCAGTGAGCAGCACCCCTCCATGGCCTCTGCATCAGCTCCTGCCTCCAGGTTCCTGCCCTGTGTGAGTTCCTGTCCTGACTTCCCTGAGTGATGGAAGTGTAAGGTGAAATACACTCTTTCTTCCTCAAGTTGCTTTTGGTCATTTTTTTTCAATCACAGCAATAGAAACCCTAAATAGGATAATCTGCTTCCTGAATAACTTGATAATATCAATTTTTTTTTTTTTTTTTTGGTTTTTCGAGACAGGGTTTCTCCATGTAGCTTTGCGCCTTTCCTGGAACTCACTTGGTAGCCCAGGCTGGCCTCGAACTCACAGAGATCCTCCTGGCTCTGCCTCCCGAGTGCTGGGATTAAAGGCGTGCGCCACCACCACCCGGCTGATAATATCAATTTAAATTTCCATGGATTGCTTTCTGTGGAATCAAGTGATAGGATGCTTCAGTATCATGAACTAAACTAAATATCTAGGAATAGCTTTCCAAGCCCTAAAAGAGAAAGGGAAAATATTAAATGATACTTTTAAGTGCACAAACTTGGCCATGATGTGGCGGGCTTTTCTTGTTTGCAGACATGTGTGAATATGTGTAGCAGGTAATCATGGCACACACAAAACAAGTAGGGAGCAGGGTCAGTGTTTACTTTCCTCTGGTCCTATTAATAGCACAGACATTGTGTATAAGCTAATATAAAAGCATTTTACTAAAGATAATAAACCCAGAGATGTAAAGGAATTAATGACCAAGATCAATTAGAAAGGAAAAAGCCAAGAGTCTTGACTTAGATTCTATACTATTACTGTTAAATCATTCTTTTTTTCTCCCCACCAGGGAGAAAACAGTGGAGATAAAGAAGCAAAACTCACTGGTAGAAATAAAGAACAACTTTACTGAAAAGCTTATGATGAAACAAGCTGATGGAAATTTCCCAATATCTTGCTGCCATCTGTGTGTATAATGATACTTACTGACACAGCCAATCAAGTCATGGAAGATGTCCTTGGGGAAGAGCGGGTGTTCCAGCCCCCGGAAGTAAAGCTTGAGGACACCAGCTATGGAGTCCATGTCATGGTCATTCTGGTCCCCAGCCAGAGGGTCCTCTCCTGAAGACAAGTAGCCCCCACCCCAAAAGGAAAGAGAGTGAGTAAGGCAATTCACATAGCTTCCTCATCCCGTTTTCCACGCAGCACAACGGCCATGATGCGGCAGACTGTCCAGGCTAGTCAACATTCCCTGTGGGCTGGGAGTGGAACCAAGATTCTCTCACAAGAATCAGGAAACTGGGAGGAGACTGAGCCTCTGGTGGAGAGAAAACAAGGCCAGGAGGCCAGCTTCTCTGACTACCGTATCAGAAGACACCTACTGACAGAACAGTCATCCCACAATCCCAATGGAAATTTTCATATCAAGTGTAATTAAATTTAATGATAACACCAACCTTAAATTGAAACTATATATATCCATTACAGTGACAGAAATTGCCAAAGCTTGCCCATTACCTTAATAGACCACAAGATGATAAATGGGATACAATGAACAGGCACATTAGCCTTGATATTAACTGCCACCAAGGGTTCTGGATGAGGCTATTAACTGTCTGGATATATAGTAACTACTTGGGTTTTGGCAGATCATCACAGGAATGAGGCAGGATGGGTGGGGCTAAGAAAGAAGGAAGCTGGGACGTGTCCCAACATCTCTGTGTACCTCCTGAAAGTCCAGAGAAAACAGGCAGTCTCTTAGGCTTATATATAAGCACAGGGAACTCTAGGGGAAAAGGCGGAGCCAACTCCCCAGGGCTGACACATTTGTCTTATGGCTGTTTATTCCCACCTCACCTCTCTCAAAGGCGTTTTTTATGTCATTCACTTCCACTTGTGACCCAGACACCCGGAAAATCCCCTCATGTTGTAGGCCTAGAAACACACAAAATAAAGTGGTCAAAGTGAAAAAAAGCAAGTTCGTAGTCATACGGTCAAGATTAGTATCATACCCATCTCCACTGGTACCATGTATTTAAGTATTTTGTCTTTTCCGGTTTAGGACAAAGGAGGAAAACAGGGCAGTGATGTTGGAAAAGTCTCTGGGAGGATTACGAGACATTAGTATAAAGAAAGCATCTGGCCAAAGACTTAAGGAAAAGGATGTTCACACCCTCCTCTGATTCTAAGGGAGACTCCCTGGTTGTGGCCTCCTGACCTTAGTTTTATGTTCCTACCTGTGGAGTGGGGAAGTCACTGGGTAGTGCTTTCTTATTGCCCGTGGTTAAGATGGAGGTGGTCTTGGCAGGCAACGAATTAGGTAGCATTAGAGAGGTTAGCAGAGGAAGACTGAGGCTGCTATGATTTCTTTAGCATTTTAACACTAGCCCCATTTTTCTAGGAGAAAATGCTTTCTGAACTGATGAAAAACAGGACATAAAGACAAAAACGAACACCCAACATTGTCAGTCCTTGTCCTAGGCACCGATCCCTGACTGCTTGCAACCTTTTTCTAAAGAAAACATGTAAAGACTGTATTACGAAGTGTACAAGAAACTCTCCTCATGGTTTTGCTGGAGCAGGCAGCCATGAAAAATAATGTTTATATAATGACTGCCACTCACGCTTTCCTATAAAGTATTTGGTCCTCACATAACCTTACAAGGTCAGGGTTAGCGGCAATCCCATCTTCTAGATGAGGGGACTGGTGAATGATGACACAGCAAGAAGAACCAGGACCAGAGCTCAAAGGCAGTCTTGTGGCTGCAATCACAGACTCAGTTTTCGGTGTCAGACGTGGGGCCTATTGGTCTGCAAGTACAGAGGATGGGAGGGAGCCATCTTGGCCTGTCTGTACTCAGACACAGATTACAGAGAGCCACACATGCAACTGTAACATCACCAGTGACTGACCCAGCCAGGGGCTTAGCTAATTAATAGCCCTAGCTGTATCAGGACTTTCCGTCTTTTTCCAAGCCTAGATCTCCTCTGTCAATGTTTCTCTGGGATCCTCTAAAAGCCTTGATATAAACCTCAGATTGAATCTAAAAAAACAAACAAAATAGAATAATGCTGTATTTTGCTAGATGTTTCAGAATTACCCTTGAAATGAGGGGAGCTATATTCTATTAGTTAGATTTCTGGAGCTAATACCATACAGGCCAAGACTGAAACTGTGGAAATCTGACTGAAAGTAAGTGAAGGGAATGTGATCACCTGGCTTGTAATAAGATGTAAGTTGTCTGTCCCTCTAAGGTAATCTCTAAAATATCCTGCACAGAATGGCAAGCAACATTAAAATCCCATCAGTGCCAGTGTGGCGGTACTATGTTAGTTACAAAATGGGGTATGAGAGCCAGAAATTGTTGTTTAACACAGAATGTATCATAAATAGCAAGGCTCTGACAGAAACAGAAACACACCCAAAGACTTAGCAGAAACACAGGGTATAAGGAAATGTCATCTCAAACCAGGCTACTTGGTATGTTTTAGCTGGGAAAGTACTACCCAACTTCTTGAAAGGGTTACCTCAGTGCTTCTGGGTAGGTTGGATGGCTAAGGAATATAGCCTTGGCCTGTGGGACCAAGGAAAACAAGTGAGAGATGAACTTGTTGGAAATCAGACAACTGGCCGCAAATACTGAGCTCTACTTCAGTCTGGTCTCCAGTCCTCCTGGAGAATGGATGCCCTAGATTAGGACCACTTATTACTGTGCTTGTATGCAAGAATGTGTGTGTGTGTGCGCGCGCGCGCACAGGTCCGTGTGACATGGTCCATGGGTGGAGGTCCATGTTCTGAGGATTAACTCACATCCCCAGCTTGCAGGGCAAACACTTTACCCACTGTGCCATCTCACTGGCCCACCAGACAGAACCCTTAGAGGATCTGATTAGACAATTCCGAGAGGAGAAATAGGACATTTTCCAGACAGGAGAAACCAGTTGGCCTTTTGTTAGAATGCATAACCAAAATAAGATATCCACAGTCTCTATTCTCCGTTTCTTCTTAGCACACACTAACATAAAAGCATAAAAGCTCCTTGGATTTGGGTAAGCTATTTGGAACGGACATAAAGCCTGCTGGACTTAGCTGTTGCTCAGAGTTGCTCTCCTAGCTAACTCTTGAACTGACTGTTGCAACAACCACCTCACATTCCTTTCTTGAAAATGGTAGATTAAAAAAAAAAATCCCTTCATAGTTAATTTGAGTGGTTCCTCAAATTTCTCCTCTTGAATACCCTCATGGATCACCCTGATCTATCACTATGAAGAGTGTTAGTTTCCTGACCTATATAATGGGATCTATAATAATATTTATCTTCCAGAGGATATGATAACTGTTAGGATGTAAAAATTCCTAGCATTTGGTGTGCCATCGGCTCTTTTGAGGCTAACAAAGTTATGAATCCACTAAATGTACACATACAGAAAATTGAAGCATAGCTTTTTAGGGACTCCATGAATTCCTTGAATCTTTTCCTTGGGCAAACAGCCAATTCAACTATACAAATACTTTTTGACTAGCTATTATGTACTGAAATTAAAAAAAAAAATCAACAATGGCCAGGAGTGGTGGCTCTGACCTACAATTCTAGCACTTTGGAGGCTGAGGCTGGAGGATCACTGAATTTGTAGCCAGCATGGTTCTTCTAGGAGGTTCCAGGCCAGTCATAGTTACATAGTGAGAGTTTGTCTTAACAGACATCCACCTCCCACAATTCCAAGTTAACAACGTATTTATTTAGTCCTAGAATACACAAAACTTCTACTTGCTAACCAACACTTTCTGTGATACAGAGTATTAATTCACACACACACACACACACACACACACACACACACACACACACACACACACATATTTATTTATTTATACGTCCTTTTGTCTTTGAGTGTGTGTAGCATTGCAGGTACTTTTTAGTGTGGGCGTATACACATGTGCATGCATGCGTGTGTGGAGGTCAGAGGTCAACATCAGGTATCCTCCTCTATTGTTCTCTACCTTTGCTACTTTAGAAATAAGGCTCCTTGCTGAACTTCAAGCTCTTTGCTTTTGCTGGGCTGGCAATGACCTGCCTGTCTCTGCTTCCCACATACAGCTAGCACTGGGGTTACAGGCATGTGCTGCCATGCCCAGCTTTTTATGTGGGTTTTGGGGATCTGAACTCAGGTCCTTGAACTTGTACAGTGGGCACTTTACCAACGAAACCATAAGTGTAAAGTCTTATAATCAAAATATTGTTTTCTAAAGTTATTTATTAGTGATTCATTCTCCTCATCTGTAATGTAGCTAGGTTTACTTATTACTGCTCACATTCTATTTGGGCTTTTATTTACATCTTAGTTTGTTTGTTTGTTTATTTATTTATCTTTTGTGTATGGGAACCACTAACATCATTCTAAAGTGAAAACCACACAAGAGAATAGATTCATTCCTTATTTTATTTTCCATTCCTCCACTATTTGCATCCATTGTCTACTTGTAATGAGCAACCAGTAAAACACTAGATTCTAGACTCATTGTTCCTGTATTTTTCTGTAGAAATGAGAAGATACATATATAGTCCATATATTTGTAACTCTTTATTCTTATATGAAAGCCTCCCTTCACTCTCTCTGTTTCAGCCTGTGTACTTTTCCTTACACACGTCAATAGTTTCTGTACTTTGGTTCTCTCTCCACAAAACACTCCTCCTCAGATGGACACATCACTTTTCCTCTTCCTCACAACTCCACTCAAATGTGAGAAGAGGCTTCTGTGACCCACCCCAGAGTGCCTCTCTCCATTCTCCATCCTGCACCTTGTTTTGCTTTTCTTCATGACACACACCAGCGCTGGAAATATTGCAAGTCAATTTGTGTATTGGCTGATCATCTGTTTGTTCTTCAGTGGAACAAAAAGTTTGGAAGAACTTTTTTACTAGTCTATAATAAGCAATCAATATAGACTTTGTAGTGAACAAACAAGTGAATGCATGGATGAATGAATCCACAACTTCTTCCCATTGTTCTTTAGGAACCAATAATTATTCTTCTATTGAACTCAGCTTGGACGCGTTCCTTGGTATTAATTACTGCTATCTTGTAAATTTCTTATTCGGTTACTGTCAATTACTACTGTTTTATTTCTTTTCATTAACTTACTATCTGTGTATTTTCTTCCAAATGCACCATAAAACCACTTCGAGACAATAGTGTATTACTTTTCTTTATGTTTTCTTTCTTGGCAATCCATGGTACTCAGCATTGGTCAGGGGCTTATAAAATATTTGCTGATTGTTCAATAGTGATGAACAGTGCTCTTACTTCAAAAGAACTGAGATAACATTAAAAATTTATAGTTGATAGAAAGAAGGAATAAGCTATAAGAATGCTAAAATAATTACTGTTTCAATAATGAATCTAAGAAATATCCCAGTTTATAGGGAGGGAGACAGGCAAGGGGATGGAAGAAAATATGGTTGCCGTGGAATTTAGATTAGCAATACTTGGCTTCTTTAGCTCTAGGATGGTCATGTTATGACCTTTTTAAGTATTTAAAAACAATTTCTGATGCTAGTTTCTAGACATTTTTAAGGCCAGTATAGATATCTGTACTTTGTAAATACTCTCACCTTTGGAAAATAAACTTGCTGGCAATCATCTCCAATCCTAAAGTCTGTCTAGCGTGCTGTTAGCTGGTAAAGAAAGAAGCTAAATCTCTTAGCTTTGCCCAAGCAGAAGGGTAAGTACAATTTGACTGCAGCTGAGAAGGAGCCAGTCCCTGAAGAAGACACTCAAAAGGTGGATGCAGCTTTAGAACAGTTATTAACTGAGCTCATGGGGACACTGTATCCAGTGAGACCAAATTAGGACAAAATCCAAATATTATATATGTAGTCAGTGCAACATTAGAGATGGAATTGTTTCAAACCACTCTGGTACAGCCAATGGGACAAAACGGTTAGGCTATGCCATTGGAGACACCCACCCACATCAAGGCTATAACTACTGGTCTCACTACCACCATCATATGGACTTGCTGCACAAAACAGCTGGGTTTTAAAACTCTGGAGCTAGAAAAGAGCATGGTAAGTGCTCTTTTCAAAACATGTCTAAACATGTCAAAACATGTCTGTTTTCAACATGTAGGTATGGTCTTTCTGAAGGAGCAAACATTATAGATGTAATTCCTTTTCTAAGAATGTGAGGATAGGAAGGCAATCTCTATTGCTCTCTCTGGTGTATAGGCACATATATGTATGCATATGTATATACACATATGTGTGTGTGTGTGTGTGTGTGTGTGTGTGTGTGTATATATATATATATATATATGTTATGGAGGCCAGAGGTTGGTTGTTCTCTATTTTAATACTCTCTGCCTTACTCCTTTGAGGCAGTGTCTCTCCCCTGAGCCTGAATCTTACAGAATTTTTTTTAGGTTGGGGTGGCAGCCAGCAAGCCCCAGAGATCCTCCCGTCTTGGCCCTCCACAGCACTGGAGTTATAGATGTGCATAAGATCCTGCTCTCCTTGTTGTGTACGTTCTGGAATCTACACTAAGGTCCTCATGGTTGTGCAGCAAATGCTCCTAACCGCTGAACCATCTCTCCAGTTCCACCTACCTCGATTATTGTTCTACTAAGAATTCTTGGAAGTTCTGACTCTCCAACAAATATAAGCAAAGCTGCATTCCTGCTTACCATGTCTGCTAATAAACCGGATGCAGCTTTCTACCACCAGGGGAATCGCCTGGCTGGAATCCTGGAAAACAAAGAAGAAATGTAGACATTAGAACCAAGGATAGAAGAAGTGAGTCTGTTCTCAAAATGGAGAAAGAATTGCTATCCGGTCGCCCCCAGCCTGACTGCACTGATGCTCCGGTGGTGGCTATGGATATGGTAGTGCAAATGGTGGCAGAAGGTTTAAAAAATGACAGGATGATGATACACGGGATCAGGGGAGAGACAGAAGACAGAGAGACAGACAGAGACAGGCAAAACACCCATGCACATAAAAAAAAATAAAGCTTAATAAAAAAGAAAGATGGTTTAGTTGGCACAATAAAGGTAAGAAAGAAAAGTAAAAGCAACTCTTGGAAATAGTAAAAATGATATGGGAATATGAAAAGCAGACTTCCCAGATATCCAATTTTGTTTTGTCTTTTTGCTATATAACCCTGATTGATTGTGCCATTTAATTTATATGGTTTCAACTTGCTGTCTACGAACTGAGAAAGGGATTGGTGGTAAGGCTAGTTATATCTACTGTTGGTACAGAACTATTTATAAGCTTTAAGCTTTACTTGTTTTATATTATGCATATGAGTATTTGCCTGCATGAATATCTGTGTGCTACTTGTGTGTCTGATGCCCAAGGAGATCAGAAGAATGCATCGGATCTCCTGGGATTGGAGTTACAGGTGGCTGTGAGGTACCATGTGGGTGTTGGGAATCGAACCTGGATCCTCTACAAGAGCAGCTAGTGCTCGTAACCACTGAACCGTCTCTCCAGCCCCAGGTACACAAATATTAATGTCTACATTTATAGAAGTGTTGGGCCACATACAGTCTTTTAGATAGATTGCTTCTATGGTGTATGGCTATTGTTGCTGTTTATTCTCATTTGATAATATAGAAATGAGGCTTGGTGAGGTTAAATGTCTGCTTGTATCACATAACTAGTAAGTGGAAAAGCCAGGACTTAATTCTCTGTTACTAAACACTTTGCTGTCTCTCATACTATATGCTAAGAGAGTAGCAAACACTGCATACCAATCACTACTAAAAATCAGCAAGGTTTTTATAATGTAGCTACATGAGTAATAATTCAGCCGTGTGAAAGAAAAGCATCAGGTATGGCTCTAAAATCTAGTTTCAGATGTTCAGGAAAGACTGGACTCTACAGTGGGGTTGACTCTTGTATCTTCTGCCCATTTCACAGGTTGGATTGCACCCATCTGGCTTTGGATTTTCAACTGTAGCCATGGGGTTTGGCTACTATAAGGGAAGCAGCTGGGTCTCATGAAACAGTCAGGCTGAGAGAAGAGATGGCTTGGCCTATGTAGGTTCCCAGCTTGCCAGTGATCAGGATACTGCCAAAGTGGAGCTGGAGCCAGGAAGGTCTCAGTGTCACAAAAGCTCATTTTATTATTATTATTTTATTATTATTATTTCTTCTTTTTTTTGAGACAGGGTCTCTCCATGTAGCCCTGGTTGGCCTGGAACTCACTATGTGTGCGAGGCCGGCCTCAAACTCAACACAGAAATCTGCCTGCCTCTGCCTCCCTGAGATTAATGGGGTGTGATACCACACCTAGCTCCAAATGCTCATCTTAGTGACTCCTCTGCCCCCCAAAACCTGACTGCTTTCTCTACCTGTTCAGGTATAGCAGCCAGGGTCTGACATTTTGTTAGATCACTGACTTTTGCCAGTCATCCCAAGTAACCTTAGAGGAAGAATCTTGGTCCTTTCTTCCTTAGTCTAATGAAAACCAGGCTCAACTATTACAAGGGAAAAGCCTCCATTTGCAGGAAATTATAGCAGGAGAGATAAAGAAGGTAGCAGAAATGGATTTGCAGACTTTTCTGGTCTAAAGTTCAGGAAGGAGGACACCGGGAAACTTACAGGTTACTGGCACTAATAAACTATGTGAATGCAAAGTTCTGTCTGGATATGCAGGAAATATCCTATCAACAGCAGGTTGACATACATAGAGTTCTCAGGAAACAAGGCACCAAATCAGCATGCCCATGGTCACCAAGAAGTAACCAGAGAAATAATGTGTGGTAGACAAGGGTAGGTCAGAGACATCTGTCCTACTACAGAAGGCTAAAATGGGGTCTAAGGCAGAGTCTACCAGGGAACAGCAGCACAGAGGTTTCAATGTCCTAGATGACCTCGCTGCTACCTGTGGTGTTTCTAAGTGAATTCATTTCTCCAGATGTGTCTCTGTGCCCCCATGGCACCCTCAAAACCTAGATGACACCACTAACTGCATATGACTCCCCAGTACTTCCTATGTTTTTTCAACCATTGTTTTGTCTCTTTCCCTTCTTTTCTCAATGTTAGAATGAATCAATGTCAGTTTTATTATTTTGCTCACAATGCTTTTTATCATATAATCTTGGTTGGAAAGGGTTTTTAAGGACAATCAGGGCAAATTTCCACTCAATCAGATTAAGGAAGCTGGAGGGAACTGACAGTTGGCATAACTTGGAAAAGAGAGTAGAGCAGGAGTAAGTAATTTACAGGAGAAAACTATCAGGGTGACAATTACATAATATCCACAGTTTGTTATCATTTCTTTCTTTTAGTATTAATTAGGTTAAAACTTATTTTTAACTGACACATAAAATCAGTACATATTAATGGAATACTATGTGTCATTCTGATACATGTAGATCTGACATGATGTTTGAAGCAGGTTAAAAATATCTATCTCCATTTATCACTTACTTATGGTGAGAGTTTAAAATTCTGGGGCTGGAGAGATGGCTCAGTAGAGCACTTGTTGCTCCTGCTGAGGGCCCAGGCTCAGTTTTCAGCACTCACATGGCGACTAACAACCATTGTGGACCCCAGTTCCAGAGGATCTGATGCCCTCTTCTGGCCTCCATGGGCACTGCACATACAAGGTGCACAGACATGCACACAGGCCAAACACCCATACACACAAAACAAAATAATAAATCTTTGAGAAAGGAGACAAGCACAGAGTTGCTCACACCCGAGGAAAACATGAAGTAAGGTCAGGAACGAGGTGACAGAAGTGATGGGTAGGAGAGAGAAAATGAAGGGCTTGAGTGGAACAAGGATGCCTGTAAGTAGCAGCTGCTGGGGCGAGGGTCCTCCTATTTAGGAAAAGTCTGGGCTGCTTTGAACGTAGTCTCTCAGGAAAACAAGTTTCCAGATTGTTCCTCTTATTTAGCTGATTTACAAGAAACAAGGACCGATTCCCTGGTTATTTATATGAGACCCTCTAAATTATGATTTTACTGTACTGACCAGCTAAGAAAAAAAATTCTTGCTGGAGAGAAACTAGAAGAACCAATACAAGGGCCTTATTGGACCGGGCTATGTAGTAAATCCTGGACTCTGATATAAGCCGGTACCAGGGGAACACACCTTGCCTGCAACTGCTTTAGTGCAATGTAAACCAGATGAGTGCCACTCCCCGCTGATGGCGACCCCAACCAGGGGCAGATACTACATGCCAAACTCCAGCACTCCTGCAGCTACAGCAGAAGCTGCAAAGCTCCCATATGATGCTCTAGGTCTGTGCAAGAGGTCTAGAGTTAGGTCAGAAGTGGAAAGAAATAAATTTCAAGTTCAAGCCTATTCTTGGTAATAAAGGAAAAGTGGTTGCTTAGTCTGTAAAATATATGCCTATTAATTTTAAATGCAGCAAATTATCTCTGAGAGGCACTCTACTCCTCTTAAGTTTTAACAGAAATCCAGGGAAAAGGGAGAAGAAATAATTATAGGAATAAGATGATAAAAAGTTAGTGAAATTTTTATCATTTTAAAAAAAGTATAGCCAGGCCTGACAGCAAGTGTCTAAAATCCCAGAATTTGTGAGACAAAGATAGGATTACAAGTTCCAAGCCAGATTAGGTTACATAGTAAGTAAGATGATGTATTAAAAAAAAGATGATTTTTCTCATCAAAATGATATCCATAGTCAAGAGGAAGACTAGAGACATGGCTAAGTAGTTAAGAGTACTTGCTGCTCTAGCAGAAGACCCAGGTTTGGTTTTGGCACCCACACAGTGGCTTATAACCATCTGTAACTCCAGTTCCAGGGGATCTGACATCCTCCTCTGACTTCCATACAGGCACCAGGCATGCACACGATTCATAACATACATGCAGGCAAAACACCCATACACATGAAATTAATAAATCTTCGAAGTACTGAGGAGACAAGGAAGTCTGTGTGAAGCGACTTCTGTAGCTGGACTGCCCACAAAGCCATAGAATTAGACCATGGACAGAGTGCTGGTCTGGAAACAGTGCAGAGACCCCATGCCCTCTGCATCTGATGTCTGCCCTGTGTCCAGGGCCTCTGTGTATGACTTCAGTTGACATTTTAAAAATGTTTTGTTTATATGTGTGTTTTTGTCACATATGTGCACATACCCTAAGAGGCCAGAAGAGGGCGTTGGATCCTCTGGAGCTAGAGTTACAGGCAGCTGTAAGTGGCCTGACATGGATGACTTAAGTTAAACTTAAGTCCTCTGGAAGAGCAGCAAGTCCTCTTAACTGCTGAGCCCTCTTTCCAGCCCTGCAAATGACTTCTGAAAGGCCTGGGTCCGTTTTTTCCTGGGTAGACAGAATGATATTTCTGAACACTGCCTCCCACCCCTGTTCTTGCTAACTTTCCTCCTGCAAAGCTGGTGTGAGATGCTCAGGGAAGGTAAAGTCACTTCAGTACTCACCATAGGCTACAACTAGTGAATGGAATATTGCTACTGCAAAAATATGCTTCAGTTACCTTTTTTGTATTGAGATTTCCCCTGATGTGGAGTACTCAGGCCACTGCTAAGAGTCCTCCTAACATGAGGGAGAACTGGCTGCTCAGTGGTGGACTTTAATACAACCGTGAAAGTCATGTGCAAACCTGTCAAATTGAGTATTTCTTTTGTAACATTCCCCAAACAGTTTCATAGTACTTTATTAGGGTATGTCAGGAATACATCTAAGATTACAATGTTCCCAGAAGCAGTCAAAACCTACAAACTTAGGCAAGACTTTTTAGACTGAGGATCAGCTACCTCAATGCTGGTGCATCAGTGTGTATATGAGGACTTGTGAGGCCTCTTTATGGTCTCCTAGAGAAGGACATCATGGGCTATCGAACAATTTGTCCACATTTAAACCAAACCTAACATGCAAGAGATTTAAATAACTAACAAGAAGAACAAGTTACAGAGCTTATGATAATTCCAGGAAAGTTGAATCAGTGTTTACTACAGTTTTAACCATATGTAACTAAAGATACAACCAAGCATGGGCATGACGTCAGAGGAGGCATGCCATGGAATTCAGTCATGGCTGTAGGAAGTATTCAGTTTTCATGAGCCAGGCTGAACAGTCTGGCTCTGCTGGGCTCTTTACCTGTTTCCTCACGGTCGAGCTACGCCTGTGGTTGAGTCACCAAATCAGAAGGACCAGGCCAGCAACAGGAAGGAAAAAGAGAAAATGGGGACAGAATGAGACAACCATTCCTAAATCCAGAACGAAAGCTTTAAATCATGTAAAACAGCTGTACAGCAGGTAATGAAACATATCACATTATTGAGCTCAGTCCCAGAAACAGCTAAGAGACTTGGCAAGCTAGTTCCCAACAAAAGCCTAATAAAGTTTATTCTTTCATAAAAGCACAGAGGTCCCCGATTTTAATGCCTACCACTGTTTAAAACTTAATAGGAGGTAAATGTTTAATCTGTAGTAAAAGAGATTCATGTTAGACAATTTTAAGATCTTTTTGTTTGAAAGGAAACAATAATAAACACCAAAGGGTGTATATTTTCTCTTGGGACTCTTGGGAAAAAGAAAAGGACTGCTTATTTTATTTTATTCATTTTATTTTATTTTTATTTAGATGGCAGGACATTCAGACTGAAAGAAACCCCAGGGACCCTCTGCCAGTGCTTTTCAAGCCGTGTTTAGCGGTAGAAGCCTTTTTCTCAAAGGGTATCGGATCCAGAAGCACACTACTGCAAACATGGAGGGCTGTCCTCCTTGTGAAGGTAGGAGCCAGGCAGCGATGGGGCCTTGCTCTGACTCTGCGGCCAGCCTGCCCTTAAGGCACCTTTCTGAAATCCTAGTGCTTCTCTGAACTAACACAATGCTCTTATCTTCAACAAGAGGAGACTGATATTCTGAGAAGGAGATAAATAGTCCCAGGTTTCACATGGGGAAATAACTCAGCAAAGGAAAATAGTCCAGATCTATTTAGTCAGAGGTGTGGTACTTCTGAGGATGTTAAGACTATACCACTGGGAGACAGGTTCTACAGAATTTCACCTCAGTTCCCTCCAGCCCTCAGGAATTGTATATTAATGGGACCTACACTGTAATCCACGATGACAAAATGATGAAAATCAAATTAAGTTATCGCTCAGCAACGAGTCTATAACTGTAAATGGCCTCATGACTGTATGAGTTGCCATGTTGATACAATGCAATCTGGTTCATTTTAAACGTGTTCTCCTTTTAAACCAGCACATTTTTAGGCATCTGAGGGTGCTGGCTAAATGAATGTCTTGTTCTCTGCCAGCTCATAGCAGCATCAGTGACTGTGAGGGAAAATATTTGGCTGAGGTGGAGAGGGAGGGAAGGTGGGGAAAGACTGGGAGGGCTGCATACTTGTACATCAGCAAAGATCTCTCCCACTGCTATCTGGCAAGCCAAAGCAACGAAGTATTTCATTATCCACCAACAGTCACTAATTAGGCCCTATCATCTTTTCCATTTATTAAAAAAAAAATCCCAAATCAAATGCTAATCTTTCTGTGTCAGAGACTTCCCCAAGGCCACATGTTGAAGTCTCCTAGCTAAGAGGTTACCAAAATGCAACAGAGTCCAATGCTTCTTTTCCTTGTGATACAGTGGCTTTGGGGAGTTTCTGGAAAGATTTTTATCAAGTGATAACTCCCATGACATGATTCTGCTTAGACTTCCCTAAATGGCAGCAACTCCACAGCCATTTGAAGGAGATAAGAGTTAGTAAGGCAAAGAGAAGGAAGCAACTCTTGCCTCAGGCTACTCCTTTGCCAAATCATCCAAGGACAACTCTTTGGCTTTTTCCCAGGTTGCTATTCCCCATGAGTCTTTCCTTAGCCTTTCCCAGAGCCACTTACCTGGCAAGGCTACAATCTGTCCGCTGACCTGTGGAAAGAGAAGGGAAAAATGTATTTGTTGAAGCAGAAGGGGTGGGATTGGCTGTACACCCCAGGGATAACCATGCCCTTCATATCTTCACAGGGAGCCAGTAGCAGAAAAGGATCATCCTAACTTCATTTGGGGCAGGAATTTTGCTGCTCCAGGTTCCCACGCCAAAGCCATCAATATCTTTGAATCTTGTCAATTCTACTTCCCAAATGAGAAAACAGGCCTGGATGTATGGGAAGAACAAGTCAAATCATATTCTAGAGAAAAAATTTATTGTAAGCCCTCCTATACAAGAAATCTAGCTTCTTATGTATGTGCTGGGTATGTAGGTTTTGGGGACACAGGGCATGGGACAAATTTGTTTTTCAGTATATAAGCAAATACACATACACACATAGTTAAGGATGGGAAGAAAAGGGAATATAGAGAGAGGAAGGAGAAGATATGTAGGTTCTAGTTTTAGAATCATACTAAATCCTCCTGTTAACTTATACTGGCATAGTAAGGCAGAGATAAGATTGAATACCCACGTGGCTAGCAAATGACGGCTTTCAATGAAATGACAGGTGGTTAAGACTTTCATGGGCAATAGTTAGCTTTGAAAAGTGAAATGGAAAACCTTAACAATGACAAAATATTTTTTATAAAAATATGAATATATGCATGCATAAACTGTGATGTAATATGTTGCCTTCTTTGGGTCAACAGTTAATGAAGCTTGATCTGTCTTAGATAAATCAATGGCAAACCCTGGCAGGCAGTGAGCCAGGAAAGAAGAGATCAACCCCTATAGTCCTTATTCAAGTTTCAGGAAAGGCAACTATGAGGTATGGAGAAGGCAGGATTTTATTCTTGCATTTAGAGTGTTGCTAATTGTTATGATAGTTCAGCTCATCTTCGGTAATACCATCCCCCAATATTTACCAGCCCTGTTACCAAAGGCTCATTTGTACAAATATTATTCTGAGCCATTATTTTCAACATCTGTCCCATTTCCATTCTGGAATATTCATACACATCAATTATCCCTCTGTGGCAAGGATCAGAGGCTCTTACATTATGGTGACAGACACAGAAGGCAAGGACATGATCATTTGCACATAGGATGATTTATAGCTATTAGTTTTCTCTATCTCTGGAACTTGTCATCTTTAAATTATGGTAATTTGCAGCCTCAATGGTCAATCTCTATCCCTCTAGAGTAGCATTATTTGGTGCATACGTGTGTATAAACATGCACACATGCATGGCTCTAAAGTCCTTCTCCCTGTCTTCCAGGCTATGCTGAAACTGTCTCGAGAAAAAGAAATCACAGCTGTAAGTTTCTTCGAATAGCTCTACAGGCTGTCTCTCCTCTAACTCACCACATCGCAATCTGGTAACTCAAGAGTAAAGACTTTCTGTAAGCAAATGTGGCTCTCATGCCTAGACCTGAACTGTCTGGGTGGAAAAGATCAGAAGGTACTAAAAGGCTCTTTTCACATTAAAGCAAACATCTTTAAAAAAAAAAAAATCACAGGATCAAAGATACTAGAGAAAAAATTTCTGGGGAATTGTCCAGGGTAGGACAAGGACAAGGCAAGAAGGGTGGGTAGATGAGTCTGGTCTGAAAAGTGGGACTCCGATTTCTCAGCTAAAAAGCCAACCAGTCTTATAAAATTTGCTATACTTCACAGTTGGTCTGACGAGTGCTCAAGAATTTATTTAAAAATGTTAGACTTGTGTCTGAGTGCAGGCACATCTGTCACCAGAGACCACATGCCGCCTGTGGCCTCATCTCTAAGAGAAGAGATTAGTGGGATAGGGAGGAGGGCAGAACATTCAGGGCATCCTCAACCTGGGAATCCCATTAATCATACGATGCTGAAAGCTAGGCAGGAGACCTGGGCAAGGTGCCAAACAACCTCGGGGAAAGCTGCTTCTTCAACCTTCACCTTCTGTTTGATGGCTGACTGGGGAGAGAAAGTCCAGAAAGTCTGTCTGGTTCTCTGCCTCAGTACTTTCCAGTGTCTGGTTAAGATTACTGCCAGAGAAAATGCAGTCCATTCAGCACTTTGTCTTAGTGCAGGCACACTAGAGAGATGGCTGCTACTGAAGTGAAAGGAAATGCATGTTCATCCTGGAAGCTAGAGCAGCAGCAAGTCTGCACGTCCCCCTCCATCTGAGGACCTTCTCTCTCCAGGACCGGGAGTTCCAACAAGTGTCTAGAGAGGAGATAACCCTGAGGCCCCTCTACCACAGCTGTGGCAGGAAGGTGAAGGACTGGGTTTGGGTGGAAAGCAGGAAGACCCCACCTAAAGAAACAGCTGATGAATATTAGCATCCATTACACATTGCTGTTTTCCCATTACTCAAGCAGCCATTTAACGGAGTACTTTCCCAATGAACAGGCTAGGAAAAGAAACACACTCAGACAACCAGTGGGGTTGTCTACACACATGTGCTCAGAGTCAAAGCAATACTGGGCCTCTTGGCTCTACCAAGCTTCAGCAGAGCATGCTCACACTCACTTTCTCCCAGGGTTTTCTGCAGGAGGTCATGCTTGGCTTGTAACTTGGTGATTAGGTTCCTACCCTCCAAGTACTCCTTCATTTTCTGTAAGGGAAAAAGAGAAACAAGAAAACTTAGATTCCTGAAGAAACACAAGACACAAATGTTCAACTGGACAATTACCTTTGAGAGAGCATTTGATTTCTGACTTTATGACTCAATTTCTAGCAAGTCCATTTAAATTCTTTTAAAAAATCTTTCTCCACTGATTATCATGGCAGGTGCATATCTACAAAGTATTTTCCTATGAATTTAATGTTAGCGAGTATAAGAAAACTATTTTCTAAGTAAAGTCTGTCTCCTTTGGTCCCAGTAAAGAACAAGAACGGCAGGGAGGGTGGACATCCTTCCTGAGTCTCAGTTTCGCTGGTGTGAAGATATACATTTGCTATCTGCCATTTAGGCTGATATCCCATTCCTCCCAGGGTGCATTTTATTACCCTAGGAATAGCACCAATGGTAAGCCTCACCCACAGAGCACCCTTGCATAAGCCAGACCTAAGAAGTCTCACCCTCCATTCTAATGTTGGAAGTTGGGAGTTTCTGAGAGCTCAGCTGGAGTGGCCGCCACCTACTATGCGCACATACAAATTCCAAGCACAAGATGAGATGTGCCATCACACCTGCGCTAGTAGGCGAAATACGACTATGTTGCAGTTTGAGTTTTGACATCTCATCAACTCTTGTCTGGCTTGTGAGAGACTATGCTTGACTGGAGAATTCACAGAATCTTCAAAACAACTGTATAAATGACTATGATCATTATTCCACTTTACTTGAGTAATGGGAAGAAGGTAGTGGGTTTGAAGAGATTAATGAAATTGCTCAAGATCAAAAAAGTGATGGAGTCACTCACTACCTGTTGTGTAGCAGGTTCCCCCTCACCCCATTGAAACATTCCATTTCCCAGGGAAGTACCTTAAGAGATGAAGTAAAACAACTCAGACTAGTCCCAGGAAGTTCCTGAAGCTGACCAGATTCACTAGGCCCCTCTCTCCCAAGTATAAACAATATAGACTTCTAAGTCACTCTCAGACAAGCTGAGCTGCAAAGAAAACTCTCAAAACAAGCCCAGCTGCTTGAAGGAAGCAGAGGACAGCCAAACAGCCTGAAAAGAAGCAGAGATTAGCCAATATGTCTGGAGGAGGCTCAGGACTAACTAAGCCACCTGAGCTTCCTATAGACTGTGCAGTGTGCCCCAGGTGCCCAGCTTTTGTGATGAAGATGTCTTTGAGTCATTTCTGCTCTTGTAAATAACACCTCACTCATACTCCTACAGATAACCCCAATAAAACTCACTGGTTCACCAGGTTGGACTTTGACAGCATTGTATTATATTGGTCTGTCATGGGCTCTCTATCTGGGGTAAATAGATGTGTATGTTGTGTCTTCTCAGGAAAGTTTTGTCACACAATAGTATCCAAACATGTAGTTTGACAGAACGGTGTGTGCTCTGAAGCATTATAATAAAATGTTCTACCTACTATGTTACAGAGCCAAAGAGAAGCAGAACAACATTTCATAGTAGTCATTATTTTACATTAGTAGCAATCCAAGAGACTTTAGACTACATTAGCACATAGTCTGTCTCTCCCTTACAACAAGCCTATACATACACGAGGAAGGTATTAGCAGCTCTCTATTAGAGATGAGAAGACAATTCTAGGAGAGGGAGGGTATAACTGCCAGCTAGTAAATGGTAATGCTAGGTGAGGACTCTTTTTCCATTCTCTTCTACAGCCGTTCTTGAGGATCTGAGGCTGCCTTGGCCATTCCTGCTGTACTAGCTCATTTGATGGTGTTTAACTTAGAAGCAAATGGGTCTCCCAGAGTATGATCCACTAGAAAGACTTGGGTTTGCTCCAATGAATAAACATTTTAATAATAATAATAGTTCTGTCTTTTACTGTGCACTAACTAAATAAAAAAAAAAGAATTGTATTTCAAGCCTTTGACTTTTATGACTCTCACTACTTCATTAATGATAAAGGAAAATGAAAAGTTCTGAGTTACTCTTACTCTGTATTTTTCTATCCAGTATGAAGTTTTAACTATGAGCTTGCCCTCTCATCGCCATTTAAAATGAAGGAAAACCTGCTTTTCTGGGAGATGGTCCCTGGGCCTCTTGTGCTTGCCCACATGGCCCTATGGATAACTTGTAAATCCCCATGGTACCATTCTCATACAGCCTTATCACAGAAGGTTTACTCTGGTGTCTTTCTATCCACAGACCATGCCATTGATTAGCCCAACTATCCATGATGCTTAGTGCCACTCCTAGAAAACAGTAGGAACTTAATAAACATGAAGGATGAATAAATGAGTGATCTCATTCTCCTCTGTATAAACTGTTCCTTGCAATTACAAAACCTGCCCCTAAGGGTATCCCTACTCTAAATGAAACAAACCAGAGGCAAACCCTCTGCTGAATCATTTCTGCTGTCTTATTTAAGGCCTGTTCCCTGATCCTTTATGCCTTTGCATGAGAACATCTGCATGAAAATAGGCTCTCTTGTCACCTTCCTCTCTCCATCTGTTCCAGCTGTCAGCTCACTTGCTGTCAGTGTTCCCTGGGTGATATCCTAATCCCCATCCAATGCCTAATTGTGGGCTTGGAATCCTCCTTAGGACCCAGAGTGGAAAAGCCTCCAGGAAATAGCCATTGCTAATAGTACAACCCCAGAAGGCCTCTCTTTGGAAAGTTATCCCAGAAGTCTCAAAGGTTTCCTAATGAAGAAAATTCAAGAAGCTATAACCTCCAACACAAGACCAGAATGCTCACAATACAGCCAACATCCTGAAAGGGGGTGAAGAAAAACTCCTTTCTCTCAGTCATGTTTCTATTCTCAATTTCCAACCCTCCCCCAACTCCAAGTTCATGTTTACAACTTACTAGGTAACTTCAGCTGTCACTTGGTGAACCACTAAAATAAATAACAATCTGATAAAGAGGTATGATGTCACCTTTTCAGGTTCCATTACATACTAAAGGATCAAACTGTATCAAGATATGCTCTGCATCCCTAAAACAAGGGTGGAAAGAACATTGGGGTTTCGCATCTAGGTGGGAAAGAAAAGGAATCCCAGAGTCTGCAGACATGCTATCCATCACTTCCTTATCTCACCCAGAAATCAGGACAGACCTGCTGGGAATAAATAATCCTGCCTGTATCAGTGGAGCTGAGGTAGAAGGATTCAGTTGTTGCTGAACAGACTTAGAGCTGAGACAGCCGAAGCCAAGGAAGGCATAAGTGGCTTTTTGGTAATTAGGCAGAATATCAAGATTATAATAATCTGACACCACACACACACACACACACACACACACACACACACACACACACACACACACACACTCACACACTCTAACTCTCATATACCAGATCACAGCTCTAAGTCTAACGGCTTGCCTAAATGGACAAAAGACTGCCTTCTCTCCTATTATTTTACCCTAATCTACCCCTAAGAGTTCAGATAGTTCGGCTTTGTTATTTTATCAGTCACAATTTTCAATCCTTTCTTCATTTCACCTCCCATTTGAAAATGCCATACTCAGGGCCGGAGAGATGGCTCAGCAGTTAAGAGCACTTACTGTACTTGCAGAGGACCTGGGTTCAGCTTCTAGTACCCACATGGTGGCTCACAACTACCTATGTACAGTTCTAGGCTTCCAATGCCCTCTAGCCTTTGAGGGCACTTCATGCAGGCAAAAACTCATACACATAAAACAAAAATAAATCTGAAAAAAATTATTTAAAAAAAGAATCCTATACTCCGATTTTCCATTAAAAAATATTTAGGAGAAACTCCAGCTTTCTAAGGCTTTGATGATTCTTGGCCAACCAGAGAGGACTCCTGCTCACAGCAGAGAACTGGTTAAATAAAGATGATGTAACTATACAATGGAATTCTGTCCAGCCATTGGAAAGGGATTTGTGTAAGATATGGGACAAATCCTTTTAGACTACCATGAGTAATGTCCAAAATGTGACAAAAGGGACGTGGGAGAGAGCGAAAGCAGTGCCCTTGTCCGTCACGTTTTAAAGGGAAGTGGGAGACAGCGAAAGCTACCCATCCCACTGCATTTGTTTTCCCAGTTTTCAAAGCTTTCAAATGGGAAGGCTGGGTTAGATGATATTTAAAAATTGCTTCAAGTCTAAAATTTTATAATTTCCCACAGATTTGCAAGCAACTGACCTTTGTAAGACATATTTCAAATTTCCAATTGGTGTGACATGGGCAAATTAATTTGATGACAGTCACGAGCAGTCAGAAAACTATCCCAAAAGCCCATGTGGTCACTAGACACACTACCTAGGAGTCAAACCATAACAAGGGATCTCTTTACAACTTTCCAAGAACAGCAAACTTCCAAATGTGCTGCTTCTTTTTTTTTTGCACAGTCTGGCAAGCATAGGCAGACCCTAAGTTTTAATTTGGGGATGTCTATTTCACAACCACCACCAAAAACGCTGCTATCAGAAGACAGATTACCTGACACATTTCAGATCCAGTCACAAGAATAAAGAATTCATGCAAGTCTGTTACTAGATAAACCAAAACTAATTTCAATAGTCAAAGCAATGTGCACAATAATTTGACAAGGAGTACCATGGCCACCAAAGTCAGGAAGTGGGTTGTAGGACCCCACTGAATTGAGATAAAAGGGAAAACAGATAGGCAGGATTCTAGAGGTCATCAGTTTGAATAAAGTTACTTCTTTTTAAAAAATGATTTCTTTTTAATTATGTCTCCGTGTGGGCATGTGCATGTGAGTGCTGGTACTCACAGAGGCCAGGGTGGATCTAGAGCTATAGGCAGTTGTGAGCCCCTGGATATGGTCCTCTGCAAGAGCAGTATGAGCTCTTAAAAGTGCTGAGGCATCTCATCAGCCTTCTTGTTTGGGAGAAAATATCAACTTCTGAATATATATGTTATAGCTTCATTTAATCAAAAAGTAATTCTGACAAGGACTGTTTTAAGTCCTTTTGATTTTCATGTCCAAAATGTCTTTTCCTCTTCTTTTTTGTTGTGAGTGTGTATGTGTGCATGCATGTGTGCTAGAGGTCAGTGCTAATCACAGTGTCTTCCTCAGCTGCTCTCGACCTTAGTTTTTGAGGCAAGGACCCTCACTGAACCTGGAGCTCACCAATTCACTAGGCTGGCTGGCTAGTAAGACCCAGGGATCCATCCTCCTGTCTCTGCTCCCCAGCTAAGGAATTACAGGTTGCCCTGGTTGCTTTTACATGGGCTACTAAGGTTCAAACTTAGGTCTTCATGCTTGTATGGTATGCACTGACGAAGCCATCTCCCCAGCTCCTAAGCCCCCAAATCAATTAATTATTTATTTATTCATTTATTTATTTTTCTCTTTTTTAGTTTTTTTTCCAGACAGGGCTTTTCTGGGTAGCCCTGGCTGTCCTGGAACTCTCTCTGTACACCAGGCTGGCCTTGTACTCAGAGACCCACCTGCCTCTGCCTCCTGAGTGCTGGGATTAAAGGCGTGTGCCACCACTGCCTGGCATCCCTCAAATTTTTTAACTGGAGGAGTTGAAGGAGTGAAATGGTCAAAAAAACTGTATGCATGTATGGCATTCTCAAATAATTAAAAATGCAATTAATAATCATTTTTAAAATGGAATCTTCTTTGATATAAAATCAGCTCAGAAAGAGTTGCCAAAAAATCCTATTGTTAAGAGATAATGAGGCTTGAGGCAGTGCCACAGCCCCCATTAGAGTCAAGTAGTTCTATTAACATGCAATTTAGTTTTCTGCAGGTCTTTGACATTGTCTGCTCTCCTTGAAGAACTGCAGTCTCCTTCCCAATCCTCTTTGACCTACTCATACTAAAAATCAAGCACACAAGGCAGTTTGTGTGATGCTCCCCCAGCACCCTTAGTCCTGTTGCTGCTCAGACACATACATGCATTTAAAAAAACGGTTTAGAAATATATGAAGTCAAAACCAAAGTTCTCTCTGTATATGCCTAATCCTCTCATTTTCTTCTTTCTCTTAGGCACTAAGCATTTCAACTTGTAGCATGGAATCTGGCATATAGTAAAATCATGGCGACCATCAGTGACTAACTTAATAATGACTGACGCATGAATTGACAATGGTGACGGTAAAATGGATAGCAGTTAATGAGCACTGTGAACCAGGCAACGTGTCATCCCGTCTCTTTGTAGATTTGTAAATTTACACACAGATTTACAAAATCTCATATGGGCTGGACACAGAGCTTAGTGATGCAGCTCTTCCCTAGCACATATCAAAGTTCCAACAAGAAACAAACAAAAGCCCCCAAACTGCTAGAATATATAACTGAATGACTTAAATTTATAATGCAACATATACAAAGTTGTCTCTTTTTGTAAATATAATTTTGAATACATGCTCATATGTATTTATTTTCTTCTTTTTGCATTTAAGTTTTATATAATGACCATGTTTTAAAATATTTTTATAGTAAAATGTATTATATGTTTATAGTTTTAAAAATAAATCACTTAAGTTTTCTGTATAAAACAAAAATTTTCAGTTGTTTTTTAACAATACTCTTAAATCATACCCTTTCAAAAGTCTTCTTTGGGATTTAAAACAACAAAACCACCAAAGATTTGAAGCTTAACTAACTGAAACAGATTTACAAAAACACCAATCAATCATATTAGTGCTTTTAAAGAAAAAAGGACAATGTTCAAAGAAAAATTAAACAAATTGTCCCAGCTGGAAGAAAAAATCTAATTTGCTCCATGCAGAGTATGCTTCATGGCTGGAAGACAAGTGAAATTCTGTCATTTGGTCAGCATGCATTTTCAATGGCCATGTTTCATCTTACAACTGCAAAGTCTTTTTTTCCTTTCTTGGATATCAAAAGATAAGGAAATAAATTTTAGTGCAAGCAATAGGTCTTACTTGGCAAGTTCAAGATAACTTAATTATTAAAAAGCAGCATAAAAGACCAGCTAACAACCTTTCAAAGAAACACACATACACACACACACACACACACACACACACACACACACACACACATATCTAAAAGAAGACTTGAGAAGAGTGAGTAAAATATACTACTTTAGAATTCTTGATAATTGCCAATATTACAAAAAATAACTTCCTAATAATGAGAGTTATATGATAATGTATTCAAATCATCCAGGAGAGACTTTAGACTTTTTAAAACAAGATACATATTGGCAAGGATATTTGAATATAGTTCTAAAAAACCAAGAAACTAAGTCCCTTGTCATGATCTTCTGTGACTGAGAGTGCTACTTTCAAATGAAAGCCTACTATCTGGTTAAAATTTTCTCTAATTTCTTTTTCTCAGTAGTTATTTAGGAACAGCTCTTTCTTTGAGGTGCTCTGTAGATAAATACAATTTGTGGACACTTTTGCTTTAGGTGTAGAGATGGTATACAAGTATGCCAGATTTAAATCTAGTGTACTCAAAGCTTGCTTTTCAGACAGTTGACAAAACTCTTGAGTTCCAGAGCTCCCTTATGTCACAGTGTCTATTCTTGATCCTCTAAGGCCAAATGAGCACCTTACCGTAAAATAAAACTGCTCTGTCTCTTGCTGGTTGGCTCTCCTCTTAGCAATGCTGGGCTTGCTCATGAAAGTTTCTGAGACTGTTGATTTGACAGACTCCATAGAATTGCTGTACTGGAAGCAGTCAGACACGTCGAAATCCTCAACAGTCACAATGTCTTGAATGGTCTGCAGGGTAGCCTCCATTGTCTTCTTCACCTAGAACCATAATGGTCAAAATAATCAGGAGAGGCAGGCTGTAAAGTAGAGGTGATGAGCAACTAGGAGAAGCTTGAGAGGAAGGAAGGTGGGTGTCAGCAGAAATTACAGAGCTAAGTGAGTGCTGCACATCACAGGAACTCTGCTTCACCATACTGCTCTCTCCAGCTAACACCACTAAACTAATACCAGCTAAACACCACTACTCCTTTTCGGCCGTGCACCTAACTCAGCTCTTTTATGTAATGTTTACTTTTGTCAAAAGACTTATTGTATATTTAAGGATGTTTTGCCTGCATGTGTGCATATGTCATGTGGCCTGGTGCCCGTGGAGGCCAGAAGAGGGTGTTGGAGCTCCAGGAATTGAAGCTATGGTCGGTCATGAGCTACCATGCAGGTGCTACAAGCCAAGTCTGGGTCCTCTGCAAGAACATCCAGTTCTTTTAACCCACTTAACCATCTCTTCAACCCCAATGTTTACTTTTAAGATTTAATACTATTCCTTTATTATAATATAAGTGCAAAGAAAAAATAAAATAATTGCAAACCAATACTGCCATCATACCAGAGCTAGTTAAAATATGTGGTAAGTCTAGTCCTTCAGTGCTCCTGGCACTGTCACATGACCATCAACCAATCAATGAATTTGTTTCCTTATTTGCAAACTAAGTGACCTAAACCTATTCCTTCCTAGTAAAATTAAAACTTACTGATACAAAGTAAGAAGCCATCTAAGCTCAACAGAAAGCTAGATTATTGATCAAATTGCCCTTTTAAACTAGTTATTAAAAGAAAATATGCTGTGTTTAGAAAAAAAAAAGTCACCCTCTTGTAGGACGATAGAGATGTCTAAAGTGTTAAAGTCAACAGTTTCTTTTTGAAATGCTGGGAAAAGCCAGTCATGAGTGGGTCATTTTGGAGATTTATATTGTTCACACAGTGGCCAAGTGCCACTCTGATTAAATGTGTAGCGGGGAGGGGCATTTTGTAAAGCTCAAAATAGAGCACAACCTTTGGCAATGTACAAACAACTTCCTGGATTTCAAGGGCAGGCTGCAGGAGCAGGGGAAGCCAAGCCTCCTTTTGGCCGGGAAATCCTTGCAGTAGCCCGGACATTCTCTGCATGCTCCCTCCACCTGCCCCTGATGGACAGCCACAAGTAGTTCAACAAGCAAACAGTGGCTCTGAGCCTCTAGGAAGGAAACACACCTCTTCGTTCTCAATCTTCAAAGTGGATAAGCGAGACTGCAGTTGTTGGCATCTCTGCACCAGCTCACTCTGGACAGGCTGCTGGGCACAGAGCTGAGAGGCCTGTCAGAAAAAGCAACACAGGTCAGGAAGGGGACACAGGTCTTTGGAGGAGTCCAGAGTTCTCACTATTGCTCATGAAACGATTCACACTGTATTGTATCCCAACTACTAGAAGGCTTGCAGTTTCTACATACAAACAAAATCCAAAGACAATGTGTGTGAACTTCAAGACCAAACAGTCTAAGAAAGGAATAGGGAGGGAGATTTGTTCGGAAAGACCGTATTTCTCTCTTTGGAATGATAGGCAGGCGGATGGTCAGCAGGGGTAGGTCTAGCAGGGTCTGCAGCTCTGGGGAATTCTAAGGAGGCTAGAAAAGAGTGTCCCAGGCAGCCCCTGGTCCAAAACCCCAATGCTTTGGCACAGTGGAGAGTTCCTGCCAAAGGTCCAAGTGGTCGCCTCTCCTGTGCTTCCCTCCTCCCACTTCATACACTAGAGTTGAGAAGTGGGCCAGGAAGCTAACTTGCTGCTGTTGGCAGCCAGTATGTTTATAAATCTGGGCCATGCATGAGAGCTTTGACTCAATGGGAAAGAGTTCATGCGAATATGGGAACAAGTTCACGGGCTATGTTAGAGAGCCCTAGAGGGCATGCGATCTGATGGAACTTGATATCCTCTAAATAGCTATCATTATATCCTACTAGGTATGGGAATCTCCTGCACCCCTATCCCCAGTGAACTGCCAACCAACTTTATCCTCTGTGAAGGAACAGCTGACCTAGAGTCTCTTGATTAAGATAAGACTATGGCATGTGTAATATAATCTCCTGGATGACTGATGAGAGGCAGAAGGCTGGGAGATGGAGGGTAGGATGCCATGTGGAGGCAGTGCCTGTCACTAAAGGACTAAGTGTCCTTTAGTTCTTATAGAAAGAGAAACATCTGAATAGAATTGGGATCCTTCACCCTCAGTAAAGAGTGAGTATATTCATATACTTGTAAACCATTCTCTTACTCAAAAAAAAAAAAGCTTCTCTCCAAATGGAGGGGACTGGAAATTGACCTTTTTCTCCACTGGCATTTAAGATTCCAACTGATTTGACCTCTCTTCTTCAGCTGAGAGGCTGGCCCAAGATTTAGAGCTGATTTCACTATGGCTTTTAGATAAGTAGACATAATGGAGAAAGCCTGGCCAGATGGGTTAGTGCCAAGAATGAAATTTCTGTCTCTGATGTCACCAGCCAGGCATCCAGTGCCCCCAAACCTCTGGGTGCACCAGTAGTAGAAAAAGGTGCCAACCCCTACTGTATCAGAGAGCAGTTGACATCAGCTCATGTGCTGTGGCCCAAGAACACGAGTGTCGCCAGTTCCAGAGCTTCCAGTTAAAATGCCACCTGAACTTTGGCCCCATTTTAAGGACTTCCAGGCAGCTCCTTCCTTCTGCCTCCTACAACCCACAGTAATGCAGAAAGACTAGCCTCGGAGCCCAAGGACGATTTGCCATTTCTAAGCCAGAATGTGACATCATGGGATGCTCTGGCCCCTTTTCTGGCCAAGCCACTGATCAGCTGTATCATATACAAGACAAAAGAATGAATTATCAATTTTTAAAGTCAGCCAGGCCTAGCATGGAGGAATTAGAGGAAAAAATCACCTCTAAGTCTGTTTCTTTAAAGAGCAGCTGAGTTGCTGATGCATGCTTTGACAGTGATCTTCAGCCAGGATGCAAGGTAATGCATTCCAGCTGTGCTTTGGAGTATGGAAATGTGGTTCTGACAGGGCAAGGAAGGGGCATGAGTACCCATCATCTGGATTCCCCTTTATGGAGACAAGCTGTTTGGCTTGGAAATAAAACTCAGTCAACACCAGAAAATACACCAGTCCATTCAGCTAGTTCTAAATTCCTTGGGAAGGAATCTTAATGGCAGCTGGAAAAGGGGCTTAGAAGACAAATTTGAACAGAAGTCAAGGCAGGTGAAGAATGGGGCTTCCTGGAGGCTGGTAACACCCCTCCCCTAACTTCAACTCACATGCTGCTGTTTTAGTTCCCTGTCTGTTTAGATGCTGACATCTCCTCAGCCACAGCAGTGGAAACAAACTGTAAGGGGCCTGGTTTTCCCCAAGAAGCAAAAGAGAGAAACAACCTCACATTGTGCATATAAGACAGAGATGTACCACTTCATCATGGCCTGTCTATGACAGGTAACTGTCTGACTAGAACATGACTGCTGTCAGCTTAGAGCAGGGTTTTCTAAAGAGTCTAGCTGCTAAGCCCAAAGGAAGCATTGCTCCTGGCAAGAGCACATTGCTGATGTGTGGTCTCTTCTCATCTAGTCCTTTGGTCTCACTACTGTAGGGAGCTGAGGAAGCTTTGAGTGAAGGTATTAAACGTGGCTGAAGTCCTGAGTGAATGCGTACTGTTGACATGGGCATGGCCAGGTCAAGGACCAATGCCTCAGACCTGAGGGAATGGCAAAGCCTTCCCCATGCTGGTCAGACTTGGAACTGGCAAAGCCTTCCTCTAGTCTGAGTGTGAATGTTGACAGTGTGTGTACATCTAGGATGTTTACAGCCTGAGACTACGGGCCTATAGATCCCTCCTACCTCCTCTCCCTGTGCTGGACAAAATAAACAGGCTGAGGTTTATTTCAAGTTGATATCCTCCATCAGAGCTAGCACAACCTACGGGACCCCTGCTTTTCTGTACATGTATTTGTGCTTTTCTTCATTCCCTGGCCACCTCAGTCAGGTTTCTGGGACAGAGTTACTTGGGACAGGGTGAACTACCCTCTGTGAGGCCATCCACTCTACAGCTCAGGCCAGCTGAATTAGGTGGAACATGAGCCTAGGCTCAGGAATAAGCACATCACTCAAAATCAAGGAGGTCTGAGAGAATAGAATGCAACTTACCTGACAGGAAGCCCCTCTCCACTGGATGTGGCCTATATGTAATGAAACTATACATACAGCTAGTACACTCAAGTCCCTTTGGGAAAAGCTGCAGGATAGGGAAGGGCCTTACCATATCTCCCATGTGGGGCTGGAATTCAAACTTCATAGGGGGGCAGAAAACATTGTTATACATCTCCATGAGTCGCTGCTTGTCACTGGTGGCGTCTAGGTTTTCTACTGCGTTTTCAATAGCATCCAGACCCTCGTGTTTTGATTGTTCCAGATTTAATTCAGCAGACAAGAAAGTGCGCAGGGCCCGGTTCAGGCTTGCATGGTAGCCTAGGTCACAACACTGCTGTGGGAAGAAGAAGGCACATAAGCATACCACAGGTATCCCAAGACCTGACAGAAAGGGAAGCGGTCTCTGGGGGCAGATTTGACCTTATCAAGGTGCCTGATTGGCTGCAATAGGCAGGAAGCTGACATTATAACTTCCAAGACCTGGGGAAGATTTCTTAGTTCTTGCCTCCTAGGTCAGTGGTTAGGCATACCATGTAGGGCAGTGAGGTGGTTAGGCAGAAGATCTGGAAGAACCCAGTGACAAGAGTTAATCAAGTGCTATTGTATAAAAATGGGAATGGCCAAGAGATAAAGAATTCTGTTCTATTTTCTGCACAGTCTGGGGATGTCATGACAACAAAACTCAACAATAATAATGCAGCCTGCCATGGCTTCTTGAGGGATGCTATGGTTAGAAGTCACTAGACAGCAAGCTTGCCAGGCCAATGCAGCATTCAGGAGTCAAAAATCTGGAGTGCCGCCTTAGCAGCAAATTCACATACACTCAACTCTAGGTAGGTGGGGGATGGAGGGAATGGAAGGTTGATACGAGCCATGACATCAACTTCCAGTGTTCCAGGACAGGTCTGAGTTGGAGAAAGCTAAACTAAAAAGTTCTAAAGTAAGTGTTACTGGGGAAACTCTTATCATGTCTCTGGTGTTCAGCAACGAAAATGAAAAGAAGAAAATGCTATGAAAGAGGCAATTGTAGGGGTTGGGGAATGTAGGTCAATTGGAAAAGGGCTTGTCTAGCATGCACCAAGACTTAGGTTTGATTCCCAGCACTGCATAAACTGAGTATGGTGGTACAGGCCTGTAACCTCAAGCACTCAGGAGGGGAAGGCAGCAGAAGAGGATCCTAAGTTCAAGGTCATCCTCAATCCTCAGCCAGTCTCTGTCTTTAAACAAACAACAAAAAACAGGGCTAGAGGGATAGCTCGATGAGTACAGTCCTTGTGGTGTAGATGAGCGGACTTCCATTTGATCACACACCTATGTAAAGGGCTAGATGAGGTGTCTGTAACCCTCTCACTGTAGAGGTGGAGAAAGGGCCTGCCCTGATGGTTAGCTGGCTAAGATGAACCTTCAAGAGTCCTGCCTCAAAAAACAAGGTCAGGGCTTGAAAGATGGTTGTGTAGTTAAGAGTGTTACCTCTCTTACAAAAGACCCGAGTTCGGCTCCTAGCACTAATGTCTGAAGCTCGTAACTGCTTGTAACTCCAGATCCTGGAGATCCAACACTCTCTTCTGGACTCATGGGTACCTGCACTCATGTGCATATATTCATTACACACACACACACACACACACACACACACACACACACACACACACACACACACACTAAACAACAATAACAACAACAAATCAAAAACAGAAGACAGACTATGCTGAGAAGGAATGAGACTTGAAGTTGTCCTCTGGCTTTTCACACATGTATATGCACCCTGACATATGTCACACACACACACACAAAGGAAAAAAACCACACACAACAGGTAGAGGCAGAATCAAACACCCTTGGAAAAGCTACTCCTATCCCTACACCTGTTTCCTGGACAGTCCAGTGGTTTTCAAGCTATAGATCACAGCTCTGAAGTTCAGTGTCAGCACTCGGTCACCCTGGAGAAGGGGAGAGGAGGGCTTCTTAGGAGGTCTGGAGCTTTTTATCTTTTCTTCAACCAAGACAGCTCTGTTCACTTTTCCATTTAATAAACTGGGATTCTATGTGTGTTCTGGTTTGAAGAATAAGTTCTTAAGAAAAAGCTTGAAAAATCCTTGGATTAAATGTAACCCCCAAAACTCTTTTCAGCAGTGGCATTCTGTAAAACCATGACAATACTCCGTACCCTTCCAAGACCCAGAGATCCAAATTCCTTGGCCATCAATTATCACCTCTATTATTTACACAGCTTTGATGTCCAGAGCCTGAGAGGAAATGTCAGAGAAAAATCTCTGGATAGAGTAAGGCCATCTGCCTGATTGTAATTTCACTGCATCAATAAGCATCAAATTAATTTCCCTAGCATTTACTTCCCATCACGATCACTTCAGGAACAGCCACTATTGGGGAAGGAAAACCATGTGACAACCGCCTCCTTCCAGGCGTCTGACAAGAAGCTCAGCACTGGAGCACCCAGAGCTGAGCTCAGATGCAGTGCCAACAGACTCTCGCAGGTGCTTGGCTTCGGCAGACTAACAGCAGTGACAGCGTAACTATAGCCAGAGGATGGGAAAACATCAATTCAGCTGGAGGAAGAGCAAATGGAGTCCAGACAAAGGCGGCTGATTGGAGACTGCACGTGCAGGGCCCCTTCCTCCTCTAGGAGATGCTGTTGGACTAACCAGGCTTTTGAACCTGTGAATCCTCTTGCCTAGCTCTCTGTAGTGCCTAAGATGAACTCTATACTTACTGGTGTAGTGAACAAAGGTAACACTGCCAGTGGTGGGGGACTGAGGGAAATGAGGGGGAGGCAGGGATATTTTGGGAAACTTCACTTTCTTCTCCATTCTTACTATTTCTATCCTAATCCATACCAATTTTACAACAATGTTGCTTGCTCATTGTCATAAAATGTGACTTTATCATGCCCTCATTGAAGAACCTAAAATAGTTATCCCCGCCTAAGGTAAAATTCACCTCCAGTTTGTACATGTAAAGAATGCTTCTGTCCACTAAGGATGTTCACATGCCAGACAGTGAACTAAGTGTTATGTACATTCTTCATCTTCATCTTCACAATTACTCCCACTGAAGTCTGGAGTATCTTAGTTTTCCATACAAGGGAAGATGAAAACTCAGTGAAGTAACATAACTTGACCAAAGTTGAATGGGGGGAAAAAAAACAAAAAAAACCCAAGATCAAAACTGTAATTTCCATGCAGTCTACCTATGCAACATCACCTCTCTTTATGCCCGCCTTCGGCCTCTTCTGCCGAGTTCTAGTGACACACTCTCTGCATAGGACAGAGTTGAAAAAGCACAGGCCTCTAGCCTAGAAAGCGAGGGGGGAATACCAGCTTTGTAGACGGTTGTGTAGCAAAGGGACAATACACTTCACACTGTCTGGCACTGTGTAGACTCAAAACTAGCACCAATTACCAGCATCCCCCAATCTGCAGACCTCTCGCCTTCAGCTCCTAGCAGTTCTTTTCCCGAAGCATTACCCTTCACTCTCACCTGCTAGAAATGGACTCAATCTTTAAGATCCGAATTAAATTCTCAGCCCTTGGGAAGCCAGCCAGCCCTGCATTCCTGGTCTCACTCTATCCCAACTGCATTCGTCCTCAGATGGCCCTAATACACACAGTCATTCTGAGGCCTGCCATTTCGTATTACCCCAACCAGAATGCAGGTATCTTAGGGTTTTCCAGTATCTTTCTCTTGTTTACAATTTTTCCTGTAAGGTCTTATTCACAAAAGACATTCAATAAAGTTGATTGATGGATGCTACAGGCAAACATTCCAGCCTCTCAAGAAATCATCTAGATGGGCTGAGTATTATGATCAATCCACGTGAGTCTATTAAATGGGCAACAGAATTTATCTGCAGGAAGCACTGCCTCCTTTGGGCCATATAGCCCAGGGTCATAGGAGGAGCAAATACTACTACAGCTGAGTACTGACCCCCATGTCCTATTGCGTATAATCTAAGAATTGCAGGGAGCTTTCCTAAGCTGGAGCACTGCCTCTGGGTGACCATTCTGTAGCTTCTTTGTGTCAGTGAGCCAGCGTCAAATGTGCCCTCTGGTTCTGCCATGCCTTCAGTTAACCTAGGAGATGTGGACAGAGCCCTGGCCATCTACACATTTCTTCCAAAAAGAAGCAGGATCTGACAAGGTTAAAAAAATGAGATTTGGATATTTCCCAGGAGAATCCCAATGAGTAGAGGGAACACACAATTTTGTTTCTACTGGAAACAAAACATGCTTTCCATTTTGATTTTGATGAGTTCCATGGCCATGTCAGGTTCCCCTAGGCATTTCCGTGTTACACAAATGCTATAAAAACTCTCAGGAAAAATACAATTTTTATATAAAATTGACTAACAGACCATCCCAGTGTGTGAACTTTAGTCCACAGCTCATTAGACCTTAAGCAGCTGCTGTTCTCCCTCAGAGAATCTAAGACCTAGAAGAGACAGACGAGTGTTTCACAGCACCCTTCAAGTTCATGCAGAGGAGAAAAACAACATAGTGGGAAAACCAAGTTCTTTCATGTCCAATCTGGGTGCACTGGCATTGCAGACTTCCTATCCAGGTACCTGGCCCTCACAATACTCAGCTACCCATGATGACAATGCCAATGCCGTGTACTTCATTTACCCATCTGCTCCTAGGCCAAGAGATAGGTATACAGGCGAGGAAATTATACTCCAGTGAGGCTCCAGTTCTTAGAAACTACCAAGAGGTATACAGGTGAGGAAATTATACTCCAGTGAGGCTCCAGTTCTTAGAAACTACCAAGTGAGATTAAAATGTCTCTTTTGCCTAGAGTCAAGTTTTTCCCAGTATGCGTATGATGTCTCATGTGGATTCTTATAGTCTGAGTTTACATTAAATCTTTTATTATACTATATAAAGAAATTGGAGGCTAGTCCTTATGTCAGTTTAATGACATTGATTAAAATTAACTTTATTTATGCCAGTGCCTTAAATACAGATTGAGTCAAACCCCTAGAAAGGAGGTAAAATGGTGGCATATGACATGTATAGCAATGGACTGGAATGATACTAATCCCATGTCTTGAAGCAACTTCTGGATACTGCTGAGATTATGATGCCAACACACCCAAGCTCTCTACTCACTCTTTGCTTTTTTGCTACAGAACAGGTTTGGCGCTTTTAATTGCATAGAACAGCATGAAAAAGGAAGAAAGAAACTACTGATAAATGCAAATAATGTAGATGATGCAAAAAAAAAAAATCCTGGGTGAAAAAAAAATACAAAAACTATATTCTGGAGCCAGCAAGATGGCTCAGAGGGTAAAGACACTTGCTGTGCAAGCCTGATGACTTGAGATTAATTCCCAGAACCCATGTGTCCTGGTTTGTTTTAACTGTCGACTTGATGCAACCTAAATCCTCTGGGGAGAGAGTCTTAACAAGAAGTTATCTAGATCAAGTTGGTGTGTGGAGGATTGTTTTGAGTGTTAACTGATGTAAAAAGACCTAGCCCATCGTAAGCAGCACCATTCCCTCTACAGAGTCCTAGACTATAAATGAGAGAAGAAAGCTGGCTGAAAGCAAGCAAGCAAGCAAGCAAACAGGCAGGCAAGTAGGCAGGCAGGGATGTAACATGACTAGCTATCTGAGTTCCTGCCTTGATTTCCCCAAAATGATGAACCATAACTTGAGGCTGTAATTAAACAAATGCACCGGGCAGTGGTGGCGCACGCCTTTAATCCCAGCACTTGGGAGGCAGAGGCAGGTAGATCTCTGTGAGTTCGAGGCCAGCCTGGGCTACCAAGTGAGTTCCAGGAAAGGCGCAAAGCTACACAGAGAAACCTGTCTCGAAAAACAAAAAACAAAAAAACAAAACAAAAAAACAAAACAAATGCTTTCTTTCTGAAGTTGCTTTTTGTTAAGGTATTTTATTATAGCAACAGAAATGAAAAACACCACATAAAGGTGGAAGTGGAAAGAGAAAAATGGGTCCACAAAGTTGACTCCTGGTCTCCACACATACACTGTGGAATGTACCATCCACACACACTCAAATAATAAATGAAATAAAAAATTATATTCTGTATAATCCTAGATTTATGACATTCTCCAACAGGCAACATTAACTTAGGGGTGAAAGAGTTGGAATAGTGATTACTTTTGAAGTAATGAGAATGTATCTTTCGTATGGTCTGTCTCCTTGTGTTGCCTTGCTGTGAGACAGAATCTCAGAGCCTAGGCTGCCCTTAATGCCCTTAATGCTTCCACCTTCCAGTGCTGAGATTCCAGGCATGTGCTGCCATGGCTGGCTAATGGTACTTATTCTATATCTTGATACAGGTTACAAGAATATGCAAATTTGTCAAAAACTCTTCAAACTGTAACAATCAAGCCAATCAATCAACTTAGTCATTAAAAGTAAATTACACATGAAAAGAACATTAAAGAGACAAAATTAAAAAGCAAATCTTGACTTCAGAGATCATTTTCCCCTCTTTAATAAATTATGTGCTCAGCTACGTATTACTACTTAAGGCAAAGTAAGTCTTGATACCTGTCATCTTGGATCTTAAAAGAGACATACAGTGACCTTCATTTTAACCCTCAGCTCACAGCAAGAAATACACACACACACACACACACACACACACACACACACACACACACACACACACACCCCTAACATAAAAATTTCAAAAAAAGATCTAGCCATAATAATATTGATATGATATGATATTTTCTTGCCTATTTTAGTCTAATCATTTAAAACAAGTTAAATGTATAAACATGATTTTATTGCTCCCTTAATGGATTATGGTTCATGGTTTGAGAAAACTAGAGTGTATGAATATGTCTTAGGTAAAAACAGTTACATTCTATTTGTAACACTGATGCACACACATAAAGGGACTAAGTGGTTAGGGAGAACAGTAGTAGTGACAGCTTTTTAAGAAGAGTAACCTTCACCAGGAGTGGTGACGCACGCCTTTAATCCCAGCACTTGGGAGGCAGAGGCAGATGAATTTCTGTGAGTTCAAGGCCAACCTGGTCTACAAACCAAGTTCCAGGACAGCCAGGGCTACACAGAGAAACCCTGTTTCCAAAACAAAACAAAACAAAATAAAAAGAATAACCTTCATTCCACAAAAATAAAAAACCAAGCAACAAAGAAAATAAGATACAGTCAAAATATAACCCAAACAAGAACAAATTTACTCATGGCCTGGAATGCTGCCACCCTGGACTTGTTCACCCATGGCCCTGTTGAGTAAGCACTACAAAGGCTGTCTTCTTTTCCAATGGTTCTTCAATCACGTCCTATCAAAGTTAGGCTCTCAGCAAGCTATTTGTTTATTTTGAGGGGAAAAAAGTATAAAACAGCTTGCTTCTTGTATGGTTTTTAGAACACCTGCCCATGCCCGATGAAGGACCTGTGCACTACAAAGGTTGTAACTCATACAGCAAGTCCCTTTTCTCCTGAAGTAAGCAAGTTATTTAAACTGGTACACGTATCCTCTAGAGGCAAAAGAAAGAGGACAAACGAGTAAAAGGGGTGCAATACCCTGGCTGGCCTAATTTTTAAATCTTAATTATTTTACCAAATGTGAGAGAAACAGGAGAAAGTGAGCATAAAAAGTGGCTGTCTTCCTCGTGCTGAGAATGGGCCTCTACCAACAGTGAAGGAGAAGAATGAAAGGACTGGGTTAGGGTTTTGACCTCCACTGAAGGACAGTGTTCAGATTGGCATCAACAAGTGGAGGGAACAAAGAGGAGCCTGAACAGGGACCGGGGCTCCACTTACCAGCTAAGACGATGACATCTAAGGCCTTAGGAGGCCAAAACCTCCTGATCAACACTCCCTGGCTGAAAGGAAACCAGTCTGTATTTTAGAAAAGATCCCCCCAACAACCCTGATGTAGGCCAGATTTAAACAGCCCAGGTCTTTATTCTACTAGGGGTAGAGGAGTAGGAAATAAAGCAGTGTTCTAGAACAGTTCAACAGCAAGCCTAAGATGTGCTAACTAGTTATGTAATGGTGAATCTGAGCCCAGATTCCCCACTTGATGGAAGACATAGCAGGTATGCTTGTAAAGAAACCAAGGTAGAGAATCATGTGCAGTTTGGCCAGAATCTAGCAAGCTCAGCTGCTACTGCCAAGAACCCATGGCAAACACCAGGTCTCAGGAAGGACACTGCTGATGTCCTAGAGACTGGACTGCTGATGCTCAATCAGCTGGCTCCAGACCCACTTGGGTGACTGGAAGGAGACACGAGAAAGGGTATGCCTCTATAGCTTCATAGAAAACTGGCCCAGGAATTGGGCAGGACTGCAGTCTGAACGTGAGGGACATTTTAGGACACAGAGATCGAGGAGAAGCAGTAAGAAATCAAAGCAAAGATTAACCCATGAGGTCAAAGGCAAATGGCTGTACCTAGTGCCTACAAAACACACATGCAAACTAATCCCCTTCTCTCTCCCATTTTTGTGCCACCTCTCAAAAGAGAATGGGGCAGATATCCGTAGCATCTGGATGCTTTCTAGACAGGACCCTAATCTGCAGCACAATGCAAACCCATAACCTTGGGCAAGTAGGTCTCTTAACTCCCTGGATCACAAATTAAGACAGCATTGTGTATCTACCAGGGTGATCGACAATGAAAGGAGAAAACACCAAGAAACATGAACTGATACATAAACATAAAGCAAGGCTTGTTAACTCTTCTTGTCACTGCTTCTTTCTACAAGCTTCTGATGCAAGAGACCACTTCTTGACAAACGAGAGCACAGCAGTCACGGACAGGGGTTTAAGGAATCGGAATTTGGTGTAACTGTGTCTCAGCCTTTTGCTGACTGGGTAAATCACTAAACTCTCTGAATGCCAGTCAATAGCTGCAGACGGCATTGCTTTTCCCTCACGAGTGCTCCGGGGAGTGAGTGACACCAAGTGTAAAGTGCATCACCTTTACACAACGGAGCATGACTACTCTCTTCAAATTGTTCCCAAAATGGCCAAGATGCCTGAACACAGAACGGGGAACAAGTGACTACGTTTCTGAAATGAGGTAAGAGATGCCCACAGCCTCCCACCCCAGCTTTAAGTACTTACATCGATAATATCGGACAGGTCATGGATGTAGTACTTGAAGACAGATGCATTGGTTGCTTCCAAAGCCAGTAAGTACTCATTCCGGGCTTTAATGGCCTTCAGCTTATTCTCTGTGTACTTGGCTTGTCGCTAAAAAGAAAACACAAGTGCACTTTTAGTTTTTTTTTTAATTAAAAAATTAAACATGTTTACTTATTTCATGTGATGTGGTATGTATGTGTGTGTTTGTATGCACACATGCCTTTATGTTTTTGTGGAGATTGGAGGGCAACTTGTAGAAGTCATTTCTCTACTATCATGTGGGTTCCTGGGATTGAACTCAGGTTGTCAGGCTTAGTGGCCATCTTGCTGACCTATCACTATTACTTTTTAATTTAAATTTAAATTTTGTTTTATAATTTAATTTAATTTTACATATTAGCCACAGATTCCCTTGTTTCCCCCCCCCCCCACTTCCCCCCCAGCCTACCCCCCATTCCCATCTCCTCCAGGGCAAAGACTCCCCTGGGGATTGAGTTCAACCTGGTAGATTCAGTCCAGGCAGGTCCAGTCCCCTCCTCCCAGGCTGAGCCAAGTGTCCCTGCATAGGCCCCAGGTTCCAAACAGCCAGCACATGCACTAAGGACAGGACCCGGTCCCACTGCCTGGATGCCTCCCAAACAGTTCAAGTTAATCAACTGTCTCACCCATTCAGAGGGCCTGATCCAGTTGGTGACCCCTCAGCCATTGGTTCATAGTTCATGTGTTTCCATTCATTTGACTATTTGTCCCTGTGCTTTATCCAACCTTGGTCTCAACAATTCTCGCTCATATAAACCCTCCTCATTCTCGCCAATTGGACTCCTGGAGCTCCACCTGGGCCTGACTGTGGATCTCCCACTATTACTTTTTAAAAAAGGGATTGAAACTGTTTTGAGGGCTGAAGGATAACACATCAAGAGTCTCCGCTTTGCTGCGACTCCCTGTGTGCATCTGCTTTAAGCTGGATTCTCATCTGACTAACGAGATGAATGTGCTCCAGATGTGTCCTCTACTTTGATTCTGTCTTCACATACTCTTCTCCATCCTTGCTGCCACCCTGGAGATGGACTCCACCTCTCCCCCTGAACACTGGTATCTAAAGCCAAAACAGAGGTCTAAGTCTCCCTATTTCTCAAAGCAATAGGACATGTCACTTGATTTCAAAAATTGTGGCGGTCCACAAAGCTTTCCTAGTGAGATCTGAGCTTGCTTTACCCAGCAGGGCTGCATTAGCAGATTGCTTGATCACATGGGTGGTTACCAGGTGATTGGAAAGGGTCTGCATTTGGCTGTGTCTTTTGCTCCTCCCCTTGGCATTCCTATAAAAGGCCCTTTAGAAGAGACAGAAGGGGCTGGTGGATTATGATCCAGGTCCTTCTGAGGCTATCTTGTGTTTCCATCTGTTTCTCTCCCTTCTATCCCTCTATCTAAATATTTCTCACTTCACCCTCCTCAAGAGTACCCTGGGGAAAAAGTGAAAGGGGGCCTCCCACAGAAAATGAGCTGAGGAAGGTGACTACTGATTCTTGTCAATATATTTGAAGTTAAAGTCTGAGAGTTCATATGCTTAGGTTTTTCCAATAGCTAGGATGGATGGCAAGACACTGCTGTGGATATCGTTCTGTATAAATAAAACACTGACTGGCCAGTGGCCAGGCAGGAAGCATAGGCGGGACAAGGAGAGAGGAGAATTCTGGGAAGTGGAAGGCTGAGAGAGACACTGCCAGCCACTGCCATGACAAGCAGCACGTGAAGATGCCGGTAAGCCACGAGCCACGTGGCAAGGTATAGATTTATAGAAATGGATTAATTTAAGATATAAGAACAGTTAGCAAGAAGCCTGCCACGGCCATACAGTTTGTAACCAATATAAGTCTCTGTGTTTACTTGGTTGGGTCTGAGCGGCTGTGGGACTGGCGGTAGACAGAGATTTGTCCTGACTGAAGGACTCTTTGGTCATTAGGCACTAAAGGAACCCAGAGCTGCTTTGTTTAGCTCTTCATGACACCCACTGGGAAATTACCATCAACCTTGCCTTCTGAACATCCCTTTCTGTCTCTATAGTTGCCAGAGCACATATACCTTCTCCTTCATCTTCTCAATCTTCTTCACTGAGCTCCTCCGGACATGTTTCTCCTCAATGCGGACATTGGCAGTGGAATCAGGGGAGCGGGGAGTCTGCCGGTCCTCTTGCTTCACTGATTTACCAATTTGCTTCTCTTCTTGCTTCTCTGCTTCCTTCAGTTTGCTCTGAGCGCTGATACTGTCGGCATTGTACATGTGATATGTTTTCATGACCTGCAAGACATTCCCCACCCAGAGGTAAAGCCAATGGTGTCAACTCGATTTTACAGACTAACAGACTCAGTCGGGCCTCTCCAACATGAAACAATCAACATTCACATTCTTCTAGGGGGAAAATCCAGAAGTGTCTGGTTCAGCACATGTCTATTAAGGACTACATGTAAGTATAGGCTAGGTTACTGCAATGATTCCATATTAACTTCATCTATGTTTTTACTTTTATTCATTGTATCTGTAAGCATGACCTTTATATTGGCTCAATAATTTCTACTGCTGAGTAACCTCACGATACTAAGTAAAACAGGAAATAAGAATACCTCTTCAGACCCTAAGGGCAAAAGGCAACATGACCAAAGGAGCAGTCTACATTTTTATAACTTTCAAATATACAATAAGGAAGAAGAAAAGGCTCCAAAAGTTCTGGTCTGCTTTATCTCCATTGGACGCTTGCTCTCACAGAAATGCATCAATAGCAGCTACCATTTACTGAGTACTTAATATATGTTCAGCTTTGTGCCAAGTGCCCCCCCACACTTGTTAGTTTCATTCATTTAACAATTCCACACCCTAGACAATGTCCTGTGAGGGTTGTAGACTTGCACAATTCAGGTAAGAGGCTGGGAAAGAAGAAATTTCATATCAAGTGTAACTGGGATTGGCCACAGCAGAAAGTTAACATAAAGAGAGGGACATCGGGTCAGGTGTGGTGGCACATGTCTTTAATTCCTGCACTCCAGAAGTTGTGCAGAAAGATTTCAGTGAGTTCAAGGACAGTCTGGCCGATGAAGTGTGCTCCAAGATAGCCAAGACTACACAGAGACCTTGCCTTAAAAAAAATGGGGGGTGGGAGTGGGGAGGATGTAATTTTCAAATTTTCCAAAAGAGCTATTTTCCAGGAATTGAATACTATTTCTTAGCAAGAAGGTCAGGAAGACAGAATCTCAGCTAATTTTCAGTCCTCCCAAATATATTACTTCCAGCCACATAGGGGCTGACCCCACTCTGCAGGAAATTTCTGTTTCCACACAGGCAGCTTCCAAATTAAAACACTTGATAACAAATCAAGCAATTGGAAATTCATGAGTGCTGAAACTTTGATGCCTTGAGGTTTCTTTGAAGAGGAGGAATAGAAAGTCTAGGAGTAGGGTGTACTTTTGTGGCTGACAACAGAAAAGCATTATTCAATATTAGAGATAATCTCTAGCATTCAGGTTACATTGTGTGCCAGGAGTTTTATGTGTGCCACTTGACTTAATCCTCACAATAACTCTATGAAAGACATGTTAGTATTTCTACTTCTAAAGATAAGGAAGTAGGTCTCAATGACATTACCTATGGCACCCTAAGTCTTACAGTTAGTAAATGGCAGAGCCAGAATTCAAACCTAGGTCCCTAACTCCAAAGTCCACCTCTTACCCACTAAGTGACAGTGACTATCCTCTGCACAGGACTGAAGTTGAACTCACTGTGAGGAAAGATAAAGGACAGCTGAGGGAATCCTGAAGAAAGAAACTGATCTCCTTAGGAATGAAACTGCCCAACTGAGAGCAGTGCCTCAATCAGGGGCTGTTTTAGACCCCAAGTAACAACTGGCAACATCTGGAAATAACTTACAGGTTGCTAGTAGGTAGAGATAGGGATACATGGAGAGTCCATAACAAAAAAGTGTCTGTTTTAGAATGTCAGTGGTGCTGAGGCTGGGGAATCCTGAGACCTTGCAGGTGTACTTAGGATCATCTGGAGTTGTAAGAAGGAATAAAGCACATAGAGGTACAGTGCAGTCTCAATTATGCCTCATTTTAGATAGAGTAATTTAAATATTCACCTTATTCCAACCTGATATCATTTCCTGGAAGTATCACCCTGCTTATACTCTGTATACCAACAACTAATGGCATTAAGGAGGCTTTTCTAGGAAGTTTGACTAGATCACTATTTTTCCTGGTTAAAGGTAAGAAAGGCATCTGCTATCTTGTCTGAGGAAGGACAGATGAGGGGCTCCTGTTCCTGTTTCTTTTTTTCACTTGAATGTGATTAAGGAATTCAAGCACTAGAGGAAAGCATTATAACAGTCATTTTTTTTGGGGGGGGGCGGTGGTTTCAAGGAAGAAACTCTATGAAGCAGTCCTGGTTGTCCTGGAACTCAGTCTGTAGCCCAGGCTGGCCTCGAACTCACAGAGATCTGCCTGCCTTTGACTTCTGAGTGCCAGGATTAAAGGCTTGCACCACCACTGCCCAGTGTTACAAGTACTTTTTACAGCAGTGAATTTTTATTTTATGTAGTACAGGATGAAAGAAACATGGCAAATGAACGTGAGAAATGAAAGCACTCAAAGAACTGTCACTAGGTAACAATGAATAAAACAACTTCTATTGTTCCTTGCCCTTAAAGAATGTAAAGAAAGCTCTCATTGAAAGAAAACAAAACATCACCCAATCTAAGAAATTAAATTCTCAAAGATAGCATGACTTTTTTCTTCGCATTCTCTTCCACAGTTGGGAAATGTCATATATGCCTCACTTTAAAATATGAGCAAGCAGTCAGGCATGATGGCACGTGCCTTTAGTCTCAGTACTCAGGAGGTAGAAGCAGGTGGATCTCTGGCCTCGAGGCTAGCCTGGTCTACAGAGAGAGTTCCAGGACAGCCAGGGCTACACAGAGAAACCCTGTCTCTAAAGCCTATATACATATGTGGAAGTTCCTACTGTTTTCTAGAATAAGCAAGATCAAAATAGACAATTTACAAGAAACATAGTATAGAGAGAAGAAAAGGCTGAAAAATTTATCAATAAGAGCCCCAGAGAGATGAATGAGAATGGAAAAGATACAGCACCATGAAATAAGACCTCAGTGAAGGGAGTTAGGGAGAATATAGGGTAAGGAAAACCTAAGAGTACTTGTCACCTGTCAGTTAAGATTCAATTCTTGTACCTCTCCAAGGAGCCTGACCCGTTCCCTCCCCTCCAGCCATGTAAAAGAGTTACCTCATTTTACTTGCTGCTTCGCCCCTCCCCCAACACTAAAATGAAATGCCTCGAGTTGAGCATTATCTCTTACTTGTCTTTGTATCCCTAGTGCCTACTGATAGTGTCAAACAGACACACAATATGAGAGACTGCTAGCTGACATGTTTCAAGGGAACAGGTGCTGCATGTCAATTTCAAGCAGCTCTGCACCCAGCTGCTGCACCAAGTCAAGGAGACAAACGAAGGGACTCAGGGGTAGACAGAAGCCTAAAACCTCGGGGACAAAGACAGTCCCAGAGTGCCCCACTACCTCTTCTCTCTCTCTCTCTTTCAAGTTAGCGTTTCCTTGGCCACATAGTCAATCCATGTGGCTTCCCTGCCTCCGTATACACTCTTTCCTGTGGGGGCTTCCTGGGATTTTCCAGACACAGCCTCTCTACAGTTGAGGCAGACAATCCCAGAGTGCTTTGGGAGCACTGCACTCTAACTTCAAAGGCATTCCTACAACATCAGAAAGAAAATGAAAACCACTTTACCATGGCTTATAAACTAGCCCGTTCACTGTGATGAAGAGGGGATAATGGACCGGCACACACATGTGCAAGACTCACTGGGACTGCTCTCTGGAGGAACAGCTGTGGGGAACTCCCCCAGCACAAAATGCTAAGTCAGGGAAATCAAAGCCCCTTGAAGCAGAAGAGGAAGGTGCAGAGGAGCAGCTGGCTACTTCTGGTGGGGTTCTGGATCTCTTGTTCAAAGGCATCTTTATTTAGAACTATCTGGGTTCTGCCCCCTGGGTCATCAGAAAGTACTTAGATTATCAACCCTTGAGTAACTGGTCCCCTCAAAAGAAGTATCCATGGGTGTTAGGAGCAGTTACAGAAGAGCACTGAGAAATATAGAGCGTTTCTTAATATGTTGATCTCTTTTTCCAGTGCCACATGAATCACAAATAATTTCTGTTGCTGACAGGATCAGTGAAAGCAGAGATCCTTTCCTGTTTTCTTAAACAGAGCAAATAAGGGAAATGCTCTTAGAAGAAACTCTCCCTGTTCTCTTCCTAACACCCAAAGAGTTTGTGTACAGCAAATAGCTTTCCAAAGCCAGCATGCAGTAGTATCAACTTCCTACTTGAGGAAACCACTATCTCATGCAGGGTGACTAACATCCTGCTTGCCTCAAGACTACCAATTCAGCACTAAAAATATGTCCCAGGAAACTGTGTAGCCCTGGTTGGTCTGTAACTCACTATGTAGATCAGGCTGGCCTTGAACTCAACAGATCCACCTGCTTCTGTTTCTCAAGTGCTGAATTAAAGGTGTCTGACCACATCTGGCTCTCTCTTCATGAGGACTAGGCTAATCAGCAAAAAGTGATGGATAGTCACCCTAATCTCAGGGCTATTTCAGAGCAGTCCTAAACTAATCTTACCCTACATAAGCAACAACGATTAATACCATCCTACAACTGTTCTAATGACCTATATAAAATCTTCAAACTCACTTGATTCTTAACTATAGTATAATATTTTGAAAATATGCATTCCTTGATCACTGACAGCCCCATGGCATGCAGGTATCAGAGCATAGTGTTTGCTGCTGCTTCTGGGGAAGAATAGGATGAAAACCCAACACACTTCACATCAACTCTCATCATCATGCGGACTTTTGCAGTGGGAGGTATCCCTTCAAGTGCATGCAGCTAATAGTCAAGACAACATAGAACCTCAGGTGTCTAATTTAGTAGCCTGGAGTCAGCACACCCAGGTTTCTCAATCTTGGTACTACTGACATTTGGAGCTGGATAATTATTGTGGTAAACTGTCCTGTACATTGTAGGATGTTAGCAGCATACTTGGCCCCTACTTTTCAGATGCCACTAGACTGCCAACCCCTCCAGTGTGACAACTGAAAACATCAGCAGACATTGCCACACATTCTGTTTTGTTGGGACGGCGGGGGGAGAGGAGATCACCCTGTTTAAGACTCACTGTACCAGACTGTTCTGCCTTCTCTGAAACTTCTTGATGTCCTCTTCTATTTTCTCTTTCTATTTAGAGGTAAATATCTAAGTCTTATTTGGGACTTGGGCAAACGATAAGTATACCAATTCATCTCAAAGCAGAGGGGCAGCACATTCACCAGTTCTGCATGTGAATGCTAGAGAGAAGGCTTTATGCTCTGTGGTAACTGAAGGCACATGGTGGCCTCAGAAGCAACTGGCCAATATTGATCCGAAGACTAATCATAGAAGTCTTAGCTGGGAGATGGCTGAGTAGGTAAGGTCTAATGACCTGAGTTTGATGCCTAGATCCCCCAAAGTGGCAGGAGAGAAACAACTTCCAAGAATGGTTCCTTATACACACACAAAATAACTATTAAAAATAAGTACAGGGGGTGGGGGTGGGTCTCCCAGCTTGGCCTTCATCAGACAGAACAGTAAGCTCCACGGTTTTCTAACAGTTCCTCAGACACAGTTCTCCCTCTGCTGCCTCACTGCAAACGTAGTATGCTGGATCTGAGCTGGTTTGAGGTTTGCTGCTTGACTCCTGAGAGACAGCAGCAAACAGCAAAGGCCCACGATGCTTTTTATCGGGAAAGTAAAAGGAGTTCTACAATAATCTGTCGCTCTCTATCCTAGAGAATTCCCTATGGAAGAAGTCTCAGTCCTTCTGGTTCCTTCAAGATGCTCTAAAAGTAAAGAGAAGTAAAGCCCTGAAGAGAAGGGTCGGGAAACTCATCCGGTCTGAAAATGGCTCACAATGCCATGCTTCTATTTTTGAAAAGTCTTAACTTCATTTGAGAGAAATGAAACTTGGGGCACAAAGGGTACCACTTATTATTTGGCTTCAGAGTGTAAGAGTCACAGAGTAGAAATTCAAAACAATTGGAGCACCACTGGAGGCAAATTAGATGACCACTCTACTCTATTTACCAACAGTTACCATGACATAATGGCCACACCTAGGCTTCTGGATCAAGAATGTGGAATTCTCTGATCTCAAATGCTTGTGACACATGTCTCCACTGGGTGAAGCAAGGAAGGGGGAAGAGTGAGGGAGGGACAAGTAACCATGGGAAATCATTTTCACCTTCAACTAGATTAGGGCAACTCTGGAAAATGACACACAGTGCTGATACAACCAAACTTCGGAAAGGGTCTATAAAAGCTACAAGTTGTACAAGTGAAGCATTCCTTCTACGGCAACAGGAACTTCCTTGGTGGGTGCATGTTTTCAAAATAATTAAAACATGGTGGACAGAAACTAACCACCAGCACTTTTGGGGCACACAGCACATATCAGCCTACGAGCCTGCAGTCCGAGAGTTCGAAGCAGACTGTGCTCTTTGCTCCAAGCCCATAGCTTACCTCTCTGCTGTGTTTCTGCAACATTTTCTTTGCCTGAAACGGTACTTCACACTGCAGACTTTAGGAATCTGTGCTTCCCTTTACAGCATCTGCTCTAACTCAAACCACGATTAACCTAAGGTCTGATGCATAACTTAAGACTATACATGCTTTCCAACAAGCAGCAGTGCGATGTGGGCCACATTCTTTGCCATGAAGTTTGGGGTTCCTGCCTGCTGGTAATGGGGACAGCTGTGAGGGTAACCTAGACCTTGGCTGCTCTCTTTCAGTGGTGCCCCAGATGAAGCCACAGTAAGATTGCACAACTGCAAAAAATATTTTTTGGCTCATCTGGTTTAGAAAAAAATTGAGTGTGGAAAAACACATGGGTGGAGTCACCCCCAATGGGGAATATGCACTGTCCTCAGCCTCAGCTAAGTTCTGTTGTTGACGTGATTATGGCTGCAAACTTCCAAATGCTGCTTCTCTCTGGGATCAAAGAGCCGGGCAGCCTATCTGACTTACCGAATAAAGCTCGTTCAGGACCTTCATCAAATCATCTTGGAGCTGCTGGCCAACTTCTTTACTCTGCAAAGAGAAGAGGAAGGAAGGTTAATTGAAAAACAGAAGGAGATGGGAGGTGGCAGCAAAGGCAAGAGCAGCACAGACCCTACAAACGACACAGACTCAGTGACAGCCCATTATTTAACCCAGCCGATCAGATAACCAATTACGGTCCGATTACTCCAAGAGTCTTAATAAATGAAACGAGCTCTTTCTATAGCCCAGTAAAGGTAATCACGTCAAGGGGAAACGGGCTACAGCCTCTGACTTTTCAACTGGTCTCAAAAGCAGACCTGGAAGCCACATCCTACCTAGTAACTGTAGTTAGGCAGACCATGCTTTCTCAGATATCTGCAGGCAAACACTCCATTGGATTACTAAGGAAAGGAAGATGTACAATAGGATGAGACAGGAAAAAGGACATAAATATCCACGGACTCCAAAGACCCGAAACTCAAAAGAAAACTCCAAGCAGGAAGGTACTGGATGTCTAACCTGACAGCACACAAACCACACACAGCAAGCTAGGACCCACAGGACTGGCCTGCACATTCCTTCTCCATAGAAGGAAAAACCACCTAAAATTGAGTGCATTTGTGTTTTCTGGCACTGATGTTAAGGGTCACCCAATTCTTGCTTGCTTTATTTCTTTTCCAAACTCCCGAGGCAGTGGTTCTTCAATAATGACTCCCTGCAACATTTAGTTAATACTACCTGACTCTATAATATGTGTTGAGGAGTTTCCAACTGGCTAATTCTGAGCAGCAGAGGCTCGCTGATCCTCTGCTGCTGCCCACTCCAGGTTGGCAACTAACCACACAATAGGAGGAACAAAAGAATGAGGAAGCAGGAAGGAAGTGTATCTTCTATACTGAGTGTTAGAAGCCAAGTCCAAGAAGGCAGAGAACAAAAACGATTGGTATCACCAAGGTATTGTCCTTCAGATAACTACAACACCCAAGCACTCGTCTAAAATTTTACTTATCCATACTGAGAACTAAACCTGAGGTCTTGTGGGTGCCAGGCAAGCATTCTACCACTGGGCTGCATCTCCAGCACCTAAGTGACACTCATCATAGCTCATTTCGAGGGCAAGGGACTAGTCCTTTCCATTCATACTGCTTCTTTCAAGGTGTGTGTGTGTGTGTGTGTGTGTGTGTGTGTGTGTTGTGTGCGCACACATGCCTCCCACAGGGCACACTGGGGACAGAGAAAACTCGCATGAGTCAGCTCTCTCCAACATGTAGTTTCTGGGCATCAAACTCAGGTTGTCAGGTTTGTTAGCAAGTGCCTTTACCTACTGAGTTATCTTGCCAGCCCAAGCCTGAACATTTTAAAAACTGTTTTGCCACTTTGCTTTTTTTTTTCCCTACTAGGGTATTCATTATGGAATATAACATATAACATTCATTATGGAATATATCATGAATAGCTATGTGTTTTGTACTTGGTAATTTTAAAACGAGGGTGGAAGGAACCCCCAACTTAGCAATTATAACAGTTGCTGCTAGTCTCAGCTATCACCTGCTGTGTATTTGTTACGTTACTGCTTTGACAAAATACCTTTCAAGAAGCAATTTAAGGAAGGATGCTTTATTGCAGCTTACAGTTCAAGAGGATACATTCCATCTTGGTGGGAAAGGCATGGTGGCAGGAATGGGAAAGCTGGCAAGTCAGGAAGCAGAGGATGAACAGGCTGTGAAGATGGGCTATAAAACTTCAAGGCCTGTCACCCATGACCCACTTCTTCCAGGAAGTTTCCAACTTCCCAAGTAGTGCCATGATCTGGGGGTCAAGTGTTCAAACACATGAGCCTATGAAGAACATTTCCTATCCAAACCACAGCACTTGCTATGATTTGTCTGCTCTGGTCAATTTCTCTGGACTTAATCTCTCTCTGTAAAATGAAAGTCTTTCCCTCTTACTGTAAGATCTGGATCTAGAAGAAAACACAGGGAAGATATTTTAAGATACATGCATTTGCAAGGTCTTTCTGAAAAGGATTCCAGTAGCACAGGAAAAAATTGAGAAAGCAGATTACATCAAATTAAAAAAGCATTTTGTATAGCAAAGGAAACAACTACCAAAGTGAAGCAAGTCTATAGAATGGGAGAAAAGTCTTTTCCAAGTATGCATCTGGTTATCTAGAATCCACAAATACCTTAAAAAAATTTAAACACCCAGATAAGTGATGTCGAGTTTCAAACCCAGGACAAATGGCTCAGGTGCCTATTTAACACACCCCAAAGCCCAAATCATCTAATCAATAAATGGGCTAATGAACTGAACAGATAGTTTCTAAAGGAAGAAATACAAGTGGCCAGTAAATATTTGAAAACTGCTCAAGATCCTTAGCCATCAGAGAAATGCAAATTAAATTGCTTTAAGATTCCATCACACCCCAGTCAGAATGGAGTCATAAGAAAACAGTAACAACACATGCTGGGTTCTCAAAAACTAGAACAGAACTCTGTGACCCAGCTATATCAATCTTGGGAATACACCTAAAGGACTACAAGTAAACATACCAGAGACATGTGCACATGTGTGTTTATTGCTGCACTGTTCATAATAGACAGGAAATGGAACTATCCTAGACGGACATCATCAAATGAAGAGAGAAATAAAATATGGTGAATATACACGAGAAAATTTTATGCAGTCATAAAGAAAAGTGAAGTCATGACTTTTGAAAGAAAATGGACGTAACTGGAAACTACGTTAAGTGAAATAAGTCAGACTCAGGAAAGTAAACACCACATTTGTTCTCTCACAAGGAATCCTGATTTAAAATTGCATGTGAGGGCCATGAATCTAGGAAGAACATTACCAAAGGGGAGGAAGAGATTTTAAGAGAGTTGGGAACCAGAGTAATGGAATACACGTAATAAGAAAGCAGAAGTTGGTGTTAACTGGGGGAAGAAAGGGAAACAGCTGGAGGGAGGAACATAGGAAGAACTCTGAGGAAGGGAAGCAAGTGAGAACAAAATATAACAACACACGTGTTAAGATGCCAGGATGAGCTGGGCGGTGGTGGCACATGCCTTTAATCCTGGCACTCGGAAGGCAGAGGCAGGCGGATCTCTGTGAGCTCGAGGCCAGCCTGATCTACAGAGTGAGTTCCAGGACAGCCAGGGCTACACAGAGAAACACTGTCTTGAAAAGGCGGGGGTGGGGGGGCAGGATGAAACTCACTACTTTATATGCTAACCTAAAATATTAATTAAAAAAAAAAAGACCTTTTCCAAGTGTCCTAGTTTGGTTTCTCTGATGCTATGATAAAACACTGATCTAAATCAACTTAGGGGAAGAAAGGGTTGATTTGGCTTATACAGCCCCATGTCCATCGCTGAGGGAAGCCAAGGCAGGAGCTCAAGGTAGGAACTGGGGCCACGGAGGAACGCTGCTTACTGGTTAGCTTCCAGGCTCACATTCAGCTAAATTCCTTGCACAGCCCAGGCTTACCTGCCTAGAAATGGCACTGCCCACAGTGGGCTAAGCCCTCCTACATCAATTAGCAATTTAAAAATGCCTCACAGACATGCAACAGGACAATCTGACAGGGGCAATTCCTCACCCAGGCTCCTTCTTCCCAACTGACTCTAGATTGTGTCAAGCTGACAGCTGAAGTTTACTATGACACCAACCTCTACCACTCTATGGTTCTACATGATGTTTTGCCTGTCTCCTTATTGTAAGAAACATTAAACATTAGTCTTTTCTGTCAAACATATAAGACTTTTGTTTACAGCAAAGTATTCAAATCTTTATCTCCTCCACCTTGTAAAACCTGTATGTAAATGCTTTAATCCCCCACCCAGTAAAACTCTCATTCATACAAAGGCCCTGCTGCATTCTTGGAACTCATGTGGCTGTCCCCTTTCTTATTTCCTTTGTGCTGATTCTTATAAAGCTAGCCAATCATGAAAGACAGAGGTGGGACCCTCTCCAATGGAAAAGACAGTCAGCACCTGCTTTAGAAGAAAAACCAAGAACATTTCCTGGCCTTGTGTGCTGGATCAAGAATAAAATTTCTCTTGTTCACCCTTGATCAATATTAAAGTTTTGCCTATAAAGACACTTCAGTTGGAATGGTGGTCTCTTTCTTGGTGGTTCAAACTTATTTCTAACAGTATGCCCATATCAGAGCCAAAGAGGCTGGCTTCTGAGCAGAGTAAAAGGCAATGCACAAGTTCTCTGCAAGGACCCAGATGAAAGCAGAAACGAAAGCTGCAGGGATATCTTGCCTGTTTTAGATTTCCTATTACTAGTACCTTTCACTCAGTAACCTGGGAAAGAGGGCAGTTTCAACTGCTGGGAAAAGCCACAAGAAAGAATGCATCTCATCTACAACTTCACCCTGCAGCCCCTCCCATGGTGAGGAAGGCTGAGCTCCACAGAAGCAACAGGAGAGCAAGTAGGTGAAGAGAGGAGAAAATGACTCACCATCTGCCTCAGAATCAAGGTCAGCGGTGACCAAGAGTATCACTATCAACTGCCCACCCTCCCAGCTACAGCAGCAACCCTTACCAGCCTTCCAGCCCTTCTCACCTCATCCTTATGCTTAAATGAGATAGGACCTTTCCCTATGCTATGCTGCTTAGCTGTGACTTAAATAAACTAGCAGGAGTCCAGGAGTGGGAAGAGGAAGGGAGGGGGAGAGGAGGGAAAGTCTAACCAATAAAATAGCAATTAAGACAGGCAGATGTTTCCTTTTGTGTTCTGATTAGTCGGGAGGACCAATGAACTATTACCCCTGTTTATTTGAACAAGTTGCTGAAGCAATCAGATTTACCACTCCCCTCGGGCTGGGCGGGGCTGGGCACACACGTGTAGCTAGCTAGCTCAATTAAAATATACAATGAAAGCTCCTAATAGGAGCATCGCTGACCCAGAAGACAGGCAGGAACTGGCCAGCGTCTCTCCTTCCACAGATGATAAAAGGCCACCTGTTCTCTAACTCAGAAGCCTTAACTGCATGCCTTCAGGGAGAGCACAGCATCAGGAAGTGCTTCCGTGCAGCT